AGCCCTCGCCGCCTTAGGTGCCTCCACCTCCCTCCACCAATGAGAAACCGCCTCCAACGCCAGCCACCACATCTGTCAAGACACGAGCAGCGTCCTCGTCTTCCACCACCAATAAAACTGTCCAATCAACGACTTCGCCTGCCTCTGACTCTGAGGATAACCGTCCCAACATCTCGATACCTGGAATCTCCTTCACTACTCGGCAGTATCCTAATGAATTGGATGCCCGGATGTTGGATTCCCCTCCAGAACGGAGAGGTTAAGTTCGTCTGTAGACCCTCACATGTTACCTTCCCTGCAGAACTAATCAGTATCCTTACTGCTCCTGGGATAGACCCTGACCGCAAGTTTAAACTTATCTACTTGCCAAAATCGAAGTTCCAGTCTCTTATTAATGGGACAGTAGCCTAACAAGCCTACCTCCGACCATCACCAATACAACTCGCCCTGCTTGCTGCCTTCTGAGACTCCCAGCTACCGCCGCCTTTGCCATCCTCTCCTTGTGAATCAAGTACCGGCGTCGTTCATCCCTCTCCATGTACGTCTGCAGTACCTCGGTACCACATGCACCAAAGTGGTTGGGCCACTTTTTCAATTCAATTCAATTCAAAGTTTATTCTCTATAAGGATTACAATGCTGAGTTTACAGAATTTGGTTATTGTGTGGTTTACGTGTAGTAAAATAATAATTACAGAGTGTACCACTAGAACACCTAGCATGGCTAGGCATTTCGGGCAGACTTAAATTAAATCTTAAGTTTAAAATATTACAAAATTATGAGGTAAGTTGGTATGGCTAAGTGACTAAATACTAGTTTGTGAGTTTAGCAATGTGAATGCTTTTGTTGTGGCCCGGTGGCCTGGTGGCTAAAACTCCCGCTTCACACACGGAGGGCCCGGGTTCGATTCCCGGCGGGTGGAAATTCCGACACGTTTCCTTACACCTATTGTCCTGTTCACCTAGCAGCAAATAGGTACCTGGGTGTTAGTCGACTGGTGTGGGTCGCATCCTGGGGGACAAGATTAAGGACCCCAATGGAAATAAGTTAGACAGTCCTCGATGACGCACTGACTTTCTTGGGTTATCCTGGGTGGCTAACCCTCCGGGGTTAAAAATCCGAACGAAATCTTATCTTATCTTATCTTGGCACTATACATAGTTTCAGTATTGGAGTATCACAGGCCAGCTTATGACTAGTTAAGATTCATTATTTTGAGATTGAGATTGATATTTCTGTTTATGGTCAAATGGTTGAGTGAGTGTAAGTGTGAACCACCAGGTGGTATTCGTGTAATTAGTTGACAGGGTGTATCAGGGAGATAAGAAGTTTTCTGATGGTAGTTTTGAAGGTGATGAATGTGTCTGTAGTTTTAGAATTTTCAGGTAGGGTGTTCCAGATTTTAGGGCCTTTGACATACATTGAATTTTTGTAAAGGTTTAGTCGGACACGGGGAATGTCATAGAGATGTTTGTGTCTGGTGTTGTCCCTGTGGGTTCTGTTGCAACTATCAAGAAAGCGTTTTAGGTCAAGGTTAATATTGGAATTTAAGGTCCTGTAGATGTAGATTGCACAGTAGTAAGTGTGGATGTACTGAACAGGGAGTAAGTTTAGATCTATGAAGAGTGGGGGGGGGGTGTTGCCAGGGATGGGATTTAGTGATTATTCTTACTGCGGCTTTTTGTTGGGTTATTATTGGCTTTAGGTGTGTTGCTACAGTTAATCCCCAAGCACAAATAGCATAGGTGAGGTATGGATATATAAGTGAATGGTATAGTGTGAGAAGGGCAGTTTGCGGCACGTAGTATCGTATCTTGGAGAGGATCCCAACCGTTTTGGATACTTTTTTGGTTATGTGTTGGATATGGGTGCTGAAGTTCAGGTTGTTGTCGAGGTATAGGCCTAGGAATTTGCCCTCATTATGCCTGGCAATTAGAGTGTTGTCTATCTTAATGTTAATTTGCGCATCTCCTGCTCTGCTACCAAACATAATGTAGTAGGTTTTGCCTATTTTCCTTCTCCCATCCTTTTCCAGTATTTCCACCCTTCCTGATCCTTCTTCCTTCCCATCTTACGACAGCTCTGGTCGTCGTCTTCGTGCTTCGACTTCTAAGTGAATGTGGTGGGTAGAAGGATGCAACTAGCAATTTTCCAAAATGTAGTCACACCCACCTCTCCTTTTACAAAGTGCTTGTGGAAGGTGGTGCTAAGTAACTTTGTCTCGGCTCCCTCAATATACACGTGTGAAACTATCATACAATATTATAAATATAGTGAATACATGTATAGATAATTAAAATGTACTACTACAACTGAGAACCTGGACATTATCTCAGTTATAGACAATGAAAAGTTTCTTTTATGATAACACCTCTTAACAGTGAACTTTAGTAATTAAACATTAACTCGGAGAAACATCAAATATTTAATGTACAGATGTACATTATATAGGGTTTGGTGGGAAGGGGAAGCAGTTTGACCATTTTTTTAGTGGTATTAAGATATATTTTTTAAATTGTATTCCATAATGTATTCTGTACATCAATTACATAATGTAAATGTAACTGTAAAATACGAAATGATTGATATTTCTTTCTAGTGATGTAACAGTGCCCAGTTGGGTCTGAAAAGACCTATTGTGACCTGTAACCATGCGGTTTTTTTTTCACTGCCGCTCACAGGATGATCATTGGGTTCACAATAAACCACCATTCAGGCAGCACAACAATAAACTGAACCATATAAGCTGGTCTTCATACATAGGTGTGTCTGCGAGGCTGGAAAATGGTGGTTAGTGTGGTCTTGTAGTCATAGCAACATGATATAAACACATTAGACGAGTTACTGGTGATGCAGTCATTCATTCTCGTTCTTTTTCTCGCCATTCCTCCTACAATCCCTCTCTTCGTACTTCATTGCATTCCATACGCCATGAACTCTTTTATTATAGTAATGGAAAAGTGGTAAACCCGTAGGGGTCATGCAGCACTAGTGGAGAGCTAAAAAACTTCACGTAACAACACTGAAGGAGAGGGCCAGTGAGATATGATCATGATGTAGGAAGTACGTAGAAGGATTATAAAGAGTTGATAGGAACAAATTGTTTGAGAAGCAATGAGGGAAAGTAAAGGAAAATAAGTTGCATGGATGTTTAAAAGCACTGTTTCAGTCTCACTGGGGTAAGTGTACAAAAGCAGAGGAAGAAATGGAGAGGCAGACATACACAATTTTAAGGGTAGGTATGAAATCTGGCCTAGGTCAGATATTAGTACTTTAGGGAACACATGCTGTGGATACAGAAAGTAAATTTATTGTAAGATAACCCAATAAACTCAGTTATGAATTGACTCATGCAAACACAGCTAGACGAGTACATATGCCGAGTAAAAGTCATTTATTTAAAATCTAACCCAAGAAGGTAAATTAATGCCGATGATGGGCTTTTGTTCCAGGCACGTGACCATGACCTCCCTTGAATCAAACAATATTTACCTGCTATTCCCCCAGGCATTATAGGACCTCCATGGGTTTAGGGCTTCTCCCAGATAATAATAATAATAATAATAATAATTAGTATTTTGTTGATAATATTTTCATTAGAATGGGCATGAAGGTACACACATATTGACATGTGTATATGTATTATTTTATATTTTAATAATGTTGTATAATAATAATCTTTATTTCTATAAGTACGTGATACAACTTACACAGACCATAGCTGACATCAGTGACATGCTATATAGTAAGCCTCTGGTTATACAGAACATTTCAGGCAAATTAGGGTGATTTTGCCCCCAGGATGCGACCCACACCAGTAGACTAACACCCACGTTCTTATGTACTGCTAGGTGAACAGGGACAGCAGGTGTCTAAGGAAACATGCCCAATATTTCCACCTGTACTGGGGATCGAACCACGGTCCTCAGTGTGTGAGCTGAATGCATTATCAACCGAGCTACAGGACACAGTATGACCATGTACAAAAGTAAAACAATGTCACTTGTTTCCATTAGGTTCCATTAGGTTCATTACTTACCTAGCTGAGGTAGTATTCCTTAGATAGAGCCAGGGTTTGTAATAAGCACCTAAAATCGGTACCTGACCAGCCGGGCTGTGGCTTGTACGTTGGTTTGCGTGCAGCCAGCAGTAACAGCCTGGTTGATCAGGCTCTGATCCACCAGGAGGCCTGGTCACAGACCGGGCCGCAGGGGCGTTGACCCCCGGAACTCTCTCCAGGTAAATTCCAGGTATGATGAGCAGTTCTTAGTTTGTAAAATAACTGCAAAGAAAATGGTTTAAGAAATTGGGCAAAGATGCTCTATTTATTAAGCAGTTTACAATGATTATGAATTATTATTTAACAGGAATTTTTTCATGTTCTTCCAAAAACTCAGTGCATGTAAAAGGCCTTAAAAATCTCAAATTCATTGTCTGAAGCATTAGAAGGCCCTTATCTACCAGTCGATTCAGAGCTATTGTTAGAAAGCACCTCATCGCCCTAACATAATTGAAACAGCAGTACGCTGTGTCTAACAAAACCAGCTCATTCCATTCTGTTTTTCTTCCAGCCTTCCTTCAACTCTCATAAAAAATTGGTAACACATCTTGTCCACTGTATTTCTATTGTAGCTAAGTAATTGCCTATATCTTTACTATCTCTGTTCAATCACTCCACTAAACTGAAGTTCATTGAATTAGTTTGAAATTATGAATCATTCTTTTGAAAGTGTACTATTTGTTAATTAGCTATCTTTCTCACTGCACATATGATGATTGTTAATTGCATAAGAATTCCTACTTAATAGTCTGTCTGAATCTTGAAAACTTTTAAGTATTAGGATTAGTTTGCCCAAAATGCATTGCATATTATATTTGCTTTCTTTTATGTCTACCAATGTTTTATTATATGTGAACTACATTATTTGTACTGCATAAAGAAAGAAAAATTTTATTGTATTACATTAGCATGCAGCTAATCAGGTGATGTATTTTTTACAGTTGGACGGCAGAGGACATGTCTGTTGCTTGTCGGCAACTTGGATACAGTGGTGGAAAGTACTATGAGTGGCAGGACAGAGCCAACAATGACACAGGAACACTACTTTACGAGGCACCCCTCTGTACTGGCCTTGAGGATGACGTTACTAAATGTGCCTGGCACACACATGCTATGGGCGGTGGTGTCTGTGGTATGCCTCACATTCTTGATCTGTTACTTCTTTGTTTACATAAGTCATTATAGAGGTAACTGCAGTGCATATAAGTACTGTATGACCTAATTGAGGATATCCCAGCAATATCTCTAAATAATTTAGAGTAAAACCATCATAGTTGCTCCTCCTGAAAGGAGTTTTAAAGGCCATTATCTAATCTTCTTAAGCATCTGTGTGAATGAACTTGCCTTTAGACTGAAAGACAACTGTGGCAGATTAATTTTATTATCACATTAAAAAGTAATTGATAAACTTGCGTGGATTATGCAGAGCTAAACCATGGCAGAATATCATTCTTATCAATACTGTACTAAGTAGTTTGCACTGAAGATTTTATTAAGATTGCTAATCCTGAAGAGTTAATAAACCAGGATAACTGAGAATATTAACCAATGGGATTTTTATTTTCATTGATGTTCCTAGGTTCTTTCCCCTAGGATGCAACCTACAAAAAAAAAAATGGTTAACTATGACCAGAATTTTTAAAGGGGTGGACTGGTAAGCCAGCAGAAGGCCAGATGACCAAAAGCTCCAATGGCAGGTTATCATCTGACTAAGACCTGCATCAGGAATTCAATTCAATTCAATTCAATTCAAAGTTTATTCTCTATAAAGATTACAATGTTGAATTTACAGAATTTTGTTGTTGTGTGGTTTACATGTAGTTAAATAATGATTACAGAGTGTACCACTAGAACGCCTAGCATGGCTAGGCATTTCGGGCAGACTTAGTTTAATTCTTTATTTTAAAATATTACAAATTATGAGGTAAGTTGGTATTATGGCTGACTAAATACTAGTTTGTGAGTTTAGCAATGTGAATGCTTTTGTTTTGGCACAGTACATAGTTTCAGTATTGGAGTATCATAGGATTCATTATTTTAAGATTGAGATTAATATTTCTGTTTATGGTCAAATGGGTGAGTGAGTGTGTGAACCACCAGGTGGTATTCATGTAGTTAGTTGATGGGGTGTATCAGGGAGATAAGATGTTTTCTAATGGTAGTTTTGAAGGTGATGAATGTGTCTGCAGTTCTAGAGTTCTCAGGTAGGATGTTCCAGATTTTAGGGCCTTTGACATACATTGAATTTTTGTAAAGGTTTAGTCGGACACGGGGAATGTCGTAGAGATGTTTGTGTCTGGTGTTATGCCTGTGGGTTCTGTCACAACTACCAAGAAAGTGTTTTAGGTCAAGGTTGATATTGGAGTTTAAGGTCCTGTAGATGTAGATTGCACAGTAGTAAGTGTGGATGTACTGAACAGGGAGTAAGTTTAGATCTATGAAGAGTGGGGGGGTGTGTTGCCAGGGATGGGATTTAGTGATTATTCTTACTGCAGCTTTTTGTTGGGTTATTATTGGCTTTAGGTGTGTTGCTGCAGTTGATCCCCAAGCACAAATAGCATAGGTGAGGTATGGATATAAAAGTGAATGGTATAGTGTGATAAGGGCAGTTTGCGGCACGTAGTATCGTATCTTGGAGAGGATCCCAACCGTTTTGGATACTTTTTTGGTTATGTGTTGGATATGGGTGCTGAAGTTCAGGTTGTTGTCGAGGTATAGGCCTAGGAATTTGCCCTCATTATGTCTGGTAATTAGAGTGTTGTCGATCTTAATGTTAATTTGTGCATCTCCTGCTCTGCTACCAAACATAATATATAGTAGGTTTTGTCAGTGTTAAGCGTAAGTTTATTGGCTGTCATCCAAGTCGATATTTTGATCAGCTCCTCGTTAACAATGGTGTTGAGGGTGGCAAGATTAGGGTGAGAGATGACATAAGTCGTGTCGTCAGCAAAGAGAATGGGTTTCAGGTGTTGGGATACGTTTGGAAGATCATTGATGTATATGAGGAAGAGCAGGGGACCAAGGACACTTCCCTGCGGAACTCCAGTATCAAGTGGCCGTGTTGTTGATGCTGTGTCTTTAATGGTGACATACTGATACCTATTAGTAAGGTAAGATTTGAAATAAGCAAGTGCATGGCCTCTTATACCATAATGGTCAAGTTTGTGGAGTAGGATGTCGTGGTCTACTGTGTCAAAAGCTTTTCTTAGGTCAATAAAAATTCCTGACAAACCTTACCTAAACCTACATCAGTCCTATGTACTGTTTACTGCTAGGCAAAAAGGGGCAGCAAGTGTATGGAGACACCCATACATCTCGCCCTGTTTAGGAATGAACCCAAGTTATTTTCTTTGTAAGCCTGATGGAAAACCCACTTAACTCCAAAGTACATAATTTTGGATGTGGTAGCAAAAATTAAGATTTTCAGGGGGACAGTTATTGTTTTTGATGTGTTCACAGTTTGACCTGTATTTTTGTCACTGATGAAGAATATATAACAAATACACTACCCTACCAATGATTTAGTTGTCCCCAAAGGTAGCATTCAGGGTTCTCTTCTTTTCATTATCTGTATCAATGACCTTCCAGATCCTACCCAACATGTGAAATAATGTGTCTTTGCCAATGACACAACCTTTACATTCTCAGGCTCAGACTCCTTGATATTAGGTGTGAATGATGAATTAAAAAATGGACTATACCTGGATGATTACGAACCTCACCTAGTGTGTATTGCACTTGCAGATATGCATCCAGACCTGGGCCTGGACTGTGATGGCTACCATGCCCTTTGGAGAGGAACCAACCACTGGAGAGGGATCCTCTTCCTTGATGCCCAGTATGAAGGGCAGCTCTTCCAAGATAATACATTGTATCAGAAGGTGAATCTTGCACTTTTCTTCTTCAGAATTTTGCATGGTTTGTGAAGTAAGGTTAAGGTTTAATTAGAAACTGGGTAGTGTGTTCTCTCATTGTTAATGAATAATAGAAGAAATTAGTATTATGGATAAATGGAATGTTACAGCGAGTAGGAGGCTGAAAGCAGTAGAGATGTCGTGTCTGAGGACAATGCATGGCAAAAATGTTATGCAAAGAATTTGTAGTTTTAGAGATTAGAAAGAGGCATGGAGTTACTAAAAGTACTCTCCAGAGGGATGGAGAGGGGTTGTTGAGATGGTTTGGTCAATTTGAGAGGATGGAGCAAAATAGGATGACTTGGAAGGTCTCTAGTGGAGGGAAGGCAGGGTAGGGGGTCATCCTAGGAAAGGGTGGAGGTAAAGGAGATTTTGTGTACGAGGGGTTGGACATCCAGCAGGCATGTGTAAGCATGTTAGATAGGAGTGAGTGGAGACAAATGGTTTTTGGGACCTGAGGAGCAGTTGGTGTTAGCAAGGCAATATTTAGTGAAGGGATTCAGGGAAACCAGTTAGCCGGACTTGCGTCCTGGAGGTGGAAAGTACAGTGCCTGCACTCTGGGGAAGGGTTTAGGATATTAGCTGTTTAGAGTACTTCTAGACTGTCATATCTGTGTGCCTCTGACAAGACAGTGATAGTGTAAATTATGGTGAAAGTGTTTCTTTTTTGGGTCACCCTGCCTTGGTGAGAGAAGGCAGCATGTATACCTGGAGAGGGTTTTGGGGGGTCAACACCCTTGCTGCCCAGTCTGTGACCAGGCCTCATGATGGATCAAACCCTGATCAAGCAGGCTGTTACTGTTGGCTGCATGCAACCCACGGTACAAACCACAGTCCGGCTGGTCAGGTACTGACTGTAGGTTCCTGTCCAGTGCCTTCTTGAAGACAGCCAGGGGTTTATTGGTAATCCCCCTAATGTATGCTGGGAGGCAGTTGAACAGTCTTGGGCCTCTGACACTTATTGTGTTGTCTCTTATCATGCTAGTGGCACCCCTGCTTTTCATTGAGGGGGGATTTTGTATCATTTGCTGAGTCTTTTGCTTTCATGGGGAGTGATTTTCGTGTGCAAATTTGGTATCAGTCCCTCTAGAATTTTCCAATTGTATATAATCATGCATCTCTCCCACCTGCATTCTAGGGAGTACAAGTTGAGGAACTTCAAGCATTCCCAGTAATTGAGGTGTCAGAATCCCCAGAACTCTCTTTAAAATGCTTTCTTTTAAAGTTTTGATTTTGTCTTCGTATTAATATGTTGCAGGGTATTACTGTGATACACTAGAGATTTCAAGGGTATTTATGTTCTATGTGTATCACCTATGTATAGTAAACCCTCGATATAATGGACTGAGTGTTTATTAAATCAGAATTGCTTTTGACTAGCTTGCATGAGAACCAACTAGATCAAATAATCTGCTGGACTTGATTCTGGCAAACAAGGAGTCTCAGGTTAATGAAGAATTCGGAGAAAGTGATCACAAATCACTTAGTCTTAATATCTCAGAGAATTACCTAATAATAATAAATTTAAGGTCACCAAATTTTATGGTGCAGATTATATGGGGCTAAGGAATTGCTGAAGAGGCATAGACCGAGGTAACCTAACGATGGACTATCATTAGGGACACTAAATAGAAGGTGGTAATAGTTGCCAATATGACATTTTCCAAACCATTGTACAAGCTGGCCAAGCTACTGCACATCAGAAATTATTTGACAGCCTATTTTAGTGTCATTTATAGAGATTGTAAAAATCAAGGGGTCCCCAACACTGTCCTGTTGCACACCACTTGTAACAGGTCACCATTCTGGTTTCTCCCCATTATTGCATGATCTTTGTTACTTAGAATGATACAGAATGACCTGTGTAGGTTGATGTGGTTGAAGAAGTAGCAGATGCAGTTCAGTGCACACAAGCATAAGGTTCTAATCTTAGAAAAAAGAAAAACTTATAAGCTAAACTACATAAATCTTAGTTACAGTGAATGCAAAAAAGATCTAGGAGCTCTAGTTAGTAGAAATTTAAAGCCAAGACAACAGGGCTCAAGTGTTTACTATAAAACTAAAATTCTTGGCTTCATATCAAAAGGTATAAATAGTTTATATAACATCTTTGGTTGGACCTCATTTAGATCATGATGCTCAGTTCTAGTCTCCACATTATGAGATGGATATAAATGTACTCAAAAATATACAGAGAAAGTTGATGAAGTTAATTCCATGTACTTTTCCATTGAAAATAGGCTGAAAGCATTGAACTTTCACTCTTTGGAAAGGTGTAGAATATGGGAAGATATGATTGAAGTGTACAAGTGAAAAACAGGAATAAATAAAGGGGATATATAAAGCTTGAAAATATCTAACCAAAACAGGACTTGTAACAATGGATTTAAGTTGGAGAAGTTTAGATTTAGAATGGGTATTGGGAAGTACTTCTTTGGCAGTAGAGTTGTAAATGAGTGGAGCAAACTCCCAGGTAGTGTCACTGTGGCAAGAACTTTACTGGGTAACTTTAAATATAGGGTGGATGGGTGCATGAATGGGTGTGGGAGGGTGTGAATTGACTCTGGGGCCAGCATGGGCCAGTAGGCCTGCTGCAGTGTTCCTTTGTTCTCATGTTCTTGAGTTAACTAAGACATTTCTTAGCCTGGCTCACAAGTCAAGACCAGCCAGGCTTTGTAGGTTATACAAATCCAATTAAGATAATCCCCTTCAGACCTATCATTTCATGTAATGGAAATACATTCACAATCTGGCAAGGGCACTTACAAAACACTTACACAAATTACCAGGCACCATAATCCCATGACAGTGCCCTAATCAACCAAGTAAAAACTATTAAAATCAAGAACAAATGGTTTGCTATTTTTAACATGAAAGCCATTGTAAATATACCCACACACAGTCCATCACACTACTATGCAACAAAGTTAATAAAACTTTAGACCTTCCTTTACCCAGTTATTTTAGCTGCAGAGAGCAGAAAAACAGACATTGCTTTGGGTTGTAAACCTAGCACTGACATGAATTTAGTTTTGTCATTTTGTCTTAATTCTTAAAAAGTTGTTTGCAATTTAATCATTCACTGCAAATTATAAAATACACAATGATATTTCAAACTTGATTATGTTTTGCTTAATTTTAGGTATCAAAATCGATTTTGAGTTACGTGGACTTAGAGTATGCTGGTATGGGTCCCCAGCGAGAAGTGGAGTCAGCCTTGATGAGCAGGAAGGTTCCTCCTCGACTCTCTAATGTCACCATTTCTTCTAATGCCTTTAATGGCATCAACTTCACTTTACCAGGAACTTTTGTCCATCTACAAAGTGCAACTATTAAAGGAAACAATGGTAAGTCATCATTATTTATTTTTTGCTTTAGGCATACATGATGGTTTGTCTGCCTTAAGACAGCATTCAGTGTACAGTACATTTAGTTAGATTCCTAAAACTAATAATATAATATAGTAGCATTTCTTGTATGTTTTTCTTGAGTTGACCCTCAAAACCCTCTCCAGGTATATTCCAAGTATTCTGTTTTTTCAAGACCCTTTAAGTCCATTAATATCTTGCATAAATATGGCTTTTTCATTGAAGAATCCTTTGTATCAAATGTACCTTATTACTAAGCAAATTTTAATAATAATAATACATTTTCAAAAAGTTATAAACCCTGTCTTTTAGATAGTTTTTATGGTATTTCTGGTTTGGGTCTCTTAGATACATATTGTTTCCGTGATTAGTTACAGTGAACAAGGTCTTTAGTTTGTTTATAGTATCAGTAATTGAGAGTAACAGTTATTTTATTCTTCCTTTATTAACGCTTTGGAAGTTGGTGCTGTAGTACTACGGTTTTGAAGTCGATGTCGATGCAGTAGAACTACATGGTGACTTTAGTGCACTCAGATAAGCTGTGATCTGTAAATTTTGGTCTAGACATGAGAGAATGGGTTTGTGCCATGAGTGTACACCATATAAAAGAAATTCTGTCCTATGTAGTGCATGATGGGGAAAAAAACAGTGACTCTCTGTTTGGTTTAAAATGATGACTTTGTGGTGCATTTTTGGATGGTTCTTATGGTTTTATTCTTGGTTTCTTGGTATCATTTGAAAGAATAGAAGATTTATTACAGAAATAGAAATGATTTTGATTGGTTTCAGTACCAGAAGTACTTTGAAATTGACTTCAAAGTAGCGGAAATATTAGATTTTTACCAATATAAGAATACACAAATCACGTCATTCATTCAGTACACTTCTAACTGGTCAGTTTAATGTGCATTCACGAATGCACTGACATTGTTTATACAATTATTACAATAAAACAGTAGTCTTCATAACAGTAAATCTTCTATTTTTTATGTGAATAAAAATTCAAAATGAAAAGGAAATGTAATATAGGAGAGGCCTGGGGACATTACTAATAAACAGAGGAAATAAATATTTTAGTCTCAGGAATGTCTAAATTGTTTATTCTGGACCCTATTTTTAAATTGACAATTTTATCTTTTTTTTTTGTGTGTGTGTGTGTGAAATTGCCCAAATTACCAATTTCCTGTGCTCACTTGATAGAATGGAAAGTGTACCAGTGAAATAGCTAAGAGTTTGGTCGCCTGGAACAATGGAATTGGCCTAAAATAGGACTCAAAGTGGGCGAAATTGCCAGTGCGTCAATGTCACCAAGACCGCTAACTTTGTGAAAGCTTCAGTTCGTAAATTTTCCATCAAATTTCGTACATTTGGTGTCATTACCTTTGGAATAAGATTCTCTCTCATTTCTTAAGAAAAATATTATTTTGTTATCAACATTGTTGGGTTGTATTGAAAGATTTTTTTTTTTTCCCTTTCATTGATGATTTCTCATTGATAAATTTTTTATTGATGCATCATTGCAGGTTCTCATTGTTAATTTTCTGCTTTTCAGTAATGGCACATGAATGAAGTGAAAACAAATACAAACTATTTTAGGTTATAATTTTCATTTGGTTTAGTTAACCTGTTGTCATTGATACTGTAGTCTTTAAGTATCAGGTTAAGTCTCCTCGGAATGCCTTGGCATGATAGTGGCTTTCTTTGTACCAATCAAATTATGAAATGTAAACACACATTGTGACCTTTGCAAAGAAATAAATGTTTGATTTTTTATTTTGATTTTGTATTGTTATGTCGAATGATATATGTGAGTTTTCTGGGTGAGAAGCTGAGAAGCTCAAACACTACCAAGCAAGTAACAGGAAAATATTAATTACTGCACTAGTGATTATAATCTTTTAGTATTATTAGCAAAAGTGGCTCTGTTATTGTATTATTTCTTGAGGCTAAACTTTTTTCAGGTTATGGTGTATATGTGAACACATCAACAGGCTCAGTGTTAATCAATGAGTCCTCATCAGTCAGAGAAAATACTGCTGATGGGGTTAAGTATAACTTCCACCACCGTCAACCTGATCGTTCAGCTTCAGATACTTTCCAAGACTTTTGCGCTGGAGCTTCCAACCCCAATCAAGCTTATCCAATTGTAACAGTTGCCACTCAGGATAAATATTCCTTCAATGACCTCTCGTGTGTTAGGGTAAGTTTACAGGACTAAATTACAGAGGGCTTCCTGCCTTCTTAATATTCATGATAGATTTTTTTAATCAAACTTACTACAGCAGGCTTCATAGCCTGGATATAAATTAGTTTGAAATTTGGTAAAATTCCAGTTAATGAAATAAAAAGAAAATAGCCTTTATTTTCAATAATTTTGGGCATACAATACACGTATTTAGATGCAACTATTTCATGTTTTCCACAGTCATTCTACATCAAAAAAACTAACTTCGTCTTCACAGTACACTTCTCTTATATGCAGGCAGAGATAAATGGAGCTGCTATGGTGGAAGTCAGGTAAGTTATATTCCCTAAAATGTATAAATTTCAGTTAGGTTAAATTCTCCAAGATACACAAGTACCAAATTGATATTTATCAATGTCTAAACAGGTAAATATGTTAGTTCCTAACTGCTTTAATTGTTTCTCTAATAATTCATTGCATAATCTGTCATCATAATGTCATGCATGGAAACTTGTGATGAAATTGCATTGTGCATGATTAGTTAGCTCTTTAATTAAAAATGATACACAAATACAACCTATACATAGGAGAGAAAAAAGCTCATGACAACATTTTGGTTGTCATGAGCTTTTCTTTCCTATGTATGGGTTATTTGTGTATTGATCCAGTCATGGTATTGTGCCTTTTTGTTCTTTAAAAATGATAAAATGACAAAAGGTACTCATCCCAACAAATACATAGACTGTAGTTGCTTAAGGGTAAAGTCATTTGCCTGAAGTATCTTACTGGCTAGTAGGAAATATTAAATAAATTACTATATGCCATAAATAAGTAAAGAAATATAAAAAAAAATGTTCATTAATGTTGTGCCAGAGAAATTTACCCAATAAAGTTTTATTTATCATTATTTTAACATATGATTTACTAAATTTAGTGTGAAATACTGTATATAAACTATTGCCTTAGATAATAGTGATTAAACTGTTCTAGTATACTTCTAAATGGTTATAGATTAAATGTAAGTTTTACACAGGGATCGTGACCAGTGGGGTGACTTACTGACCAAATTTGAGTTGCGAAACAACACCTTTCCATCATCTGTTGTCTCACGAGGGAACAGCATTTGGATCAAATTTACTGCCAAGTCCCATAAACTCTCCTTCATATTCATGGAAGTGGTGGCTAGTAAATGTAAGTTAGAATAATGATTTTTTTTCTTTTAGGGGCAAGGATGAAAACATTTAAATGAAAGAAAAATTATAAGATAGAGTCTCACATAATTCAGTGGGTACTTTTCTGAAAACGTTTTATGTGAAATCTGTATTACGTGGACTGAAGAATTTTTTTTTTTAAACACTCCAGCTGTCTCCCACCAAGATAGGGTGACTCCAGTAAAAAAGAACACTCTCCCTGTCACTCATTCAATCACTCTCTTGCCAGAAGGGCACTGACATCACAGTTCAAATGACCATCCAAACTGCAGCATCCCCACCCCTCCATCGTAATGCAGACACTATACTTCCCACCTCCAGGACTCAAGTCTGGCTAACTGGTTTTCCCTGAATCCCTTCATAAATGTTATCTTACTTATGCTCCAACAGCATGTCAAATCATAAAAACCCTTTGCCTCCACTCACTGCTGTCTAATATACTCACACAAACTTGTTGCATGTTTAAGACCTGAGCATTCAAACCCTTCTTTACTCCCTCCCTCCACCCCGGATTTATATACCCTCCTAGTTATCCTGTTTCTTTGTGCATTCTCTCTAAATGTCCAACTATCCTCAATAACTGCTCCTCAGCCCTCTGAATGATACCTTTGGTAACTCCAATATTTTACCATATGAGGTACATGTGGCAAAATATTTTGTTACTTTCTTGAGACTTCTAATAAAGCCTTACAGGGTTAAAAAAGAAATTATTCTGATTGGTGATACTTGTTGGTCTTAACATGCATGTAGAGCGTTGATGTAGCCCTGCTGGGCTGAAGTGGATGAGTGTAGTTCTTTGTACAAAGTAAGACATCATATTTATAGCCATGTACCACTATGAAGCATTTTAAAATTAGCACTTTCTTTGCTACATTCAGAGATTCATTCCTAGCACCTTTAGCACCACTAGTATTCCTCCTGGGTTCCATGGTCACAATAGAGATGAGATGAAATGCCAAAAATATCAACTAAGAAATGTAGTATACTGGAAACTTTATTTCTGAGTACATACAAGTATGCAATATGAGGATATTGTCATCATAAGAGCAATACAGCCTCTCCTCACTTAACGATGGAGTTCTGTTCCTGAGACCGCATCAATAAATGAATTCGTCACTAAGTGAGGAGCATACTATAATGGTAGTGAGTTTGTGTCAACCATCTTTGATATTGTTTTAATGTCACCTTTGCAGCATTTATAAAAAAATTTGTATATTTTTAAATGTGTATACAGTAGAGTACTGTATACTGTAATAAACAGAATAGAGGAAATAAGCTCTAATATACATTATTTAGGTATGCATGCTGGTCAGAGAGCCCATCGTAAGTATGAGGCATTGGTAAACGAGCACGTCGTTAAGTGAGGAGAGGCTGTAGTTAGAATTGTACAAGGACTAGGATAATTGACATTCTATTTTAAATCTTTAAAATTTTATACATAATTGAGCTGTGTATATTGTAGTTTGGCCTATTTAAATAATGTAATAATTTTTATTGTGGCATAATTTTTATCTCATGTTTGATTAATTATTCCTTAAACTAATGCAATTAATTTCTCTCCACAGATAAAATGTTTGATCTCAAACTTCAGAATTCCTTTGTAGGAAACAACAGTGGCCATGGAGTTGCAATTGAAAATATGCGCAGTCTGGTTCACATTCATCAGTCAGAGTTAATGTATAATTTTTTTGGATCAGGTCTTAATGTGAAAATGGGTGCCGGAGATGTTAACATTACTCGTTCCAGTGTCAGTAAAAATATTGGCGATGGTGTAAATATTACTTATGAAGGAGGTTTGCAAAATGTTACGTGGAGCAATGTTGCTGGCAACTCGCTTCGAGGAGTTGCTGTTTGGTTTAATGAGAGTGGACTTGATACTAAAATAAAGCAGGAGACAGGTGTGGCTTATTCGACATTCAGAGGGAACTTAGATGTTGGTTTGCGAATTGGGAATTTTTGTCGGAATGCTTTTGTAAACATTAGTAGTAACTCATTTACAGAAGGCCAGAGAGCAGCAGTAGAGATAGAATCATGCTGGCTCAGAAATAGTGGGAAGAGAACTGTGCAAATTGGCCAAAATTTGTTCGAGAGGAATCACCGCTTAGCTGTGAAGATATCTCCAGCTGTTAATATGAATCTAACTATTGAATACAATGAGTTTCAACAGAATCGCCGAGGAACACTAATGATATATAATGAAGACAATGTGCAGTTACCAAGTTTACCATTTGTGGGACATATAGTGAGAAATCACTTCCGCAACAACACTGGCTGGTTTGTTATTCGGCTTGCTCTATCCCTTCGAGGACTAGATCAGAATCTTCTTGTAGAAAAGAATACAATAAAAAACAACTTTGTCAAAGAGTTATATAGTAACATTCAGTCCAGAAGTCGTGCTGCAGGGGTGGTGTGTGTGGGCTCATCAAATATAGTGCTTTACAGAAATTTAATTGAAAATCCTGGTTCCAACTATGAAATTAGCTCACATTTGACTGATCAGAGCACACCCATCAATGCTACTTACAATTGGCTTGGTAGCAAATTTGAAAATAATATTTTTGAACGTATTTTGGATCGTCGTGATCTCTACAATTTAGCATTAGTGTTATTTCACCCCTTTCTTCTAAGTAATAACAATGTTGAAACTCCTGTGACCGAAGCAGGACAAGTAAGTGAACCTAATTTCTTTGACCCAGTTGAAGGTCACATAATTGGTGGAGAAGTGAATGGTGAAATTACACTTCATGATGGCATTTATACTGTAACAAGGGATATATTTGTCCATGAAACTGGAATCTTAACTATTGCTTTTGGCACCACGCTGGAATTTGCTGAGGGTATGGGAATGATGGTAGCAGGGCTATTGCGTACTGAAGGTTCTGGGAAACGTGATGTGCGTTTCACCCTCCAGGGAACGTCTGAGCGAGAGTTGATGTCAAGAGCAGCATTACCAGCAGATTTAATGGTGTTCAATAATACAGGTAATACCAATGTAACAGCTAGTATGCCGTCAAATAATACAGCAGAAGACTCGCCCATCCTGGTCAAGCTTGTCGGGGGCAGGAATGACCTTGAAGGAAGACTGATGGTAAGCACATCATATTGAAATTGTGTTTACGATTGGCACTCGTGCATTCTTTATGAAGGATTGACTCTATTTGCTTATATTTTACTAAGACTGTGTACACTGTTGTATTTACAGTACATAACATAATAGTGTGAAATTTATTAGTAAAAATCATCATTTGTGGTCACAGTAGAGCATTTGCTAACCTCCCCAGTTTACAGAAAAACACCTAGTTGAATGAATCTTACTAGACCAGCATGGTATAGTGGTTAGATGACTGGCATGCTAATTTAAGGATTGACTTTTCTTGGGTTTGAATCCTGTCCATTTTATGAGTTGTTTGCAATCATGGTACATATTGCAATTTCACCACATACTGTATCTGCAATTTTCACATACCCACTCAAAACCTTGTAGTAATAATATGCATCAGGCATTTTTGGCATACTTATCATAGCAATTTTTATACTATATTGCCAAAATGATATTAACCCTTTGACTGTCACAAACCCCTTTCTGAAATTGTCATTCTATGTCGAAAAATTTTTGGAAAAAAAAAAAAATTATTATTTCTTATGAAATAACAGAGAATCTTTTCCCGATGGTAATGATACCAAAAGTAGGAAATTTGTTCAAAAACTTACAGAATTATGCTCCCGCGAAGTTAGCGATCTTGGTGATATATACGCATTGGCGATTTCACCGACTTCGAGCTCTATTTTCGGCCAATTCCATTGTTCCAGTCGACCAAACTCATAGTTATTTCTTTAGAACTCCATTTTTTCTATCAATTGAGTACAAGAAACTTCCCATCTACCCAATACAGTGGTCAGAAATTGGCAATTTGGCCAATTTCATGCAAATTGAAAAGGATGTTAATTTCAAAAAAGGGTCCAGAATAAACAATGCAGACATTCCTGACACTAAAATAACATATCCTCTGTTCATTAGTCACGTCTCTTTGCCCCTCTTATATTACTCTTGCTCTCTATTTTGATTTATTATTCACACAAAAAAATAGAAGATTTACTGTTATGCAGACTACTGCATTATTATAAAAATAATAAATAGTATAAATAATATCAGTGCACCAGTGAAAGAATATTAGACTCCCTAGTTGACGTGTATTGGACGTGTGGTGTGATTTGCTTACTCTTGAACATCGGCAAAAATCAAACATTTCCGCTATTTTGAGCTCAATTTCAAGGTCGTTTTCATCGTGAAATTAATCAAAATCGCATCTATTTCTGTAATATGTTTTCCATTCTATCAAACGAGACCAAGAAAAGGAGAATACAACCGTAAATACTGTACAAAAATACACCAAAGTCAGCATTTTAATCCAAAAGCATGGTCGGAGCTTTTTTTTTTTCTCATTATGCACTGCATGCTGCAGGATTTTTTTTATATGGTGCACACTGACCACACAGACCCATTCTCTCACATGTGGGCGTACCAGCTTTCTCCAGCTTGATTTGAAGCCGCTAGAATTTACGCACATAAATACGTCCGAAACATAGGCTCATAAGACGTATATATACGTCTGAAACAGTCAAAGGGTTAAGTCATAATTCATTTCATTTTATTTTAGTTTCTCAACTCCCCAAGAAGCTACATACCTATTTATTGACTATGTTTTTTTATATTACAGTACATTACCATTTTGAAGAGTTACATATCTTTTGGTGTTTTCTTATTGCTTAATTAGGTGTATGTAGATGGCGAGTGGGGGACTGTGTGCAGCCATGGATGGAGTCAAAATGCTGCTGCAGTTGCCTGTCAGCAGATGGGTTATGTTCTTAACCCTGAGGACTGGTTCCTTGAACCAAGCAATATACCACCAGATGGTCAGACTGCTAGGATTCTCCTCAGGTTTGTTCATTAATTTATGGATAAATAAGGGCATGACAGACTTGTTAGGAGAGTTATTAATTTATTTTGCAGTTTGGAGGGACATTTAAATTGTGATGTCTGTGCATTTCTTGAAGGAGTTATTGAGCAATGGTTGATTTTTTTTTTTTTTTTGGGGGGGGGGGAGTTATCTACCTTCAGGGAAAGTGGCAGATGTACAACATTAATTAATTCAGTTGTCATTATCAGTATTTTTTCACTGTTTTTTTGCAACAGAATGCCAAATAGCCATTTTTTTTTTCAACAAGTCGGCCATCTCCCACCGAGGCAGGGTGACCCAAAAAGAAAGAAAATCCCCCAAAAGAAAATACTTTCATCATCATTCAACACTTTCACCTCACTCACACATAATCACTGTTTTTACAGAGGTGCCCAGAATACAGCAGTTTAGAAGTACATGTACATGTATATACGTATAAAAATACACAATATATCTCTCCAAACTGCCAATATTCCAAGCCCCTCCTTTAGAGTGCAGGCATTGTACTTCCCATTTCCAGGACTCAAGTCCGGTTATATAAAATAACCGGATATAAAATAACCGGATATAAAATAACCGGATATAAAATAACCAGATATAAAATAACTGGATATAAAATAACCGGATTTAAAATAACCGTACAAAAATAAATGCATTTGATAAAAAAAGTTATACTGTAGTATATAGCTTAATGAAGGAGTGCTCAATCCACAACCCAATAGATGTAGGTTTGATACCCAGGCAGGGACAAGTCTCATTACACCTGTTGGCCTTTCTCATCTATCATTAAATAAGTACCTGTACATTGATGATACTGGTCACATTCTGGTAACAAGGGAAGTTGATAGTATACCATATAAAGGGCTGGGTTTTGAAATTAGCTGAGGTAAGATAACAGTTTGTAAATTCACTTATGTTGACAAAAGAAAGACATAAAAATAAATATTACAACTTCTCACTTCTCAGGACTCCCACAAAACTCACAATGTCTTTCCTCCTCTAAAAATGTTGAGCAAACTACACTGATCTCATAATAGTGAATTTTTGTTACACAGTAAATTACTGGTAGAGATGGAGTTATCACGTAAGTAAATTCACTTGCATAGTATCCTTATAAAATAAGGAAAACCTTACATTACATAATTTGTCTTTGCAGAAAACTTATCTAATGTATATTTTGAATTCTTTACCAAACAGCAATGTGCAGTGTGATGAGTTTGACACTGACATAACAAAATGCAAGACTGAAGTGTTGTGGGAACTAGAAAACTCGTGTTCCCATGCAGAAGATGTTGGCATCCGCTGCTATCCAGGCACCTGGGCAGGCATACGTTTAGGGATGACTGCACATGAAAGTCATATCAAAGGTGTTGTCATTGAGAAGGCAGGCCTATTAGACTATACCACTAGGACCTTTAAACCAGGTAAATGTTCCAAAATGGCATAATCTTGATAATAACACATACATAAAACCATTAATTACTTTTTATTAACTCTTTTGTGATTACAGACAAAATGTGTTTCAATGTATATTTTCTTTATACAAATACAGTCTTTCCTCACTTAGGGACATACTTGTTTACCAATGCCTCAGACTTACAACAGGCTCACTGACAAGTTTTTTTTTTTTTTTTTTTTTTTTTTAACAAGTCGGCTGTTTCCCACCGAGGCAGGGTGACCCAAAAAGAAAGAAATTCCCCAAAAAGAAAATACTTTCATCATCATTCAACACTTTCACCTCACTCACACACAGTCACTGTTTTGCAGAGGTGCTCAGAACACAACAGTTTAGAGGCATGTACGTATAAAGATACACAACATGTCCCTCCAAACTGCTAATATCCCGAAACCCTCCTTTAGAGTGCAGGCATTGTACTTCACTGACAAGTATTCATACATAAATGTGCAAAGGTGACATCAAAACAATATCAAAGATGGTTGACACAAACTCACTACCATTATAGTATGCTCCTCACTTAGCGACAAATTTGTTTAACAACGTGGTCTGAGGAATGGAACTCCATCGTTAAGTGAGGAGAGGCTGTATTCAGTTGTTTATAATGAATCATAATAATTCATGTCTTCTTTTGAAAATATCATAATTTTTTAATTTACTTTTTTCGGTTATATTTTGAATAACAAATGTCTCCTTTAAACACTTAAGCACTGCAGATCGACTTCCACCATCATGTCATACAGGATATTGAAGTACGGGACAACTCCCATGATGGTGTTGGTGTCATTTACAGTAATCAGTATGCTATTGCCAATCCAGATGCTCGTGTATTTAAAGGATGCAGCTTTACTAGGAATAAAAGACATGGAATAAGCTTAAAACAGATGGGAGTGAACATAACTGGTGAGTGTTAGTCATCATTTAGTATCTGTAGACCAAAAATTGTACAAAAATATCTCAATACATTGTAGAAATATTTTTAATTGTATCCTATTTAACTTTCTGCAACAATTTGTAGTGGTACAGGATCAGAGAGATGTGTTCTTTTGTGCATATATACTAAGAGTTGTGAGTTCATGTATATTTAAGAGTTTTGAGAGGAATTGAATCTAATAACCCTGAAGGATAGAAGGATCAGGGGAGACATGATAACAGCATACAAAATACTCAGAGGAATTGATAGTGCAGACACAGACAGGCTGTTTGAGAGGCAGGAAGCTGGTACTTGGGGGCACAGCTGGAAGATAAGGACACATGAGTCACAGGGTGGTCGGAAAGTGGAATGACCTCAGTGAAGAAGTGGTGGAGGCAGATGCCATACACAATTTTAAGAATAAGTACAATAGGGCCCACAGGGCTAGGAGAGAGTGAATTTGGCAAGTGGAAGTTGAAAGGTGGGGCTAGGAGCTAAAATTAGACCCCTGCAACCACGTATAGATGAGTATAGTTGATGGGCTTTTAACTTATGAAACTGAATTTTAGTACAGATTGGGTAAAATATACATTCGATGTGGTCAAGCCATGGCTTGGTGCAACTCGTGTACTCGTTTGCTTCCCTCCCCAAAAACAAAATATGTTTAGGAGTAGAGTACAAGAACTATCAAATTGGTTTGATAGTTCTTGTACTCTTGTACTCTTCTGACTGGTTTCACTAACTGACGGGGCTCTATGCACCCTATCAAACACTCAAACAGTAACTACAACAAATAGTTACAATACAGATAGACAGATCTACTGTTAAGGTGCTTATTAGGAAAAAGATACACAGTGATCCACTAACTGGATTCTTCCAGTTTCACTGGATTCGGGTGCATTCAAACGCTTTTGTTGGAAATAAAGCCGGATTTGGGCGGATTCAAATGGTCTCATTGGAAATAAAGCCAAATTGGAAGAACTGTTACAAAAAATTAAATACATCGGGGAATTATAGACTAGCTAGCTAAGAGAGATGTCTAGTATTGTAAGATGACCACCACCATGAAGATCTGTGTAGTCTGCAGAAAGGGTAAGGGATGAAGACAGGCCTTTTTTGCTTGCCATCTGTGTGGTCAGTGGTCCCATAGTATATGCAGGGATTTTAAACTAGTGACCACAGAAAGATGTTTTTGGGTTTGCCCAAACGAGATACACTTGTATGAGGAAATGACATCTGTATTAAAAGACAAGAACACCAATAAAACATCCTTCTTGAAAGACATGTCAGCATGGTATGACAGCTGGGAAAAAAAAGATGGGTGGTAGGGACAGGGTTGTCTTGGACAGTGCTCCTGAGGGTGCTAGTGCTGTCCTGGAGGACAGTGCTCCAGAGAGTCCTAGTGATGTCTTAGAAGATAGCACTCATGAGGGTACTAGTGTTGTCCTGGAGGACACTGAAGACAACTTTATTCAGTCCACAGAGGTTCAAAATAGAGATACTGCTAGAGATGGATCAAAATGGGATGATGCCTCAGGAAATGGTGTCGACACACTACCAGCAAAACCTGATGAAAGCACTGATGTCCATACAGGGGTAAAAGATATTGAGGAAACAGGAAAAATAAATGCACCAGCAGTGAATGCAGCTACAATAAATCCTAGTAAACAGGAGTACAATCTATGTAAATACAGTGGACCCCCGCTTTACGATCACCTCCCAATGCGACCAATTATGTAAATGTATTTATGTAAGTGCGTTTGTACGTGTATGTTTGGGGGTCTGAAATTGACTAATCTAATTCACAATATTCCTTATGGGAACAAATTCGTTCAGTACTGGCACCTGAACATACTTCTGGAATGAAATAATATCGTAAACCGGGTGTCCACTGTGCTATGCCTTGGGTATCTGCAGGCACGGTATCTGGTAAAACAGGTGGGACATGCACCTTTGACCATCCCAAAAAATGCCACACCCACATGACAACAGGAGAGTGCAACTTCCCTTATTGCAACTTATTTCACTCAGAAATGTGTTGCTCATCAATCTATGAAAGAAAATGCTACAATGCATACTGCCAAGCACATCATCTAAAGGGGATTAGAAGACACAGACCAGCCAGACTATGGGAAACAAAAGAGAGGAGCCACAACCTCTCCAGGGACAGAGGTTTTTTAGGGCCAGAAGGGAAAAATGGATTTGTCAGTTAAAAATAGGAGAGGAGAGTTATTAAATGGAGAGTTAGAGGTATTGGGAAGATGGAGGGAATATTTTGAGGAATTGTTAAATGTTGATGAAGATAGGGAAGCTGTGATTTCGTGTATAGGGCAAGGAGGAACAACATCTTGTAGGAGTGAGGAAGAGCCAGTTGTGAGTGTGGGGGAAGTTTGTGAGGCAGTAGGTAAAATGAAAGGGGGTAAGGCAGCCAGGATTGATGGGATAAAGATAGAAATGTTAAAAGCAGGTGGGGATATAGTTTTGGAGTGGTTGGTGCAATTATTTAATAAATGTATGGAAGAGGGTAAGGTACCTAGGGATTGGCAGAGAGCATGCATAGTTCCTTTGTATAAAGGCAAAGGGGATAAAAGAGAGTGCAAAAATTATAGGGGGATAAGTCTGTTGAGTTTTAGGTAGTAGGTTGGTAGACAGCAACCATCCAGGGGGGTACTACCATCCTGCCAAGTGAGTGTGAAACGAAAGCCTGTAATTGTTGTACATGATGGTAGGATTGCTGGTGTCTTTTGTCTGTCTCATAAATATGCAAGATTACAGGTACGTCTTGCTACTTCTACTTACACTTAGGTCACACTATACACACATGTACAAGCTTATATATACACACCCTTCTGGGTTTTCTGCCATTTTCTTTCTAGTTCTTGTTCTTGTTTATTTCCTCTTATCTCCATGGGGAAGTGGAACAGAATTCTTCCTCCGTAAGCCATGCGTGTTGTAAGAGGCAACTAAAATGCCAGGGGAAAGGGGCTAGTAACCCCTTCTCCTGTATATATTACTAAATGTAAAAGGAGTATATGGAATATGGAGTATATGGAATAGGTGGTAAGTTACTAAATGCTGTAAAGAGCTTTTATGAGGATAGTGAGGCTCAGGTTAGGTTGTGTAGAAGAGAGGGAGAATACTTCCCGGTAAAAGTAGGTCTTAGACAGGGATGTGTAATGTCACCATGGTTGTTTAATATATTTATAGATGGGGTTGTAAAAGAAGTAAATGCGAGGGTGTTCGGGAGAGAGGTGGGATTAAATTATGGGGAATCAAATTCAAAATGGGAATTGACACAGTTACTTTTTGCTGATGATACTGTGCTTATGGGAGATTCTAAAGAAAAATTACAAAGGTTAGTGGATGAGTTTGAGAATGTGTGTAAAGGTAAAAAGTTGAAAGTGAACATAGAAAAGAGTAAGGTGATGAGGGTATCAAATGATTTAGATAAAGAAAAATTGGATATCAAATTGGGGAGGAGGAGTATGGAAGAAGTGAATGTTTTCAGATACTTGGGAGTTGACGTGTCGGCGGATGGATTTATGAAGGATGAGGTTAATCATAGAATTGATGAGGGAAAAAAGGTGAGTGGTGCGTTGAGGTATATGTGGAGTCAAAAAACGTTATCTATGGAGGCAAAGAAGGGAATGTATGAAAGTATAGTAGTACCAACACTCTTATATGGATGTGAAGCTTGGGTGGTAAATGCAGCAGCGAGGAGACGGTTGGAGGCAGTGGAGATGTCCTGTTTAAGGGCAATGTGTGGTGTAAATATTATGCAGAAAATTCGGAGTGTGGAAATTAGGAGAAGGTGTGGAGTTAATAAAAGCATTAGTCAGAGGGCAGAAGAGGGGTTGTTGAGGTGGTTTGGTCATTTAGAGAGAATGGATCAAAGTAGAATGACATGGAAAGCATATAAATCTATAGGGAAGGAAAGAGGGGTAGGGGTCGTCCTCGAAAGGGTTGGAAAGAGGGGGTAAAGGAGGTTTTGTGGGTGAGGGGCTTGGACTTCCAGCAAGCGTGCATGAGCGTGTTAGATAGGAGTGAATGGAGACGAATGATACTTGGGACCTGACGATATGTTGGAGTGTGAGCAGGGTAATATTTAGTGAAGGGATTCAGGGAAACCGGTTATTTTCATATAGTCGGACTTGAGTCCTGGAAATGGGAAGTACAATGCCTGCACTTTAAAGGAGGGGTTTGGGATATTGGCAGTTTGGAGGGATATGTTGTGTATCTCTATACGTATATGCTTCTAAACTGTTGTATTCTGAGCACCTCTGCAAAAGCAGTGATAATGTGTGAGTGTGGTGAAAGTGTTGAATGATGATGAAAGTATTTTCTTTTTGGGGATTTTCTTTCTTTTTTTTGGGTCACCCTGCCTCGGTGGGAGACGGCCGACTTGTTGAAAAAAAAAAAAAAAAAAAAAAAAAAAGGAGAAACTTTCATTTTTCCTTTTGGGCCACCCTGCCTCGGTGGGATACGGCCGGTGTGTTGAAAGAAAGAAAGAAGAAGTCTGTTGAGTATACCTGGCAAAGTGTATGGTAGAGTTATTATTGAAAGAATTAAGAGTAAGACGGAGAATAGGATAGCAGATGAACAAGGAGGCTTTAGGAAAGGTAGGGGGTGTGTGGACCAGGTGTTTACAGTGAAACATATTAGTGAACAGTATTTAGATAAGGCTAAAGAGGTCTTTGTGGCATTTATGGATTTGGAAAAGGCGTATGACAGGGTGGATAGGGGGGCAATGTGGCAGATGTTGCAGGTGTATGGTGTAGGAGGTAGGTTACTGAAAGCAGTGAAGAGTTTTTACGAGGATAGTGAGGCTCAAGTTAGAGTATGTAGGAAAGAGGGAAATTATTTCCCAGTAAAAGTAGGCCTTAGACAAGGATGTGTGATGTCACCGTGGTTGTTTAATATATTTATAGATGGGGTTGTAAGAGAAGTAAATGCGAGGGTCTTGGCAAGAGGCGTGGAGTTAAAAGATAAAGAATCACACATAAAGTGGGAGTTGTCACAATTGCTTTTTGCTGATGACACTGTGCTCTTGGGAGATTCTGAAGAGAAGTTGCAGAGATTGGTGGATGAATTTGGTAGGGTGTGCAAAAGAAGAAAATTGAAAGTGAATACAGGAAAGAGTAAGGTTATGAGGATAACAAAAAGATTAGGTGATGAAAGATTGGATATCAGATTTGAGGGAGAGAGTATGGAGGAGGTGAATGTATTCAGATATTTGGGAGTGGACGTGTCAGCGGATGGGTCTATGAAAGATGAGATGAATCATAGAATTGATGAGGGGAAAAGGGTGAGTGGTGCACTTAGGAGTCTGTGGAGACAAAGAACTTTGTCCTTGGAGGCAAAGAGGGGAATGTATGAGAGTATAGTTTTACCAAAGCTCGTATATGGGTGTGAAGCATGGGTGATGAATGTTGCAGCGAGGAGAAGGCTGGAGGCAGTGGGGATGTCATGTCTGAGAGCAATGTGTGGTGTGAATATAATGCAGAGAATTCGTAGTTTGGAAGTTAGGAGGAGGTGCGGGATTACCAAAACTGTTGTCCAGAGGGCTGAGGAAGGGTTGTTGAGGTGGTTCGGACATGTGGAGAGAATGGAGCGAAACAGAATAACTTCAAGAGTGTATCAGTCTGTAGTGGAAGGAAGGCGGGGTAGGGGTCGGCCTAGGAAAGGTTGGAGGGAGGGGGTAAAGGAGGTTTTGTGTGCGAGGGGCTTGGACTTCCAGCAGGCATGCGTGAGCGTGTTTGATAGGAGTGAATGGAGACAAATGGTTTTTAATACTTGACGTGCTGTTGGAGTGTGAGCAAAGTAACATTTATGAAGGGGTTCAGGGAAACAGGCAGGCCGGACTTGAGTCCTGGAGATGGGAAGTACAGTGCCTACACTCTGAAGGAGGGGTGTTAATGTTGCAGTTCAAAAACTGTAGTGTAAAGCACCCTTCTGGCAAGACAGTGGAGTGAATGATGGTGAGAGTTTTTCTTTTTCAGGCCACCCTGCCTTGGTGGGAATCGGCCAGTGTGATAATAAAAAAATAAAAAGGGAAAAAAGACTGGCAAGAAATGACGATCATCCTACACCACCTGAAAACACTTCTGGAGCAGAGGCATGGACATTGGCCTCTACCCCAGAACAACAGATATTAGAGCCAGCAAATAAAACCCCCCTAAATTCCACCAATACGACATTGGTCTTTGCAAACGTACAGGGTCTAAAGCCGTCAAAAAACAACAAAATTCCTTACATCAAGGAACTGCTCATGGAGTCAAATGCAATGTTTGCAGCATTCACAGAGACCCACATAAAAGATCATTATGACAATAAAATATGGATCCCAGGTTATAACCTATTCCGAGTCGACAGACTAAACAGGCAACAAGGGGAGGGTTGGCCTGTATGTCACAGAGTCGCTCATTTGCGCAGAACTACCAAACACCTCAAGAATTAATCTAAGTCTGCCCGAAATGCCTAGCCATGCTAGGTGTTCTAGTGGCCCCCTCTGTAATTAGTATTTTACTACATGTAAACCACACAATAACCAAATTCTGTAAACTCAGCATTGTAATCCTTTTAGAGAATAAACTTTGAATTTGAATGTAGTTGAAGTTTTGGCGGTAAAGATCGAAAACCAGACCATTTGTTGAGTGTATGAGAAAATTTAATATAGCTGACAGGACATTTAATCAAAACAATTATTTGCTAAATAATTATAACACCCAGTGTGACCTACCACTAAAATTTTTAATGTTCTTCACTCTAATAATTAAAACAACCAGCATGACGTACCACTAAAATTTTAAACGTTCTTAACTCCCTGATGATAAGCAGTCATAACTGCTAGCAAGCTCCCACATCCTACTGCAGATACACTTATGTAACTAGAGTTAATTGATTACTTTCCTTCAAATATGGCACAACACAGTGCTTAACGTTTTCATCTTATATCTCACCCTTTACAAGCTTAAAAATTATGAGACATTTTGGGAAAATATCTTGCACTCCTGCTATCAAATGATTGTTATTAACATGTATATCTTAAACTCTGCCAGAGTCTGACCTGCGAGCAAATGATGGGTCTGGGTTACATTTTAACCCTTTTATATCACGTGCTGAACAGAGAGAGCTAGCAGGATGGCTTAAGTTGTTACAGGACAAATATATTAAAATTCCAGGTGAGTATGTTTTAATTTGAAAAGTTGTTCACTCTACCTTGGTTGGAGATGGCCAATGTGTTGAAAAAACTGCACAATTTAAATTCATGTATATCTGTACATATACAGTACCCTGCAGTGCTTGTGCTGCTGTTAGTAGCATTTTGTATTGTGGGTTTCAAGTTCAGACTTTGCTTTACCCCTTGATTCTTCAAGTGTAGCATTCATGCTATTTTGAATTTATTTAGTATGATTTACTCTATCTAGTATCCTAGAAGTTTTATTTAATTTTTACTAACTGCTTTTAATACAATTATTTCAGAGTCTCCAAAAGATATTCAGCTTGCAATAAATGTACCACAGTATTTCATCACACAGACACTACGAGGCACTCAAACAAAAATTACCATCCATGTTTCGGTAAGAACTTGGCACTGCACTTAGAGGCAATGGCTAGTGTTTAACAAGTTGTAAGTGATGATTTTATGTAAGAGCAAAACATGTTATGAAGAATAACATTTTTCAGCCATGTACTTTTTTAATTATATTTACCATGGTGTGTTCTACAAAATATATACAGTACGTATACTGTATTTCTAACTTCACTGGATTTTAAGATTTATTTATATATTTCTGTGTATAAAACTGTGTCTTGAATCAAAGTTAATATTATTATCTCTTGATCTGTCTAGCTGTTTATCCAACAGTGTTAGTGCATCTTTATATTGAATTCTGGTTGTATCTCTTATTATTCTGACAGATTTACTAGATTACTTTGTTATAATATCTTTTAAATAATAGTAACTTTTCAGACATCGCACTCCAATGTAATTGGGATCCAGGTGCTGAATCCAGTTGTACTCGAGAGCACTGAGGAAATAGTGATATATGATTACCAGAAAATTGTACAGAGTGAGGTAAGAAGTTGGTCTCTCAGGTATTTTATTAAGTTGGCAAATGCTGTTGTGGCTGTTACCTTTAGCAGAAATATAAAATGTGAATACAGTACTATATAGAACATTTTAGCATATATTCCATCTAAATATTGGTAAAATATGCTTTAACATTCCCCACAGTCAAACTTGGTCCAATCACTGGACTGAGTTTTTATGCTTACTCATTATTAGATGAAAGGAAACTTTTTAATCTGTCCTTTTTGAATTAAAAGCTGGAATTTCACACATGTTAACAGGATAGGTGTAACTGTAGTGAGTATTCCATGAAAGTTACTTATATTGTTATATGAAATGAAAGGAAGTTTGGGAGCAATTAAAATGTTTATGTACAGGGGTATTAGGGATACAGTAGATGTACAGTGGACCCTCGGTTATCGGCTGTAATCCTCCCTCTTCCTCCTCCTCTGAAGCATGTTCCTCAGCTGTGGTCTGTTGCTGTTCCAGATGAAGCTCTTGCTGCTCTTCAGTGGTTAGCTCTTAACTGTGGTCCTCCACGAACTCTTCCACATCCTCGCCACTGACCTCCAACCCCATGGACTTCCCTAAAGACACAATAGATTCCACAACAGGTGTAAGGTCCTCAGGGTCATCCCCAAACCCTTCAAAATCCCTCTCTTGGACATAATCTGGTCACAGTTTTCACCAAGCAGAGTTCAAAGTCCTGGAAGTCACATTGCATAAGCCTTACCTATAAGGCTTATGCAATGGAGTATACTGAAGTGATTCCTCCAGAACTCTCGTAGGGTCAAATGAGTGTCCGAGATCACTTCAAACCACCTTTGGAACACTGCTTTAGTGGAGAGTTTTTTGAAGTTAGAAATGACCTGCTAGTCTATGGGCTGGATGAGAGGAGTGGTATTAGGAGCAAGAGCCTCACTGTTATAAAATGAAAGTCCCTAAACAATTGGTCTTCCAAGTCTGGAGGATGAGCAGGAGCATTGTCCAGTACCAGGAAGCACTTGAGTGTTAATTTAAGTTCCTGGAGGTATTTTTTCACACGGGCCAAACACATCATTGACTCACTCTTTGAAAATGTGCCTTCTGACCCATGCCTTATTATTAGCTTTCCACATCACACACAGTCTATTGTTTTTCTTGAAAATACTGGGATTTTCAGAGTGATACACCAGTAAAGGCTTCACTTTGAAATCTCCACTAGCATTAGCACAGAACAAAAGAGTAAGCCTGTCTTTCAATGGCTTGTGTCCTGGCAGAGCCTTTTTCTTTTGCATAATGTAGGTTCTCTTTGGCATTTTCTATCAAAAGAGGCCTGTTTCATCACAATTGAACAATATTTGGGGGAGGAATCCTTGAGCCTCTACATACACTCTTGAATTCCTTCACAAATTTTTCAGAGCCGCACACTTGTGAGAACTTGTAGCCTCGCCATGCCTTACCACACTGTGTATGCCACTACACTTCTTAAATCTCTCAAACCAACCTTTGCTGGCCCTAAACTCACTAACAGCAGCACTTGTTCCAGGCATTTTCTTTACAAGATCCACATGCAACTGCCTTGCCTTCTCACAAATAATGGACTCCACAACACCATCTCCCGCTAATTGTTTTTCGGTGGTCCACAACAACGATAACTTCTCCATATCTTCCATATTGGTGACCTTGGTTTCATTGGCACATTTACTCCTTTCACAACATTAGCTTCCTTGATTTCTACTTTCTTTGCCAGGATAGAAGTAATTGTTGATTTGTTTTTCCCATACATCCTGGCAAGTTCCAGCACCCGAATACCACTCTCATATTTTTCAGTAACTTCTTTCTTAAATTCCATCATGTTTCTCACTTTCTTTACCAAAAGAACTTTACTAGGGACTTTCTTTGGGGGCCATTGTTACTTATTTCACGGTTGCGCTTGATCAGTAACCATGAAAAACAATGGATTATAGCGAAATGTTTGGATGAATGAGCAGAAGCTTCCTCACTCGCCCAGAGACACAGCCAGCCAGCCAGCCATCCAGCCAGCCAGACTGAAGCGCGAGCAGCTGGTGGTGGCTGATTGATGCGTCCCATACGGCCGATTAGCGAAATAACGGCCGATAAGCGAAATAACAGCCGATAACTGGAAATCAAAAGCCCGGCCAATAACCGATTTGGCCGATAAGCGGAACGGCCGATAACGGAGGGTCCACTGTATACTTTGAAGGATGAGGTACTTAAATAAGAAAATATGTAATAAATCTGTAGGAGAAGGAAGGCGGGGTAGGGGTCATCTCCAAAAAGGTTGGAGGGACGGGGTAAAGGAGGTTTTGTGGGTGAGAGGCTTGGACTTCCAGCAAGTGTGCATGAGCATTTTAGATAGGAGTGAATGGAGACGAATGGTTTTTGGGACTTGATGAGCTGTTGGAGTGTGAGCAGGGTAATATTTTGTGAAGGGATTAATAAGGGAAACTGGTTAGCCAGACTTGAGTCCTAGAATTGTGAAGTACAGTGACCGCACTTTAAAGGAAGGGTTTGGGATATTCTGGGTTTTTCTTTTTGGGTCACCTTGCCTCAGCGAGAAATGGCCGACTTGTTAAAAAAAAAAAACTTGTAATTATTCAGTACATTATTGCACTTCAAAAAAATTAGGGGAGAACTGCATGTTGAATTCATTAACAGATGTTTTTCATGTTGTAATAACTCATTAATCAAGATGGCACTTATTAGCATGTTTGCCTCAATTCATTCTCCTCCAAACAAAAAAAAAAAAAAAAAAAGAGCCATGAAATTTAGAGACAAATCTATATATACCATATACTGTATGTAACAGTAAAATTTTGCTCTGGATAACTAATATCAAACAAGAAAATATAATCCACTTATATTTTGATCCTTGTAGGATATTGCACGCTGGGATATGCGAAGAGATCAGGTGGCCTTCCCTACAACTTCAAGCAGCTATGCCATAACCATTGAGTACAGTTCAGGCATTTATGCTCTGGGAAATGTTATTTTTGTCCTCACTGCTATTGACAGTAAGTTAAAGAGGGTTAAGTTTTTATAGTTGCTAACTAGATATACACATGTTCACTTGTGTAACTCAATACCACACCATTAATTTATAATTTAAATGGATATACATACACAATATACATTTACTACAATAGTGCTCATGTACAAGGTCTATGGTAAACTATATATTATTTTGTTTCCTTTTTTGGGGGGTGAACCTACTGTGGTAGAAGATGACTAATGTGTAAAAAGAAAATGTGTTTATCAAATTTTGGCTTATTAATAAATGGGCATAAAATAAAATTTAGATACTAAAAGTAATTTTTATTTTTCAGTTAAGCTCAGCATCAATATTATGGCAATAACTAAAATACTTAAAATTGTTGAAAAGTTTTTGAAAAGTTTATAGAAATTATTGCTATACAGTACTGCTCTTTTTTTCCAATGAATATGATGACATTGTGAAGTTATTTTTGAATTTATCTTTTCTAACAAAATCTTCAGTTATTGATGATTGGAAATTTTTTAGTTGTTGCAAATACATACATGCATATGGTTTATGTGTATGACATTCCAGATATATTCTTATTTGCTGATATGTATAACTATTGAGAAGAAGACTACAGATGAGGGCAAGGAAAAGCTCTAAAGGAATCTGCACAAATTGCAAGTGTGGTCAGATAAATGCAAGATCATGAAGATCGAGAAAGGAGCAAGAAAACCAGGAATGAAGTATATATTAGAGCGACAGATGCTGCATACTTCACTTAAAAAGAAAGACCTAAGGGCGAGCATAGTGTCCAATATAATGCCAGAGGCTTACATCAGTCAGATAACCTCTGCTGTGAATGCTCATCTGGCATATCTAAGAGTAGCCTTGAGGAATCCCAACAAAGTCATTTTGGACCCTTCATACAACATATGTTAGGCCTATCTTGGAGTATGCAGCACCAGTTTGGAACCTGCACTAGAAAAAGTGCAGAAGTATGCAAGAAAGCTTGTTCCTGAACTAAGGGACATGAACTATGAGGAGAGGCTAATGGAATTGGACCTAACAACATTGGAGGACAGAAGAACCAGGAAGGGGACATGATAACAACATACAAAATACTTAGGGAAATTGATAAGGTAGACAGGGATAGGCTGTTTGAAAGGTGAGGAACGGGAACTTGGGGATACCGCTGGAAGTTAGTCACAGACAAGCCATAGGGATGTCAGGAAGTATTTCTTCAAGCTCAGACTGATAAGGAAGTGGAATAATCTTGGTGAGGAAATGGTAGAGGCAGGTTTCATGCATAGTTTTAAAGTGCAGGTACGATACGGCATGAGGCTAAGAGGGAGTGAATCTGAAGATTAGCAATTTAAGAGGCAGGACCATGATGTGAGAATCATTCATCCCCTGCAACCACAAGTAGGCAAGTACATACATACATGTATACATACGGATGTGCGGTCCAGAAACTGGCTCCTAGAATTTAACCCTGCCAAATGCAAAGTCATGAAGATCGGAGGAGGGCAAAGAAGACCGCAGACAGAGTATAGGCTAGGAGGCCAAAGGCTGCAAACCTCACTCAAGGAGAAAGACCTAGGAGTGAGTATAATACCGAGTACATCACCAGAAGCACACATTAACCAGATAACTGCTGTGGCATATGGGCGCTTGGCAAACCTGAGAATAGCGTTCTGGTACCTCAGTAAAGAATCGTTCAAGACTTTATACACTGTGTACGTCAGGCCCATACTGGAGTACGCAGCACTAGTTTGGAACCCACATCTGGTCAAACACGTCAAGAAATTAGAGAAAGTGCAAAGGTTTGCAACAAGGCTAGTTCCAGAACTAAGGAAAATGTCTTACGAAGAAAGGTTAAGGGAAATCGGTCTGACAACACTGGAGGACAGGAGGGTCAGGGGAGACATGATAATGACATACAAAATATTGCATGGAATAGACAAGGTGGACAGAGACAGGATGTTCCACAGATGGGACACAGAAACAAGGGGTCACAATTGGAAGCTGAAGACTCAGATGAGTCAAGGGGATGTTAGGAAGTATTTCTTCAGTCATAGAGTAGTTAGGAAGTGGAATAGTCTGGCAAGCGATGTAGTGGAGGCAGGAACTATACATAGTTTTAAGACGAGGTATGATAAAGCTCATGGAGCAGGGGGAGAGAGGACCTAGTAGTGGTCAGTGAAGAGGCGGGGCCAGGAGCTGAGTCTTGACCCCTGCAACCACAATTAGGTGAGTACAGAATGGGGAAGAGTAACAGGTACCACAGGGATTGATATTAGAGTCAGTTCTGTTTCTGGTTTATGCAAATGACATAACAGATGGGATTAAGTCAGATGACTATATACACTGATGATGTAAAACTAATGATAGGAATTCAGACAGATGAGGATGGAAAAGGTTCCTGAAAATGGATCCAGACAAACTGCAGAGCTGGTTAGATAAGTTGTTGCTTTGAATTCAACCCCAGGAAATGCAATGTTATGAAAATTGGGGAAGGGGCCAGAAGACCTTGCTAGGTCACTGTGTGGGGAAGACCCAGTGAGCCTGCATGTACCTGTGATCTAGACCAGATGACATGGAGTATAAACATAGGGGACAGAGGCTGCTTACCTCATTCAGAGAGTACCTGGGAGCAAGCATAGTATGTAGCATATTGCAAGAGGCTCTGATCAACAGAATAACCTTTGCAAATCTGAGAGTGGCCTTCAGGAATTTTAACAAATAATCATTCTGTGTGATGTATACAACTTATGCCAAGCCCATCTTGGAGCAGACATCTGCATGGAACCTACACCTGAGGAAGCATGTTAAGAAACTGGAAAAAATGTAGAAATATGCAATGAGACTAGTGCCTGTGCTAAGGGTTACAAGTTATGAAGAGAAGCTAAAGTAATTGAATCTAACAACCCTAGAGGACAGAAGAATTAGGAGAGAGTAAATCTGGCAAGTGGCAAGTTAAGAGGCAGAACCAGGAGCAAAGACTTGATCCCTGCAACTACATATAGGTTAGTACATAAATACAGTGGACCCCTGCCTTACGATATTAATCCGTTCCTGAGAGCTCATCGTAAACCGAAATTATTGTTAGCTGAATTAATTTTTCCCATGAGAAATATTGGAAATCAAATTAATCCATTCCTCACACCCCAAAGTATGAAAAAAAAAAATTTTTTTACCACATGAAATATTAATTTTAATACACACAAACTGAAGAAGACATGCACAATTACTACTCTACTAAGAATAGAATACGTACATGACACTTACCTTTATCGAAGATCTGGTGATGATTGATGGGATGGGAGGAGGGGAGAGTGTGGAAGTTATTGTTTAGAAGGGGAATCCCCTTCCATTAGGACTTGAGGTAGCAAGTCCTTTTCCAGGGTTACTTCCCTTCTTCTTTTAACCCCTATACGATCCAAACGTATATATACGTTCACTCGTGTAGCGCCCCAAATTTTTTGAGAAAAAAAAATTTTTTTTTTTTAATAGGAAAAAAGAGCATATGGTACCCAGGCATCCCCAATTATTTTAATATGGTGCACAGTGAGTGCGCACACCCATTCTCTCATTTCTAGGTGACTCAGGCTTATCGTGGCAGTTACCTGGAGTGTTGAATGAATGACAAAGAAAACGTATATATGCATTTGGGGTGCTACGCACGCGAACGCATATATACGTTTGGACCGTTTAAGGGTTAATGCCACTAGGATCAGCTTGAGAGTCACTGGACCTCTGTCGCACAACAAATCTGTCCATAGAGCTCTGTACCTTCCGTTCCTTTAAGACTTCCCTAAACTGGGCCATAACATTGTCATTGTACAGGCTGCCAACACGGCTTGCAGTAGCTGTCAGGGTGATTTTCATCCGTAAAGGTTTGGAGTTCAACCCACTTTGCACACATTTCCTTCATCTCTTTTTTCAATTCCATACTAATTCTCACCCTTTTTACCACAGGGATGGCACTAGAAGCTTTCTTGGGGTCCATGGTGACTTATTTTGGAGTTACAAGCACTAAAAACACTGGGATAATGTGAAATGTACCGAATGTATGCGTAGATGCGACCGCACTGGCTGGCTTGTAAACACTGGCGCTGAGGCCACACATGGGACGTCGTGGACGAATCACGTAAGGCGAGTTTTTTATCGTGAGGCGAGGCAAAATTTTTGCGTTCAAATGCTTCGTATGGCAGATTTAACATAACAAGATGCATTCGTAAGGCGGGGGTCCACTGTACTTACATATGGTACATGCATACACATAATATATATGTAAAACTGTATTTCTCTTCTTCAGGAAGAGACATTGCCCAGGCTGGAGACCTGCGAAACTTCCGTGCCAAGTGGCCTACTGTATACATTGATAAAACACAGATTCGTGAAAATGATATTGGTGTCTCTACTTTGCATTATAACAGGTACAGTAGTTTTATATACGTACTATAGATATACTAAGCTGTTGTTAATTTGAAGCCGCACTAAAGCTGTATTTTTTTCTCAATAAGTTGGCCGTCTCCCACTGAGGCAGGATGACCCAAAAAGAAAGAAATTCCCCAAAAAGAAAATACTTTCATCATCATTCAGCACTTTCACCTCACTCACACATAATCACTGTTTGCAGAGGCGCTCAGATATGACAGTTTAGAAGTCCTTCCAAACTGTCAATATCCTAGACCCCTCCTTTAAAGTGCAGGCATTTTACTTCCAGGACTCAAGTCCGGCTAACCGGTTTCCCTAAATCCCTTCACTAAATATTACCCCTCTCACACTCCAACAGCTCGTCAGGTTCCAAAAACCGTTCATCTCTATTCGCTCCTATCTAACACACTCACACATGCTGGAAGTCCAAGACCCTCACCCACAAAACTTCCTTTACTCCCTCCCTCCAACATTTTCGAGGACGACCTCTACCCCTCCCTTCTTCCCCCTACTACAGATTTATACGCTCCAACTCATTCTACTTTGATCCATTCTCTCTAAATGACCAGACCACCTCAATAGCCTCTCTTCAGCCCTCTGACTAATACTTTTATTAACTCCACACCTTCTCCTAATTTCCACACACTGAATTCTCTGCATAATATATACACCACACATGTCCCTTAGACAGGACATTTCCTCTGCCTCCTGCCGCCTCCTCGCTGCAGCATTTACAACCCAAGCTTCTTCCATACTCCCTCTCTCCAGTGTAATATCCCATTTTTCTTTATCTAAATCATTTGATATCCTTATCCTCTTACTTATCTATATTCACTTTCAACTTTCTGCCTTTACACACCATCCCAAACTCGTCCACTAACCTTTGCAACTTTTCTTTAGAATCTCCCATAAGCACAGTATCATCAGCAAAAAGTAACTGTGTCAATTCCTATTTTGTACTTGATTCCCCATAATTTAATCCCACCCCTCTCCCCAACACCCTAGCATTTACTTCTTTTACAACCCCATCTATAAATATATTAAACAACCATGGTGACATTACACATCCCTGTCTAAGACCTACTTTTACTGGGAAGTAGTCTCCCTCTCTCCTACATACCCTAACCTGAGCCTCACTTACAGCATTTAGTAACTTACTACCTATTCCATACACTTGCAACATCTGTCACATTGCTCCCCTAGCCACTCTAAATACTGTTCACATATTTGCTTCAGTGTAAACACTTGATCTACACATATCTCCTACCCACTCTAAAGCCTCCTTGCTCATCTGCATTCCTACTCTCTGTCTTACCTCTAATTTTTTTCAATAATAATTACTGTACACTACCTGGTATACTCAGTAAACTTATTACCTCATAATTTTTACAGTCTCTTTTGTCTCGCTTCCCTTTATATAAAGGAACTATACATGCTCTCTACCAATTCCTAGGTACCTTCCCCTCTTCCATACTTTTATTAAACAAAAATACCAACCACTCCAACAGAATGTAGGATTGCGGATGAGCAGGGAGGCTTCAGAGTGGGTAGGGGATGTGTAGATCAAGTGTTTACATTGAAGCATATATGTGAACAGTATTTAGATAAAGGTAGGGAAGTTTTTATTGCATTTATGGATTTAGAAAAGGCATATGATAGAGTGGATAGAGGAGCAATTTGGCAGATGTTGCAAGTATATAGAATAGGTGGTAAGTTACTAAATGCTGTTAAGAGTTTTTATGAGGATAGTGAGGCTCAGGTTAGGGTGTGTAGAAGAGAGGGAGAATACTTCCCGGTAAAAGTAGGTCTTAGACAGGGATGTGTAATGTCACCATGGTTGTTTAATATATTTATAGATGGGGTTGTAAAAGAAGTAAATGCTAGGGTGTTCGGGAGAGGGGTGGGATTAAATTATGCGGAATCAAATTCAAAATGGGAATTGACACAGTTACTTTTTGCTGATGATACTGTGCTTATGGGAGATTCTAAAGAAAAATTGCAAAGGTTAGTGGATGAGTTTGGGAATGTGTGCAAAGGTAGAAAGTTGAAAGTGAACATAGAAAAGAGTAAGGTGATGAGGGTATCAAATGATTTAGATAAAGAAAAATTGGATATCAAATTGGGGAGGAGGAGTATGGAAGAAGTGAATGTTTTCAGATACTTGGGAGTTGACGTGTCGGCGGATGGATTTATGAAGGATGAGGTTAATCATAGAATTGATAAGGGAAAAAAGGTGAGTGGTGCGTTGAGGTATATGTGGAGTCAAAAAACGTTATCTATAGAGGCAAAGAAGGGAATGTATGAAAGTATAGTAGTACCAACACTCTTATATGGATGTGAAGCTTGGGTGGTAAATGCAGCAGCGAGGAGACGGTTGGAGGCAGTGGAGATGTCCTGTCTAAGGGCAATGTGTGGTGTAAATATTATGCAGAAAATTCGGAGTGTGGAAATTAGGAGAAGGTGTGGAGTTAATAAAAGCATTAGTCAGAGGGCAGAAGAGGGGTTGTTGAGGTGGTTTGGTCATTTAGAGAGAATGGATCAAAGTAGAATGACATGGAAAGCATATAAATCTATAGGGGAAGGAAGGAGGGGTAGGGGTCGTCCTCGAAAGGGTTGGAGAGGGGGGTAAAGGAGGTTTTGTGGGCGAGGGGCTTGGACTTCCAGCAAGCGTGCATGAGCGTGTTAGATAGGAGTGAATGGAGACGAATGGTACTTGGGACCTGACGATCTGTTGGAGTGTGAGCAGGGTAATATTTAGTGAAGGGATTCAGGGAAACCGGTTATTTTCATATAGTCGGACTTGAGTCCTGGAAATGGGAAGTACAATGCCTGCACTTTAAAGGAGGGGTTTGGGATATTGGCAGTTTGGAGGGATATGTTGTGTATCTTTATATTTGTATGCTTCTAAACTGTTGTATTCTGAGCACCTCTGCAAAAACAGTGATAATGTGTGAGTGTGGTGAAAGTGTTGAATGATGATGAAAGCATTTTCTTTTTGGGGATTTTCTTTCTTTTTTGGGTCACCCTGCCTCGGTGGGAGACGGCCGACTTGTTGAAAAAAAAAACAAAAAAAAAACCAACCACTCCAACACAATATTCCCCCGTGCTTGTAACATTTCTGTCATGATCTCGTCAGTTCCAGCTGCTTTACTCCCTTTCATTGTACGTAATGTCTCGTGCACCTCCCCCACACTCACATTCTGCTCTTCTTCACTCCTAAAAGCTGTTATACCTCTCTGACCAGTGCATGAAATTACTGCCTCCCTTTCTTCATCGACATTTAAAAGTTCCTCAGAATATTCTCGATATCTACCCAATACCTCCAGCTCCCCATCTACTAACTTCCCTACTCTGTTTTTTTTACTGACAGATCCATTCATTCCCTAGGCTTTCTTAACTTGTTTAACTCCAAAATTTTTTCTTATTTTCATTAAAATTTCTTGACAGTGCCTCTCCCACTATCATCTGCTTTCCCTTTGGACTCTCTCATCACTTTCTTCACCTTTCTTTTACTCTCCATATACTCGGCTCTTCTTACAACACTTCTGCTTTGTAAAAACCTCTCAAAAGCTACCTTTTTCTCTTTTATCACACCCTTTACCTCATCATTCCACCAATCACTCCTCTTTCCTTCTGCACCCACCCTTCTTTAGCCACAAACTTCTGCCCCACATTCTAATACTGCATTTTTAAAACTGTCCCAACCCTCTTCAGCCCATCCACCTTTCTGCCAATAGTTGCTTATATCTCACCCTACTTCCTCCTCCCTTAGTTTATACACTTTCACCTCTCTTACTTGCTGTTCCCCTCAAGGAAGGTTCCTTGATGTTGGTGAGGGGCTCTTGATTTAGGGAATTGGATTTGTGCTCCAGTTCCCCGAATTAAGCCTGAATGCCTTCCACATCCCCCCCCCCAGGCGCTGTATAATCCTCCGGGTTTAGCGCTTCCCCCTTGATTATAATAATAAATAATAATTACTTGCTGTTGCCATTTTCCTTATGTCTCATCTACCTCTTATTCTAACTGTAGCTACAACTAAATAATGATCCGATATATCAGTTGCCCCTCTATAACATGTGCATCCTGAAGCCTACCCATCAACCTTTTATCCACCAATACATAATCTAACAAACTACTTTCATTATGTGCTATATCATACCTCGTATACTTACTTATCCTCTTTCTCGTAAAATATGTATTACTTATTACCAAACCTCTTTCTACACATAGCTCAATTAAAGGCTTCCCATTTTCATTTACCCCTGGCACCCCAGATTTACCTACTTCTCCCTCCACAACATTTTTACCCACTTCAGCATTGAGATCCTCAACCACAAGTACTCTCTCACTTGGTTCAAAACTCCTCATGCACTCAATATTTCCCAAAATCTCACTCTCTCCTCTACACTTTTCTCTTCTCCAGGTTCATAAACACTTACTATAACCCACTTTTCACATCCAACCCTTATTTTACATCACATTATTTATTATTATTATCACACTGGCCGATTCCCACCAAGGCAGGGTGGCCCGAAAAAGAAAAACTTTCACCATCATTCACTCCATCACTGTCTTGCCAGAAGGGTGCTTTACACTACAGTTTTTAAACTGCAACATTAACACCCCTCCTTCAGAGTGCAGGCACTGTACTTCCCATCTCCAGGACTCAAGTCCGGCCTGCCGGTTTCCCTGAATCCCTTCATAAATGTTACTTTGCTCACACTCCAACAGCACGTCAAGTATTAAAAACCATTTGTCTCCATTCACTCCTATCAAACACGCTCACGCATGCCTGCTGGAAGTCCAAGCCCCTCGCACACAAAACCTCCTTTACCCCCTCCCTCCAACCCTTCCTAGGCCGACCCCTACCCCGCCTTCCTTCCACTACAGACTGATACACTCTTGAAGTCATTCTGTTTCGCTCCATTCTCTCTACATGTCCGAACCACCTCAACAACCCTTCCTCAGCCCTCTGGACAACAGTTTTGGTAATCCCGCACCTCCTCCTAACTTCCAAACTACGAATTCTCTGCATTATATTCACACCACACATTGCCCTCAGACACGACATCTCCACTGCCTCCAGCCTTCTCCTCGCTGCAACATTCATCACCCACGCTTCACACCCATATAAGAGCGTTGGTAAAACTATACTCTCATACATTCCCCTCTTTGCCTCCAAGGACAAAGTTCTTTGTCTCCACAGACTCCTAAGTGCACCACTCACTCTTTTTCCCTCATCAATTCTATGATTCACCTCATCTTTCATAGACCCATCCGCTGACACGTCCACTCCCAAATATCTGAATACGTTCACCTCCTCCATACTCTCTCCCTCCAATCTGATATTCAATCTTTCATCACCTAATCTTTTTGTTATCCTCATAACCTTACTCTTTCCTGTATTCACCTTTAATTTTCTTCTTTTGCACACCCTACCAAATTCATCCACCAATCTCTGCAACTTCTCTTCAGAATCTCCCAAGAGCACAGTGTCATCAGCAAAGAGCAGCTGTGACAACTCCCACTTTGTGTGTGATTCTTTATCTTTTAACTCCACGCCTCTTGCCAAGACCCTCGCATTTACTTCTCTTACAACCCCATCTATAAATATATTAAACAACCACGGTGACATCACACATCCTTGTCTAAGGCCTACTTTTACTGGGAAATAATTTCCCTCTTTCCTACATACTCTAACTTGAGCCTCACTATCCTCGTAAAAACTCTTCACTGCTTTCAGTAACCTACCTCCTACACCATACACTTGCAACATCTGCCACATTGCCCCCCTATCCACCCTGTCATACGCCTTTTCCAAATCCATAAATGCCACAAAGACCTCTTTAGCCTTATCTAAATACTGTTCACTTATATGTTTCACTGTAAACACCTGGTCCACACATCCCCTACCTTTCCTAAAGCCTCCTTGTTCATCTGCTATCCTATTCTCCGTCTTACTCTTAATTCTTTCAATTATAACTCTACCATACACTTTACCAGGTACACTCAACAGACTTATCCCCCTATAATTTTTGCACTCTCTTTTGTCCCCTTTGCCTTTATACAAAGGAACTATGCATGCTCTCTGCCAATCCCTAGGTACCTTACCCTCTTCCATACATTTATTAAATAATTGCACCAACCACTCCAAAACTATATCCCCACCTGCTTTTAACATTTCTATCTTTATCCCATCAATCCCGGCTGCCTTACCCCTTTCATTTTACCTACTGCCTCACGAACTTCCCCCACACTCACAACTGGCTCTTCCTCACTCCTACAAGATGTTATTCCTCCTTGCCCTATACACGAAATCACAGCTTCCTATCTTCATCAACATTTAACAATTCCTCAAAATATTCCCTCCATCTTCCCAATACCTCTAACTCTCCATTTAATAACTCTCCTCTCCTATTTTTAACTGACAAATCCATTTGTTCTCTAGGCTTTCTTAACTTGTTAATCTCACTCCAAAACTTTTTCTTATTTTCAACAAAATTTGTTGATAACATCTCACCCACTCTCTCATTTGCTCTCTTTTTACATTGCTTCACCACTCTCTTAACTTCTCTCTTTTTCTCCATATACTCTTCCCTCCTTGCATCACTTCTACTTTGTAAAAACTTCTCATATGCTAACTTTTTCTCCCTTACTACTCTCTTTACATCATCATTCCACCAATCGCTCCTCTTCCCTCCTGCACCCACTTTCCTGTAACCACAAACTTCTGCTGAACACTCTAACACTACATTTTTAAACCTACCCCATACCTCTTCGACCCCATTGCCTATGCTCTCATTAGCCCATCTATCCTCCAATAGCTGTTTATATCTTACCCTAACTGCCTCCTCTTTTAGTTTATAAACCTTCACCTCTCTCTTCCCTGATGCTTCTATTCTCCTTGTATCCCATCTACCTTTTACTCTCAGTGTAGCTACAACTAGAAAGTGATCTGATATATCTGTGGCCCCTCTATAAACATGTACATCCTGAAGTCTACTCAACAGTCTTTTATCTACCAATACATAATCCAACAAACTACTGTCATTTCGCCCTACATCATATCGTGTATACTTATTTATCCTCTTTTTCTTAAAATATGTATTACCTATAACTAAACCCCTTTTTATACAAAGTTCAATCAAAGGGCTCCCATTATCATTTACACCTGGCACCCCAAACTTATCTACCACACCCTCTCTAAAAGTTTCTCCTACTTTAGCATTCAAGTCCCCTACCACAATTACTCTCTCACTCGGTTCAAAGGCTCCTATACATTCACTTAACATCTCCCAAAATCTCTCTCTCTCCTCTGCATTCCTCTCTTCTCCAGGTGCATACACGCTTATTATGACCCACTTCTCGCATCCAACCTTTACTTTAATCCACATAATTCTTGAATTTACACATTCATATTCTCTTTTCTCCTTCCATAACTGATCATTTAACATTACTGCTACCCCTTCCTTTGCTCTAACTCTCTCAGATACTCCAGATTTAATCCCATTTATTTCCCCCCACTGAAACTCTCCTACCCCCTTCAGCTTTGTTTCGCTTAGGGCCAGGACATCCAACTTCTTTTCATTCATAACATCAGCAATCATCATAATCCTTGCATTTATACATTTATATTCCTTATTTTCCTGCCATAACTTATCATTCAACATTATTGCTACTCCTTCTTTAGCTCTAACTCTGTTTGAAACCCCTGACCTAATTCCATTTATTTCTCCCCACTGAAACTCTCCTACCCACTTCAGCTTTGTTTCACTTAAAGCCAGGACATCCAGCTTCTTCTCATTCATAACATCCACAATCATATCATTCGCACAACATCCACGCACATTCGAACATCCCACTCTGACGGTTATAATCTAGTTGTCTTTTTAGTAAGCTATACGGAAAAAGGGGTTACAAGCCCATTGTTCCTGGCATTTTAGTTGACTTTTACAACACGCATGGCTTACAGAGGAAAGATTCTTATCCCATAGATATGAAAGGAAAAACAATAAGACTAAGAACTATATACCATACTATATACTGTCTATACTGTACTTACCGATTTGTTTTTGCAATGATTAAGTCTTTGCTGGTGGCTTTGCCTCTTAAGCTTTGTCAACCAGCATTACTGATTTCTGGCCTCCAAGTCCTATCATTCCTACTCCTTGAACTGTGTATGGAACTTACTTCATATATTTCCACTGAGTTTTTCCATTTCCTACTACTTTGAGACTGAAAAAAAGTGCTTATTTCATCCCTGTCCTTTTAACTTTTTAGAAGCATCTGTGATAGCGGTAACAATACGGAAGTGCAGAAAGTTATAACATATCTGCCAGGTTGACACATGAACACTCATCGTACCTCCCACCTCAGGACAATGCCATCAGACGACCGTAACTCGAGGACCAAACACCTCTTAAGGCTGAGGGACTGATTTTCTTGTCTTTCTTTGCCTCCAGTACATAATCTCTGTACTGAACTGAAAAAGCCACTGATTGGCAATGTGTCTTCATAATACAGATACTGTAAACTGTTAATGTAATTGATCATATTGTAAAGAGTCTGTCCCTGTCTGCCCTATCAGTTTCTCTTATTACCTTTGGTGTTGTAATCATATTTTTCCTAAACTTTGTTTTATAAGGCTGTCACAGTCAGTTCCGTTAGTATTCTTATATTGCAAACCCATCACTATTAACGGTAGTCTCATTACTAACATTTGGGTATAATCAAATTTTTAATATGTATTTGTTCAAGGGGGAAGATTCTAAACTGATGCTGCATATTCTAAGATGGGCATGATGTGTGTTGAATAGTTTCTCTGGCAATGTGTTCAGAGTGATGTTTGCTCTCAAATCCTCTTCTTTCATCAAATTTATGTTCAGAATTCAATTAAACTAATCAAGTCATTATTATATTATGCCAGTAATCCTTACTGTTGAAACCATCCAGTTTTTACAATAATGAAACTTTTATTCAACAGATATCTCACAGATGATGAAGATCATCTTCTGCGATGTGCCAATGAGAGTTTCATTGTAGTTAATTCTCAAATTACAAAGAATCAGAACCAGGCAGTGTATACACTCTCACCCTTCAGAGTCAGAATGGATAATAATGACATTGGAGAGATAACGTTTATGTTTAATGGTACTACTATATCAGGCAATGGCAGAGGCATTGATCAGTACAGTTGGTAAGTGTACCTGATATACTGTATGTTCAAAATAAAATGTTTGTCCTTAATAATATACATACTTTGACTTGTCTTCAGTTTTGGTAGTGTACAGTCTTTTCTGTTCTTCAAAGAAAATCAGTATTATCAAGTTGCCTGAAGGACCAGATGATACACTAATTCCTGTTTGTAATCTACGGAACTTAATATTTCTTTAGTCATTCATGGGCTGGTTAGTCTGAGTTTTTTATTCTTTTTGTTGGTGTGTCACACACACTACATGGCTCCAACTGTAATTCAGGTCTTAAATTTGTTGGTTGTCAGTTGTGACAATATGTGTCATCAGATGCATCTGTTGTGTTTATGGTATTTTTGCAGTGTACCACTTCCTAATTTTTTATCTACAGTTGTCTATAACTTTATACTAAGATACTTTATATACTGTACTTAAAAGCTGCTTTTAAATAGGATTAATTTAATGTACGGTGTAACCCTGGTTTTCAAACTTAATCTGTTCCAGGAGGTCATTCTAAAACCGAAACGTGCAAAAACTGAATCAATATTTCCCACAAGAAATAATGTAAATACAAGCGTGCGTGAGCGTGTTAGATAGGAGTGAATGGAGACGAATGGTACTTGGGACCTGACGATCTGTTGGAGTGTGAGCAGGGTAATATTTAGTGAAGGGATTCAGGGAAACCGGTTATTTTCATATAGTCGGACTTGAGTCCTGGAAATGGGAAGTACAATGCCTGCACTTTAAAGGAGGGGTTTGGGATATTGGCAGTTTGGAGGGATATGTTGTGTATCTTTATATGTTTATGCTTCTAGACTGTTGTATTCTGAGCACCTCTGCAAAAACAGTGATAATGTGCGAGTGTGGTGAAAGTGTTGAATGATGATGAAAGTATTTTCTTTTTGGGGATTTTCTTTCTTTTTTGGGTCACCCTGCCTCGGTGGGAGACGGCCGACTTGTTGAAAAAAAAAAAAAAAAAAAAACAATTAATCAGTTTCAGACACCCACAAATATTAACAAAAAATAAATTTTATAAAGATTAACTATAGTGTTGCAGCTCTTCAGTGGTTAGCTCTTCCCTGTGGTTATCCACCAACTCTTCCACATTCATTACTTACCTTAAAATATTTGTAGTCTTAATGTTGGGCAAGAGGTGAGTAGTAATTTGTTGTAGGAAGTCACCGTGTCTGACTTTTTTGGGTTATCCTATGTTCTCTACACATGCTGCTATGTATGATAATCTATGTAACTGTATTTGTGTATACCTGAATAAACTTACTAAGTAGCCCCGGTATATGTAGGTAGCTGGTAGAGGTAGATAGCTAGTAGAGGTAGGTAGCCTGGGCTACATACATGCACCTACCTACATAGCTACACGATATTTAATGCAGCCCAGAGCCATGTTATTACCATCAGCATACCTTGTTCACTGAGTTTAATCATTTCTAACAACTATCTTTAGATTCCATCATAAACAAAGGGAGAAGTAATAAATAATTCATGCCAAGAATTGTAAACAAAAGCCAGATGCAGATTTATGCAGTTTTCTCTAATACTTGACCAGAGAAAAAGAGAAAATGTAATGTTTACACTCCACCGACTCACCACTCGATAGCATATAAACATTGCATGTTTATACTATGCTATGTAACGTGTTTCTTATGTAATTTTGAAGAAAATATCATAGATGGAGTAATGAAACTGTCTATATTAACATAAAATAAGACAGTTAATGTGCCCAAGAATAATTATTATTAAATTTACATAGCATTTAAACATTGATTGTTTATACTATGCTATGTAACATGTTTCTTATACAATTTTGAAGAAAATATCATAGATGGATTAACGAAAATGTCTATATTAATGTAAAACAAGACATTTAATGTGCCCAGTCGGATGCGTATAATATGTCTGATTACTGGATCAAGGTCCGATATCCGGAACAGAATTTTGCACAAAAAACGATCCTAAAACCGAAACGTCCGATAACTGGAGTGTGCAAAAACCGGAGTTCCACTGTACTTGAAACATAACTAAGCATAGGTCTGCATGTATATACATTGCTCATCATTAAAATATGCTGGTGTTGGCTTCCTCTCAATCATGACCACAAAATAGGTTGTTACTTGCACTTTAGAACATCCTTCAACCATCCAGGAAGGGATTTAACACAAATTCTTCAAGATTTCATTGGGTAAATTTCTTCATAACTCATGGATGGTGTCCTCAAGCCATGGGAGTGGACTGGCATCCTTCCCTTAGTAGATTTCTCTTTATCACAGCCTAGAGGTTCTCGGTGGAGTTTAAGTCTGGGGAATTTCCTGGCCAGTTATCAGAGAAGTATACTTCACGGTTGCAAAGCCACTGAACAACAGATTTTGTGGTGCAACAAGGAGCACTATCTTGTATAAAAATCGTTGTACCACATTGCTGAAAGATTCTGGTGAATGATAACAGCAATTCCAGATATGTTATTACAGTTAACATTAGTGGGGACATTTTTATAGGATTTCCTGGATGTGCTTTTGGTAGGGACATATTACTAATACTATCCTCAAAGAACTGAAGTAACCAAGTCCTCACCGAACACTCTCATACATAGGTGTCTTCTACTGTTTGCTTCATTTGACTGACTTTTGTAATCCAGTGTTATGTGCAATTGTGTCTTGTGTTATCGAATTACTCCCACACATGTTATTTCATCAAGAGCCAAAAGTGTCTGACACACTTAGCACTCAAGACCACTTGGTACAGGGGGACTACGGACATGAATCTGTCCGCCGCCACACAAGTCTAGAAGGCATTTAGGTTGCAGCCAGTAGCCTTAGGGAATCCTGAGACGTTTCACTTTGAGTTGCCATGGTAGGGCATTACTCTGGACATTAAAGTATGCTAGGTGCCTTCCACCTGGCATACTTTATTGACAAGCACTGTAAATTAACAAAAGAACATGTATTGTGGGAGACTCCATAAAGAAAGTTGGCCTTCAGCATCTGAAAGGAAAATACAATATTTAGATAAAGGAATTTCCATTGGTTATTTAAAACCTTTTAGATTTTGTGGGAAAGTTTTGCAAATGTTTTGCCATCTTGAAGTTAAATAGTAGACTCGCTTTGTTTTGAATATTGAATTTTTAATATGGGTATTTGTTAAGAATATTTGTCTTCTCTTTCTTTAGGGATGTTCGTGAGTCTAACAACCTCTTCCACTGGGTGCTAGAAGACACTGTAATGGAGAATAATGGTGGAGGTGGTATAGTACTGATGCTGCCATTTGTATGGCAGTACACTGAAAATTTTACTCATTCACTCTACATTAATTCTTCGACCTTCATGAATAATGCTCAGTTTCAGTTCATTATAGATGGTCATTTTGCTCGTGTAAACATAACATATTCAAAGTTTGAGAAGAACACATGCCAGCAAGGTCTCCTGTCACTGAAAGGCATGGAAAAAGAGATGTTTATATATGATAATCTTTTTGTTTCAAACATAGGCTCCTATGTTGTAGAATTTGATACTGACAGTCAGAGTGGCATCCTTGGAGTTGTAAAAGCTTATTTTGAATACAACAAAGTTCAAGAAAATAGACAAGCTCTTCAACTGAGGAGTAGTCCATCTCGAGCCTTCCAACCAGCTAGTTATACAATAGCAGTTCGAGGACTTCAGAAAATCAACATAACTCATAATCAGTTTGGATCCAATGAAATGGATTATGAATTATTGGCTGGGCTATTTACTAGCAGGATTGATAATTACCTTAATGTGGAAGCTAATTGGTGGGGATCACATGACCCTAAAGTGATTGAAGAACGCATCTTTGATTTTGATGACTGGAACAATTTTGCTCTTGCTGACTATCTTCCATACCTCATAGAAGACAGTCTTTCAGCACCTGTATCATCAGTGATTTCTTCTGCTAAAAAAGAAAAACCAATGGAACTGAATTCCCTTGGGGGCCGACTGCTACATGATTTACGATTACCAAAACGCTTTGAACCATATATAATAAAATCTGATTTGACTGTTATGCCAGGAGTGACTTTAGTGATTGAAGCAGGTGCTACACTAGAGTTCTTCCCAAGCATTGGAATGCTTATTTTAGGCCGCCTTGAAGCTGTGGGTCGTAGAAACAACCACATCATCATGCGACCTATTGATACTTCATCTGCTACACACTATCGAGTTGGCCGCCAAACAAAATCGTCCTTAGAATCTGTTCGGCTGTGTGTGGAAGGGGACTGTGATGGTAGAAGGTACGTGTATCAGAAAACTTGATTTGAAATGTTAAAATACATCACATGATGCTACAGTTAAGTGTACAGTATTTCATTTAAAAATATATATATTAAGATAATTGCTAGATAGTATGAACAGTTAAGAATTCTCATTATTTTTGTAATAGATATTATGGAATTGGAGAAAAATTCCTAAAAGTACAATATTAATCACTTGTTTTATTATAGTAATGATACTTGTCTGGTAAGGTATGTTACTATATTCATCTTTAGTAATTGAACATATTTACTCACTGGGACATATAAAAATGTAACTCGGACTAAACAGTTTATTTATATAGAAATTCACATGTAGTTAATCTCCAGCATCTGCTGTACCTTGATGTAGAAGTTTGCATAAATAATTATTTTAATATGATCCTTGTAGAGATGGCTTCTTGGACATCTTTAATGGTACAACGAAGCAGTGGGTGCCAATTTGTGATGATCGGTTCACTGAGCGTAATGCCCAGGTAGTTTGTCAACAGTTGGGGTATAACACCATCAATACCTTCCATGGTCGCAATAAAAGAACAGAGATGTTTCCCAATGCCCTCATTCGCATTCGATCATGGCCTGACCCTATTCAATGTGATGGTAAGATTTTATATTATATTTAGAAAAGTAAAATTTGACTTTATCGTACATCTCTCTGTTATGATGGATATTTTATATTCAGCACTGATATATCCACTTTTTTTTTTTTAACAATTTGGCCTTCCACTGAGGTAAAGGGACTCAATAAAAGAAGAGACAAACTTTCAGTGTCACACATTCAGTCACTATCTTGTCAGAAGCATGCTGACATCATGGTTTAGATAACTCTCCAAACTGTAACATCCTCCACCTCACCTGTAGAGTGCAGGCACTGTACTTTCAATCTCCAGGACCCTAGTCCAGCTAACTGGTTTACCCTGAATCCCTTCATAAATGTTAACCTGCTCACATTCCAACAGCATGTCAGATCATAAAAACCACTTGCCTCCATTCACATCTAGTCTCCCAAAAAAATCTTTGCCGTGAAATGCAAAAATAAAAAAATGCTGCTGATTGAGTACCAAACATTATTCTTGCATTTCTAACCATATAAAGAAAATGAGTTAAATATAGTCATATGTCTGGCAACACCCCTCTTCCCCCCAAGTCAGGTAAACATGAAACAGATGCACAAAGTTCCAGTAACCCACAGTCCATGTTAGAGAAAGGTGTCACACTCACCATTTATTCCTTAAATGCTGCTCGATTTTCTAATTTTGCTGCTGTCTACAACTGTTCCTGTGGATCATAGTGGGTCAGCAGTTGCTTTATATGAAGAAAAATAAACTTGTGTAATCATCTTAAGAAAGAGGAAGTCCCTGTGAAGGATATTACTGAGAAGCTGGGTTGTATTCACAGTTTATCTGGAAACTAAAATAGCTGCAAGCAGCCTGCCTCATGGAACCCTTCCATTAGGACAAGGGGTCTGGATGACCCAGAAACACAACCCCATCCGCTGATGCTTTTCTGATGAAGATATGTCGAAGCCTACAATTACTGCTCAGGAACTAAGAGCAAGCATCCTGATGTTCTGATAGAAATGGCTGTGTATTCTCTAACATCACTTGCAAAAAAAAAAAAAAAACAGAAAAAAAAAGTATCTGAAAATACACATCAGAGAGCTGTTATAAAAACTCTCATCACTAAGAGTATGTGCAAAGCTCACTCTGCTTTATGTGAACAATATAAGGATTGAACTATGGATGATTGAAGGAACATCATGTTTAGCGATGAATTGACTTTTTGTCATAAATTTCTAAAAGCATGCCCATTGTCCAAGTGGCTTCAAGGTTGAGCTACTACTTCAGCCAGAATAGTAAAAACACCCTACTTAAGTCATGGCTTAGGAGTGTTTTAATGGTAATGATGGTCATAATAGTATTTATTTCCTGTGCAAGGGTGTGATGATGAATGTAGAGAAATATAAGTCCTTGATGAGAAACTCAATTCATTACCGTATTTATGGCACCAGCTCCTTTACACATGATGTAGCTCCCTGTCACCACAGCAAAAAGGTCAAGGCCTAGTTGAAACAAAACGAAATCTAGTTTGGAGTAGCCAGGTAATGGCCCAGACCTCAGTTTGATTGAAAAATGCTTAGCAGATATTGAAATAAAAGTTAGCAGAGCACCAAATCCCCAGCAACCCAAAGTTGGTGGAAGTTCTGTAAAATGCATCAATTAATATGTATCTGACTTGTTTCCAAAAATTAAGTAATTCATTGTAAGATAAGATTTAAAAGTAATGAAAGATGATACTTAAGTGACCTAATGTTGATGTTTTGTACTTTTTTCAGTTCCTAAATGAATCTATTTAAACTGTTTTTCTGTTTTATTTATCCTCCTGCGAACTTTTTTTTAGCCACAAAGATTTTTTTTGCGGAGACCAGCACACTCATACAAACTTGCTAGATATCCAAGTCCCTAACACTCAAAACCTCCTTTAGCCCCTCTCCCTCCAACCTTTCCGCCGGGCTGTGGCTCGTACGTTGGTTTGCGTGCAGCCAGCAGAAACAGCCTGGTTGATCAGGCTCTGATCCACCAGGAGGCCTGGTCACAGACCAAGCCGCGGGGGTGTTGACCCTCGGAACTCTCTCCAGGTAAACTCCAGATGACCCCCCCTACCCTCCTACCCCCTCTGTGTCATCCTCTTTTTCTCTATCCTCTCTAAATGTCCAGTCCTCAACAACCCCTACTCAGCCTTCTGTATATTGTTTTTTATTAATGGTCTATATTTTAATATATTTTGTGCTCCTGTTCATTACAGGTACAGTGGAACCTTGGTTTTCGTGATTAATTCGTTCCAGAAAGTCTCACGAAAACCGAATTGTATGAAAACTGAAGCAATATTTCCCATAAGAAATAATGTAAATCCAATTAATCCATTCCAGACACCCAAAAATATTAACAAAAAATACATTGTATAGAGAATAACTATAATTTTACATACAGAAAACAATGAGAAATAAATATAAATGACTAATGGATAAATGAACATTTAATATCACTTTTACCTTTAAAGACTCTTGTTGGCGTAGGGAAGACAGCAAGGAGGGGAGAGGGAGGAGGAGAGGTTATTGTTTGGGAGGGGAATCCCCTTCCATAAGGACTTCAGGTATCAAGGCCCTGTCCGCAGTTACTTCCCTTCTTTGTCTTTTACTGGCACTAGGACCAGCTTGAGAGTCGCTGTACTCCTTACGCACAAAAAATCTGGCCAGAGAGGTCTGTTTCTGGCGTCTCTAAGATTTGCCTAAAATGGGATGAGGCATTGTCATTGAACATGTTGCAGACATGGCTTACAACAGCTTAGTTAGGGTGATATTTCTCCCCACAAACACCCCACAAACACACCCCACAAACACACCTCACAAACACACACACAGACACACCAATGAAACACACACAGAGACACGCCCTTCAAGCACACATAGAGACACACACACCACAAACACAGACAAAGCTTTGCAACTCGTTCCACTTTGCACACATGTCCTTAATCACTGAAGAAGGCACATTCTCCCCTCTCGCTTACACCTCCTCTGAAGCAATTTCCTCAGCTGCGGTCTGTTGCTGTTCCAGTTGAAGGTGTTTCTCACCTTCTTTATCTAAGGGCTGGCACTCAGAACTTTCTTTGGCCCATGGTGGCTTATTTAGCAGTCGCTCTCAATAAACAAGTGCAAAAAACAATGGATTATTACGAAATGTTTCAGATGAACGCGCGGGGTGATGCTCACTCAATGATAAACAAAGGCAGACTGAGTCCCTCGGCGCTTGAGTGGCCGAGTGACATGGGCGGGCGGGCAGATGCATTTGGTACGGACCATTTTCAACTCTTTGAAAACTGAAGTGATGTATGAAAACTGGGACAAGATTTCAACGAAAAAAGTCATCAAAAACCGAATCGTACAAAAACTGGGGCGTATGAAAACTGAGGTTCCACTGTACATTATTTTTAACCCTTCACTGTCATTTCCAGAGCTATTACAGTATTCTCTACCCATTACTTATGACAGGGTAACCATAGTCTTAAGTAGTCCGTAAGCATTAGGATTAGTCTGTTCAAAATACGCCAGCATGTTAGTGGCTTTCTTTGTACCTAACAACACGTATAAAATGTAAACACACATTGTAACCTTTACAGAAATATAAATTTTGTGTTTGTCTTTAATATTTGCATTTAAAGTGGCTTTCTTTTCAGCATGCAAATGTTATCAAGTTATATCTGTACTACTATAATTGTATCACACCAGCACCCAGATGTTCTGTAAACTCAATCATTATAACTTTGTTGTATATTTCTTAGAAATAAAAATTCTGATTCATTTTATGACTAATAAAATAAAGAGTGACACTTTTCAGTATTATACAGAGCTAATTCAGTTTTATTTTCATTCTCAGGTACAGAGACACGTCTAGATGAGTGTGCCCTCAGAATGAATGGCCAGATTTACAACCATAGCTATGAATGTGCTTGGAATGGTGACTTTGTTTATATCTCCTGTGGAGATCTCAATTTGGAGAATGAGAACCAAGAATACTGGGGTGGTATAAGGTATATACTCTACATTCAAAGTTTTTAAAATGTATAGCAGTACCAGTGAGAGAATGAGACATTATGTGTGGGACATTTAATTGATATGACTTTGATCAATCACTTGCAAGGCATTATCAATAAAAGTTTTTATCATTTTTTGTCTTTTAACACACCAGGCATCTCCCACTGCAGTTCAGCATTTAGTGTCTTACTTAACCCCTGGACTGTCACAACCCCAAATCCTGAGGTGTCTCCTGTTGTCACAAAAATTAAAAAAAAAAAATTATTTTTTCTTATGAAATGATAGAGAATCTTTTCCCAATTGTAATGACACCAAAAGAACAAAATTTGATGGAAAACTGACGGAATTACGCTCTCACGAAGTTAGCGACCTCTGCGATATTTACGAATTGGTAATTTTGCCCACTTTGAGCCCTGTTTTCAGCTAATTCTGTTGTTCCAGTCAACCAAACTCATAGCTATTTCTTTAGAACTCCATTTTTTCTATCGATTGAGTACAAGAAACTGCCCATTTACCGATTTCAACTACCCAATAACATGATCAGAAATTTGCAATTTGGCCAATTTCACGAAAATTAAAAATTGACAATTTCAAAATAGGGTCCAGAATGAAAAATGTAGACATTCCTGGCTCTAAAATAACATTTTCTTTGTTCATCAGTCATGTCTCCAGGCCCCTCTGATATTACTCTTGCTTTCTATTTTGAATTTTTATTCAAACAAAAAACAGAAGATTTATTGTTATGCAGGCTACTGCAATATTGTAATAATTGTATAAATAATGTCAACCCATTCATGACTGCATATTAGAATGGCTAGTTGGACATTTATTGGACAATGGCATCATTTGTTTACTTTTGAACATCGGCAAAAATCAAGCATTTCCCCTACTTTGAGCTATATTTCCTTGTTCTTTTTATAGCAAAACCAATCAAAATTCACCTCTATTTCTATAATATGTTTTCCATTCTATCAAATGAGACCAAGAAAACGAGAATACAACCATAAATACTATATGAAAATAGACCACAAAGTCAGCATTTTAATTAAAAAAAAATGGTCGGAGTTTTTTTTTTCCTCATTATGCACTGCGTGCTGCAGGATTTTTTTTTATATGGTGCACACGGACCACACAGACCCATTCTCTCCCATGTGGGCCTACCAGCTTTCTCCTGCTTGATTTGAAGCCGCTAGAATTTGTGAGTATATATACTGTATGTCAAACACGGTGGCTCGTAAGACGTATATATATGACCGAAACAGTCAAAAGGTTAAGTATTTGTTGATGATTTGACTCATAGCAGCAATACTGTATTATAAATTTACACTATTATATTATTGTAACCACGAACGAGTGGTATTGATCAATAGCAACACTGCACTAGCCAAGGATTCGAACCCATGTTGTACTGGCCCGCCATCATGAGTGAGAGACACATGACGCCTTAACCCACAGGACCACCCAATCCTACAAAAACCAAGCACCCAGCCAAGCTAGGTGTGTTACTCTTGGTCCAAGGACATACAGAGGTGTGGGAGCTTTCAAGCTAATTTCATTTTCATCCCTGTTTGGTGTACTAGCCTACAAGCAGCTTATATATATATATTATTGCAACCACGAACGAGTGGTATTGATCAATAACAACACTGCGCTAGCCAAGGATTCGAGCCCATGTTGTACTGGCCTGCCATTGTGAGCAAGAACCACAGGACACCTTAACTCACAGGACCACCCAATCCTACAAACGCTATTATGAGTTTCATTTTGTACAGTTATTCAAATAATATTGCTGCTGCTGCTTGTAATTTATTATCCAGGATACATATATGAGACAATGCAACAATGATGCTTACAATATAATTTGGTATGAATGTATGTTTATTACTATAACATTTCCACCATTTCAATTCTTTATGATTCTCTACATCTATTGTAATTGCAGAAACATTTATACTTCCTTTTCCTTTCCCTGCCATTCTTGAATGAAATTGTTCAGTTTTGCCCCCACAGACCCTGTTTTATATTTTGCTGAGTTTCTGGACACACTGATGCTCAAGGCAATGAACATGCTCAGCTGCTCTTTCTGCTTTTCATGGCCTTCCAGTATCCCACAGGAGAGGGGTCCCTTTCTAGGAATATTTACCTGTACTCTCAACAACTTCGATGTTGCTGGCAACAACTTTCATCATAAACTTAACAAATTGCTTTCCATCACACCACAATTGTATTCCTGGCCATCTCCTTTCCATTAGTCTTGGGTGTTGGAAACTACACTTGAATGATTACAGATCTGACACACATGACTTGCTTATAACACACATCACCTTGTTCACAATCCAACAGTATGTCAAGTCACAAAAATCACTTGCATTCACTACTATCTAACACACATATGCATGCTGGATATCCAAGCCCCTCACATACAAAATGTCCTTTACCCCCTCCCTCAACCTTTCCTAGGGCAACCCCTATCCCACCTTCCTCCACTAAAGATTTACAAACCTTCCAATTCACCCTTTTTTGATCCATCCTCTCTTCATGTCCAAACCACCTCAGGTGTGGGGTTACTTTTAGTAACCCCACACTTCCTAATCCCCAAGCTACTATTTCTCTGCATGATATTTACAGTACATATTGCCCTCAGATATTTCCTCTGCCTCCAGCCTCCTAGCTGCAATATTCACAACCCATGCTTCATACCCATAAAAGAGTGTTGGTATCACTGTACTCTTATACTTTTCCCATTTTGCCTACATGGATAATGTTTTTTCCTCCACAGATATCTTAATGTGCCACCTACCTTTATTTCTCTTATCACTTCCCTGGTTCACCTCTTTCATAGACCCTGACAGGCCCACTCCCAAATAACTGAACACTTTCACTTCCTCCATACTTCCTCCTCCCAGTCTGATATCCAGTCTTTCATTGCCTAAGTTTTTTGTTACCCTCATCACCTTGCTCATACCTTTTTTAACTTTCAATTTCCTTCTTTTACATCCCCACTCAAATTCATCCACCAGTTGTTGTAACTTCTCTTTGGAATCTCCCAAAAGCTCAATGTCATTGGGTGGGGCCTTGTGCCTTTTAATTCTTCCATATTTTGTTAACACTTTGACACATTTTTGCTTGCTAATGCAACTCATATTTCACATCTCATATTAGAGGTAATTCTCTTCTCTGAGGTTCTGTTTTAAACTGTTAGCTAATAGGAGGAAATGGGTAGATATGAATTCAAGTATCAGTAATGTTATGCTTTATCATATAATTTTTCTCCACAGGTTTTCAATCCCCAACTTTGAGCATATGGATGTTTACCAGAGAGTTCACAATGCAAACAATCCAGAACATGCACACACACACCCAATGGTGCACAGCTCATCACACACAACAGTGTTACCCTCAGTGATGGAATGGGTGGAGATTGTTGGAGCAGGAATACTTCATGATGACAAATCTCCAGCAATTCTTTCTTTCCATGAAACGCCAAAACTAAGAGGAGTTACTATAAGGAATTCTGCATATGATGGTCTGTCGATTGTCTCGGCCACAGATGGCTTTGATATGTTATACAACAAGTAAGTCTGATTAAAAAATATACAGAACACCTACCCACAGCAACCACCCAGGGAAGTACTACTGTCCTGCCAGATGACTGTGAAACAGAAACCTGTAACTGTTTTACATGATGGTAGGATTGCTGGTGTCTTTATCTGTCTCATAAATACGCTAGATAACAGGGATATCTTGCTACTCCTACTGACAGTTTGGTCATACTTCACAGACACGCACATGCATATATACATATACATACATCTAGGTTTTTCTCCTTTTTCTAAATAGCTCTTGTTCTTCTTCATTTCTTCTATTGTCCATGAGGAAGTGGAAAAGAATCTTTCCTCCGTAAGCCATGCGTGTCGTATGAGGCGACTAAAATGCCGGGAGCAATGGGCTAGTAACCCCTTCTCCTGTATACATTTACTAAAGAAGAGAAGAAGAAAAACTTTATAAAACTGGGATGCTTAAATGTGCGTGGATGTAGTGCGGATGACAAGAAACAGATGATTGCTGATGTTATGAATGAAAAGAAGTTGGATGTCCTGGCCCTAAGCGAAACAAAGCTGAAGGGGGTAGGGGAGTTTCGGTGTGGAGAAATAAATGGGATTAAATCTGGAGTCTCTGAGAGAGTTAGAGCTAAGGAAGGGGTAGCAATAATGTTGAAGGATCAGTTATGGAAGGAGAAAAGAGAATATGAATGTGTAAATTCAAGGATTATGTGGATTAAAGTAAAGGTTGGATGCGAAAAGTGGGTCATAATAAGCGTGTATGCACGTGGAGAAGAGAGGAATGTAGAAGAGAGAGAGAGATTTTGGGAGATGTTAAGTGAATGTATAGGAACCTTTGAATCAAGTGAGAGAGTAATTGTGGTAGGGGACCTGAATGCTAAAGTAGGAAAAACTTTTAGAGAGGGTGTGGTAGGTAAGTTTGGGGTGCCAGGTGTAAATGATAATGGGAGCCCTTTGATTGAACTTTGTATAGAAAGGGGTTTAGTTATAGGTAATACATATTTTAAGAAAAAGAGGATAAATAAGTATACAAGATATGATGTAGGGCAAAATGACAGTAGTTTGTTGGATTATGTATTGGTAGATAAAAGACTGTTGAGTAGACTTCAGGATGTACATGTTTATAGAGGGACCACAGATATATCAGATCACTTTTTAGTTGTAACTACGCTGAGAGTAAAAGGTAGATGGGATACAAGGAGAATAGAAGCATCAGGGAAGAGAGAGGTGAAGGTTTATAAACTAAAAGAGGAGGCAGTTAGGGTAAGATGTAAACAACTATTGGAGGATAGATGGGCTAATGAGAGCATAGGCAATGGGGTTGAAGAGGTATGGGGTAGGTTTAAAAATGTAGTGTTTGAGTGTTCAGCAGAAGTTTGTGGTTACAGGAAAGTGGGTGCGGGAGGGAAGAGGAGCGATTGGTGGAATGATGATGTAAAGAGAGTAGTAAGGGAGAAAAAGTTAGCATATGATAAGTTTTTATAAAGTAGAAGTGATGCAAGGAGTGAAGAGTATATGGAGAAAAAGAGAGAGGTTAAGAGAGTGGTGAAGCAATGTAAAAAGAGAGCAAATGAGAGAGTGGGTGAGATGTTATCAACAAATTTTGTTGAAAATAAGAAAAAAAATTTGGAGTGAGATTAACAAGATAAGGAAGCCTAGAGAACAAATGGATTTGTCAGTTAAAAACAGGAGAGGAGAGTTATTAAATGGAGAGTTAGAGGTATTGAGAAGATGGAGGGAATATTTTGAGGAATTGTTGAATGTTGATGAAGATGGGGAAGCTGTGATTTCGTGTATAGGGCAAGGAGGAATAACATCTTGTAGGAGTGAGGAAGAGCCAGTTGTGAGTGTGGGGGAAGTTCGTGAGGCAGTAGGTAAAATGAAAGGGGGAAAGGCAGCTGGTATCGATGGGATAAAGATAGAAATGTTAAAAGCAGGTGGGGATATAGTTTTGGAGTGGTTGGTGCTATTATTTAATAAATGTATGGAAGAGGGTAAGGTACCTAGGGATTGGCAGAGAGCATGCAGGCAAAGGGGACAAAAGAGATTGCAAAAATTATAGGGGGATAAGTCTGAGCAGGGTAATATTTAGTGAAGGGATTCAGGGAAACTGGTTATTTTTATATAGCCGGACTTGAGTCCTGGAAATGGGAAGTACAATGCCTGCACTCTAAAGGAGGGATTTTGGGATATTAGCAGTTTGGAGGGATATATTGTGAATCTTTATACATATATGCTTCTAAACTGTTGTGTTTGAGCACCTCTGCAAAAACAGTGTGAGTGAGGTGAAAGTGTTGAATGATGATGAAAGTATTTTCTTTTTGGGGATTTTCTTTCTTTTTTGGGTCACCCTGCCTCGGTGGGAGATGGCCGACTTGTTGAAAAAAAAAAAAAGTCTGTTGAGTATACCTGGTAAAGTGTATGGTAGAGTTATTATTGAAAGAATTAAGAGTAAGATGGAGAATAGGATAGCAGATGAACAAGGAGGCTTTAGGAAAGGTAGAGGGTGTGTGGACCAGGTGTTTACAGTGAAACATATGAGTGAACAGTATTTTGATAAGGCTAAAGAGGTTTTTGTGGCATTTATGGATTTGGAAAAGGCGTATGACAGGATGGATAGGGGGGCAATGTGGCAGATGTTGCAGATGTATGGCATAGGAGGTAGGTTACTGAAAGCAGTGAAGAGTTTTTACGAGGATAGTGAGGCTCAAGTTAGAGTATGTAGGAAAGAGGGAGATTATTTCCCAGCAAAAGTAGGCCTTAGACAAGGATGTGTGATGTCACCGTGGTTGTTCAATATATTTATAGATGGGGTTGTAAGAGAAGTAAATGCGAGGGTCTTGGCAAGAGGTGTGGAGTTAAAAGATAAAGAATCACACATAAAGTGGGAGTTGTCACAGTTGCTCTTTGCTGATGACACTGTGCTCTTGGGTGATTCTGAAGAGAAGTTGCAGAGGTTGGTGGATGAATTTGGTAGGGTATGTAAAAGAAAAAAATTGAAAGTGAATACAGGAAAGAGTAAGGTTATGAGGATAAAAAGATTAGTTGATGAAAGATTGGATATCAGACTGGAGGGAGAGAGTATGGAGGAGGTGAATGTATTCAGATATTTGGGAGTGGATGTGTCAGCAGATGGGTCTATGAAAGATGAGGTGAATCATAGAATTTATGAGGGGAAAAGGGTGAGCGGTGCACTTAGGAGTCTGTGGAGACAAAGAACTTTGGCCTTGGAAGCAAAGAGGGGAATGTATGAGAGTATAGTTTTACCAACACTCCTGTATGGGTGTGAAGCATGGGTGATGAATGTTGCAGCGAGAAGGCTGGAGGCAGTGGAGATGTCATGTCTGAGGGCAATGTGTGGTGTGAATATAATGCAGAGAATTCGTAGTTTGGAAGTTAGGAGGAGGTGCGGGATTGCCAAAACTGTTGTCCAGAGGGCTGAGGAAGGGTTGTTGAGGTGGTTCGGACATGTAGAGAGAATGGAGCGAAACAGAATGACTTCAAGAGTGTATCAGTCTGTAGTGGAAGGAAGGCGGGGTAGGGGTCGGCCTAGGAAAGGTTGGAGGGAGGGGGTAAAGTAGGTTTTGTGTGTGAGGGGCTTGGACTTCCAGCGGGCATGCGTGAGCGTGTTTGATAGGAGTGAATGGAGACAAATGGTTTTTAATACTTGACGTGCTGTTGGAGTGTGAGCAAAGTAACATTTATGAAGGGATTCAGGGAAACCGACAGGCCGGACTTGATTCCTGGAGATGGGAAGTACAGTGCCTGCACTCTGAAGGAGGGGTGTTAATGTTGCAGTTTAAAAACTGTAGTGTAAAGCACCCTTCTGGCAAGACAGTGATGGAGTGAATGATGGTGAAAGTTTTTCTTTTTCAGGCCACCCTGCCTTGGTGGGAATCGGCCAGTGTGTTAATAAATAAAAAAATATTTTGCTCATGGAACAATATCCTGGTAGGTGTCTTTATCAGATGTATTAATGGTCGCACACCAATGTGTATTTTAATGAGCTTAGGCACATTTTAATTAATATTTGGTTATGCCTTTGAGACAGTGTGTTAACAAAAATGTACTGTACACATGTGCTTGTAGGTGTACTATACATTCTTGAAATATAGTAATACATATACAGTATTCCAGAAATTCTCCATGGGGAAGTGAAACAGAATTCTTCCTCCGTAAGCCATGTGTGTCATAAGAAGTGACTACAATGCCGGGAGCAAGGGGCTAGTAACCCCTTCTTCTGTATGCATTACTGAAGTTAAAAAGAGAAACTTTTGTTTTCCTTTTTGGGCCACCCTGCCTCGGTGGGATACCACCGGTTTGTTGAAAGAGGAAGATTATTATTATTCCAGAAATGCAGTAAATACTTGAAAAATATTTTTTGCTCTTCTAGCATCAAAAGGAAGTTCTTGTTTAGCTTGGCTGGCTGTTTCAAATGAGAAATAATTGACCATTTTTTTTTTGTAATGAATTGTTATCTTGCATCTTTCTTCTGAAATTATTTTATTCATGTTATAGATGTACAGCGTCTTCTCACTTAACAATAGAGTTATATTCCTAAGACCACGTTGTTAAAGGAATTCATTGCTAAGTGAGGAGCATACTATAATGGTAGTGAGTTTGTGTCAACCATCTTTGATATTGTTTTAATGTCACCTTTGCACCATATATAATATTTCTGGTATATTTCTAAATGTTTATACAGTAGTGTACTGTATATTGAAATAAACAGAATAGAGGAAATCAGCTCTAGTAAACATTATTGCAGTATAAATACTGGTCAGAGAGCCAGTCATAAGTCTGAGGCATCAGTAAATGAGTACGTCGCTAAGTGAAGAGAGGCTGTACTGTATTTGTAGAAAAGCACCTTTCAAAAAACCCATATTCTAGGCTTAAAAAATTAGAATAGTAAATATTGGGTATGGCAGTATTAAAGAGTTCATTTTGGCAAACTTAATTTCTATCAAATTTGAACTGTTTCCACATGATACATTATTTACATGAAATTAGATGACATTAAAATAACATGGAAAGATCCTTAATTATGTATAACATTTCAGTCAAGCTTTAACTATAAACCAAGGTATCATTTTGCTGTATTACTTTTTCATTATTATTTTTAGTGTCATTAGTAATTCACTATACTGTATCTGGCTAGTTAATTGTATTCTTATTAAAAAGAATTTCATCAGATTTGAAAATAACCTGGGTGTTGGTGTAACTCTGATGGGTCTGACCGGTGAAACACGTGAGAGTGAAGAGTCGTCATTCTTCCCTCTAAGTCAGCTACGTCTTCCGTATCACATGTTTGGAATGGTGGACATATGTGATTCCACTAAGGAACTCAAAATTGAGGAAAGAATCTTTGTTTATTACAAATATGATAATCGACCTGTGGATTGTATTAAGATATTTTCATCAGTGTTCAATGTTAAAAATTTTGGGTTCAGGTAAGTGTTTGTCTTAGGCCAGTTAATATTATTTATTGTACAGTAATGAATATACTGTACTTGTAAAATACTTTTTGCAATATCATTTTCATGAGTTTTACAGACATGAAATCACAAACAATTCATAAATTCAACTGAAAGAAAATGTATACTCAGTTAATTTCTATTATTATTTAATGTTTATCAATTTCCCCTTCCTCAACAACTAGGCTCCTTCAGTTCAACCTGTACAACTCCACATTGGACCCTGTTGCAAGAGACCGTATTGTCCTCTATGATGGTGACATATATAATTATACAACGGTGGAATTTGCAGAAATTCATGTAAACAGTGGCAATCACATGCGATTTTTCAAAACTGAAGGGACCAGTTTATCAGTGGAGCTTCATGTCACTGGAGCCTCGGGTGACCTTGGCTTTGTTGCAGAAATTGTTACGCTTCCCATATCAGATCTTGGCATCAGTAAGCACAGTGTTGTAACATTTGAGAATAATTTGAACTAATATAATTTAATTTGGTTCTAAATGCTTCACTTGATAATGAGTATTTACAGCTACAGTATTTCCATCCTTAGTTTGAGAAAGAACATTCTTAGATACAATTTGATCACTTAGCAAAGTTATTTACTGATTTTGGCTGAAAGTTTTGTAGTTCAGAGGGGTCCCCAGTAACAAAATTTTATTTCTTTGTATAGTATACAAAGTGTAGTTTACATGTAATAAAATATTGTTAAGCACAAAGAAAGGCACTAGCATGCATGTGCATTTCAGACAGATTAATCCTAATGCTTACAGACTACTTAAGATTAGACATAGGTTACTGAGTGGTAAATTTTAGTTATGAATTATTGCGAAAATAGAGGTTACAAAAATATTAGTACAATTTACAATAGAGAGGCAGCAAAAGTATTACAGTTAGCACAATTTACAATAGTACAATTTTAAGTGTGTATTAATACTTTAAACTGAATTAGTTATCCTAAGTTAATTGGGATTTATTAAGTAGTTTCAAATTGGTTCTATGATTTCAGGCTATGTGAAGATTATGAGAGATGGTGAAGAAACAGGAAGTAGTTGGATGAGTTTGTTTTGTTTGGTTTAGCAAAGTGTTGGTGTAGTTACGTTTGGGAGATGAGATGATTTTTAATTATAGCTCTAAATTGATTGGCAAACAGGGAACCTTTTGCTAGTTCAGGCATTGAATTCCAGATCTTGGAGCTCTTTATATTCATTGTATTTTTGCATAAGGTGAGGTGGACATGGGGGATGTCAGAGTTTTGTGCCCTGTGTTGTGCATGTATGTAATATCATAAGATTTCCTTGTAAATATATGTTTAATAGTGGTCTTGAAGGCAAACAGGTGTTATGATCACATAGAAATTACATTAGGTTTAAATAAACCCGGGATATTCATTCAGATCTAAATGTATTCTATGGCAGTTAACCTAAGATAACTGAATATAGTTAAACAATTTGACTCTTTTCCATAGCTTGGAGATTAGGGGGATGTGCAGGGGTTACTTAAAATATTATCCACAGGGCTGAGGAGGGGTTGAGGTGGTTTGGACATTTAGAAAGGATGGAGCAAAATAGGGTGACTTGGAGGGTGTATAAATCTGTAGTGGAGGGAAGGCTGGGTAGGGGTTACCCTAGGAAAGGTTTGTGGGAGCAGGTATTGCCCAGCTAGATTAGTAAAGCTATGACATGCATGTATGATGTACTGTGAGAATTACTATTAGAGAAAAACATGTTTTTCATTGTTTGAGTAGTCAAACTCTTTGAATTAACCTCTCTTTGATAAGAAATAAGTCATTATTGTATGTACTGATATAGGATACTGAAATACCTAAAGACTAATTTATTTTTATTATATACCTATTACATTTACCTCATTGCAACTCATTCAGATTTGTGGAAATTTTAGTAATGTTTGATCATTTTTTTTGTACACAGATCGCAACATTCTACACAACTTTACTTACAATGAATATTATAACAATGTTGAGGGTGCCTTCTTCACTGCCACTGCTGGAGAGGTGAATCCCTGGATGTGTCTCTCTTACAGCCGCTTAGAAAATAATGGTAGACAGCTCTATGGTAATTTCACCACTACTAGAGCAGCAGTTTACCTAGATATACAGAACATGCAGGATGTTTATTTTAAGGTTTGTAATATCTGTTATAAGTACATGGCTATACTTTATATACCTAGTGGAAGAACTGTTGAATATGTATACTTGATATATAAAGATGTATGTATTTTTATTAACACATCATCTGTTTCCCACTGAGGCAGGGTGACCCAAAAAGAAAGAAATAATTTTCATCATCAGATGTATGTATATAAGTTTTAAAAGAGCAAGGGGCTAGTAACCCATTCTCATGTATAAATTATTAATTGTAAAAGAAGAAAAACTTCATAAATTGTTCTTCTTCTCTGGGTCATCCTTCCTGTGTGGGAGATGGCTGATATATTGATAAAAATATATAAGTTTTAAATACTATTCCATAATTAGCAATACTAATATTTGCCTGGATGATTTAGTTCATAACAAGCTTTTTAAAAATTATTAATCACTGTAAAAACTCCTGATGTTGACAAGTATACAACAGAATAACCTGGTGCGCAACAATACTGGTGGTGTTTATATCATGGCTGGATCCATGGGTGCTGCCACCAAGCTACAGGCCAATGTCACCAACAATTTATTTGAGGAAACTCTTCACTGGCCATCCTTGTATATAGCCACCAGGGAGAATTCTGCTTATCAACATGCACTTATCGCTTACAATGACTTTAGTTGGTCATATTCACCATACCATGATGTCATCACCTTAGCTCAGGTGAGTAGCCACTGGGCTGTTTATATGCAAATTATTTATACATTAATTTATAGGGGCTTGTGAAGTGTATTATCTAGATTCATTTGCAAAGAACACTAGGGAGATGGCAAGAGAAGGGGGTTGATGGTTAAAATTCGGGGAAGACCATGAATGTTTCCTCATACTAATGTGAATAATAGACAGCTGCCAAAAACTTAATAATATACTTCATAATGTTCAGCATATCAATTATGAGTGAACCATGTTAATTTTTTTTTTTTTTCAACAAGTCGGTCGTCTCCCACCGAGGCAGGGTGACCCAAAAAAAGAAAGAAAATCCCCAAAAAGAAAATACTTTCATCATCATTCAACACTTTCACCACACTCACACATTATCACTGCTTTTGCAGAGGTGCTCAGAATACAACAGCTTAGAAGCATATACGTATAAAGATACACAACATATCCCTCCAAACTGCCAATATCCCAAACCCCTCCTTTAAAGTGCAGGCATTGTACTTCCCATTTCCAGGACTCAAGTCCGACTATATGAAAATAACCGGTTTCCCTGAATCCCTTCACTAAATATTACCCTGCTCACACTCCAACAGATCGTCAGGTCCCAAGTATCATTCGTCTCCATTCACTCCTATCTAACACGCTCATGCACACTTGCTGGAAGTCCAAGCCCCTCGCCCACAAAACCTTTACCCCCTCTTTCCAACCCTTTCGAGGACGACCCCTACCCCTCTTTCCTTCCCCTATAGATTTATATGCTTTCCATGTCATTCTACTTTCATCCATTCTCTCTAAATGACCAAACCACCTCAACAACCCCTCTTCTGCCCTCTGACTAATGCTTTTATTAACTCCACACCTTCTCCTAATTTCCACACTCCGAATTTTCTGCATAATATTTACACCACACATTGCCCTTAGACAGGACATCTCCACTGCCTCCAACCGTCTCCTCGCTGCTGCATTTACCACCCAAGCTTCACATCCATATAAGAGTGTTGGTACTACTATACTTTCATACATTCCCTTCTTTGCCTCTATAGATAACGTTTTTTGACTCCACATATACCTCAACGCACCACTAACCTTTTTTCCCTCATCAATTCTATGATTAACCTCATCCTTCATAAATCCATCCACCGACACGTCAACTCCCAAGTATCTGAAAACATTCACTTCTTCCATACTCCTCCTCCCCAATTTGATATCCAATTTTTCTTTATCTAAATCATTTGATACCCTCATCACCTTACTCTTTTCTATGTTCACTTTCAACTTTCTACCTTTACACACATTCTCAAACTCATCCACTAACCTTTGCAATTTTTCTTTAGAATCTCCCATAAGCACAGTATCATCAGCAAAAAGTAACTGTGTCAATTCCCATTTTGAATTTGATTCCCCATAATTTAATCCCACCCCTCTCCCGAACACCCTAGCATTTACTTTTTTTACAACCCCATCTATAAATATATTAAACAACTATGGTGACATTACACATCCCTGTCTAAGACCTACTTTTACCGGGAAGTATTCTCCCTCTCTTCTACATACCCTAACCTGAGCCTCACTATCCTCATAAAAGCTCTTTACAGCATTTAGTAACTTACCACCTATTCCATATACTTGCAACATCTGCCATATTGCTCCTCTATCCACTCTATCATATGCCTTGATCTACACATCCCCTACCCACTCTGAAGCCTCCTTGCTCATCCACAATTCTACATTCTGTCTTACCTCTAATTCTTTCAATTATAACCCTACCGTATACTTTTCCTGGTATACTCAGTAAACTTATTCCTCTATAATTTTTACAATCTCTTTTGTCCCCTTTCCCTTTATATAAAGGGACTATACATGCTCTCTGCCAATCCCTAGGTACCTTCCCCTCTTTCATACATTAATTACACAAAAGTACCAACCACTCCAACACTGTATCCCCCCCTGCTTTTAACATTTCTGTCATGATCCCATCAGTTCCAGCTGCTTTACCCCCTTTCATTCTACATCATGCCTCACGTACTTCCACCACACTTACATTCTGCTCTTCTTCACTCCTAAAAGATGGTATACCTCCCTGGCCAGTGCATGAAATTACCGCCTCTCTTTCTTCCTCAACTTTTAAAAGTTCCTCAAAATATTCTCGCCATCTACCTAATACCTCCATCTCCCCATCTACTAACTCCCCTACTCTGTTTTTAACTGACAAATCCATACTTTCCCTAGGCTTTCTTAACTTGTTTAACTCACTCCAAAATTTTTTCTTATTTTCATTAAAATTTCTTGACAGTGCCTCTCCCACTCTTTCATCTGCTCTCCTTTTGCACTCTCTCACCACTCTCTTCACCTTTCTTTTACTCTCCATATACTCTGCTCTTCTTATAACACTTCTGGTTTGTAAAAACCTCTCGTAAGCTACCTTTTTCTCTTTTATCACACCCTTTACTTCATCATTCCACCAATCACTCCTCTTTCCTCCTGCCCCCACCCTCCTATAACCACAAACTTCTGCCCCACATTCTAATACTGCATTTTTAAAACTATTCCAACCTGCTTCAACCCCCCCACTACTCATCTTTGCACTAGCCCACCTTTCTGCCAATAGTCGCTTATATCTCGCCCGAACTTCCTTCTCCCTTAGTTTATACACTTTCACCTCCCTCTTACTTGTTGTTGCCACCTTCCTCTTTTCCCATCTACCTCTTACTCTAACTGTAGCTACAACTAAATAATGATCCGATATATCAGTTGCCCCTCTATAAACATGTACATCCTGGAGCCTACCCATCAACCTTTTATCCACCAATACATAATCTAACAAACTACTTTCATTACGTGCTACATCATACCTTTTATATTCATTTATCCTCTTTTTCATAAAATATGTATTACTTATTACCAAATTTCTTTCTACACATAGCTCAATTAAAGGCTCCCCATTTACATTTACCCCTGGCACCCCAAATTTACCTACTACTTATTACCAAATTTCTTTCTACACATATCTCAATTAAAGGCTCCCCATTTACATTTACCCCTGGCACCCCAAATTTACCTACTACTCCCTCCATAACATTTTTACCCACTTTAGCATTGAAATCCCCAACCACCATTACTCTCACACTTGATTCAAAACTCCCCACGCATTCACTCAACATTTCCCAGAATCTCTCTCTCTCCTCTACACTTCTCTCTTCTCCAGGTGCATACACGCTTACTATAATCCACTTTTCACATCCAATCTTTATTTTACTCCACATAATCCTTGAATTTATACATTTGTAGTCCCTTTTTTCCTGCCATAGCTTATCCTTCAACATTATTGCTACTCCTTCTTTAGCTCTAACTCTATTTGAAACCCCTGACCTAATCCCATTTATTCCTCTCCATTGAAACTCTCCCACCCCCTTCAGCTTTGTTTCACTTAAAGCCAGGACATCCAGTTTCTTCTCATTCATAACATCCACAATCATCTCTTTCTTATCATTTGCACAACATCCACGCACATTCAGACTTCCCACTTTGACAGTTTTCTTCTTATTCTTTTTAGTAATCTTTACAGGAAAAGGGGGTTACTAGCCCATTGTTCCCGGCATTTTAGTTGACTTTTACAACACGCATGGCTTACGGAGGAAAGATTCTTATTCCACTTCCCCATGGATATAAAAGGAAAAGTAATAAGACCAAGAACTATTAAGATAAAATCAAAGAAAACTCAGATGAGTGTGTATAAATAAACATGTACATGTGTAGTGTGACCTAAGTGTAAGTAGAAGTAGCAAGACATGCCTGTAATGTTGCATATTTATGAGACAGACAAAAGACACCAGCAATCCTACCATCATGTAAAACAATTACAGGCTTTCATTTTACACTCACTTGGCAGGACGGTAGTACCTCGCTGGGTGGTTGCTGTCTACCAACCTACTATTTATTTAGTTTTGCTCTGTCTAAATGAGTATGCTTGATCTAAATCAAGACTTGTACAAGTCATCACAGCCTAGTGGTGTACATTCATGTAACAGTTTTTTCCAGTCATCAGTATATCATCATATGCATAATTGATGATGTGCACACATCTGTCAACATTGTAAGACAGGCAACACAATACAGTAAGTGTAATGAAACTCAGGTTTTTAATCATTTGTAACCGTGTGATAGATACCTATTCAAGGATTTATAAAACTTACACTGTTCATAATAATTATATCTTTTGTTCTCTTGGTAAAACATGAATTTCCCATCATGAATTTGTTTTATCATTTTTCTAATTATAACTAAGATACATTTACTTCTTACAGGTAGTGTCTGAGTTCACTCATAATTACCTGCATAGCAATATTGGTCGACACATTTTAGACATTTATGGGTTTCAAAAAGTTCGTCTTCCTGTATATCAAACTACATCTCATAACAGTCTTGCCAAGTAAGAACATTATTAGTTTTAATTTTTTCTATCTTTTATTTATCTTTTCTAAATTTCAGCTGCTTGCACAGGGTGTCCCTTAAAAGTTGATTTAATGAGCATATTATCCTTTACTATAATTGTAATACACTACATTATGGAGTTAATACTTAGCTTAAGATTCATTTAACCTCATAATTTTCCTTTTAATTAAAGAACTGCATTAATAATAAAAAAAATTGTGCACAAATTAAAAAATTAAGGTGTCAAAATGCCTAGTCAACTTTGCCTAATAACCATATGTTTAAAACCAGCCAACCACATCGTAACACTGAAATACTGTATTTTAGGAAAAATGTATGTAATATTGATTTTGTTATGCTTTCAAAACTATTTATATTTCCTTGGTAGTTTTAGTTACTGTATAATGCAACCTCAGTTTTTGTATACCCTAGTTAGAGAAAACTCTTGGAGAAAATTCTCTTTAAAATGTATATTTTGTTAATATTTTTGGGTCTCTGGAATAGATTACAGTGGACCCCCGACTTACGATCAGCTCCCAACTCGAACAGTTATGTAAGTGTATTTTTGTAAGTGTATTTTTGGGGGTCTGAAAGGGACTAATCTAATTTACAATATTCCTTATGGGAGCAAATTCGTTCGGTAACGGCACCCGAACAGCCTTCTGGAACAAATTAATATCGTAAATTGGGGGTCCACTGTAATTGGTTCCGTTCCAGACACCCAAAAACATTAACAAAAAATACATTTTATAGAGAATTTTCTCCAAGAATTTTCTCCAACTAGGGCATGCAAAAACTGAGTTTCCACTGTACATCATTTGAATCACTTCTTGCTACTGAACAATATACAGGCAGGCTCCACTTTATAGCTCTTTGCTTTACGGTGTTTCGCTAATAGTGGTATTCAGTTATACCCATTCTTCATTTATTCAGACTTCCCACAATAAATGTATTCATCACTCGCTATAAGCTAAGGACGAAAACATTTTAGGGTAAGTAATGTGTGTACTGTATATGAATTTTTAGGCCTAGATCTATTGCTCACTTAATATGTGATAGTGTAAAAATGTTATCAGGCTTTTATATCCATTTGAAAGTAAAAAAAAAGGCTTTGATTCACTTTACAGTGATTTTTGCTTTACAGCAGTAGCCTGGAACCTAACCTGCTGTATAAGCAGGGCCCTACTGTACAGTATAATAAAATATTAATGGTAGTTGAAAACATTATTACTGCAAAATGTTCAGAAGTGGAGATTCCTAACACTGGTTCTGGATATTCAGTCATTCCTTGTTTTGCACAAAACTTGTACAGTTTTCATGACTCATGAAATCCTAATAATACGATTGGAAATAAATCACAGAATGGGTGGGCTTTGAACTCGCAGCAGGTAAGTCCTAAACTCTCACGCTAGTGGTCCATGCTGGCTTAAGGTTTTTACAGATGAATCCCACACTAACATGGCTGTGGTACGAGTCGTGATGGTAGCTTTGAGGGTACCTGATTAATAGGAAACTCATAGCTCCATGTTCCATCTGCCATTGTAAGGACATAGTCAGTGCAGAGACCATTATTATCAACTTTAATCTTCACTATGGAAACCATCATATAGATACAGGATAAAGGAGTTTTCTTGCCAAATTCCTCTTGCTTGTTAAACTCATTGACCTGATCTTTACAGTTGTTCACACACTATAGTCATCTGCACCTCTCCTTCAGTCTTCACTATGCCTATATATTCCTAGTTTTAACATGTATTCTTTATAGACTTGAAAAGCTTGGTTACTAAGTGAAGCATTCTTAATGAAATGTCCATTCTGTCATAGTGTCTATTTTCAATTCTCTACAGTATCACTTGTCCATACAAAAGTTGCCAAATGTAAGCATTGATGCTTAATAATATATTTTGATGTTATTAGTTTTATTTAAGTACTGTGCAGTATATAATATTAGCATTAGCTAAATGTAGTAAGCCCATTATTTGACAAATATTTCATGTCCTATTTCAAGAATTCTTTAATATTTGAAGGCAGTTAAATGCCTGGATAAGACTACACATTGCCACCTCCTCGAGGATGTACTGCAGCTCTCAGAGGAAACAATACATGAAAGACATAGATTGATATCAGATTACAAGTTTTCTTTATCTTCTTCTTTCAACAAGCCGGCCGCATCCCACCAAAGTAGGATGGCCCAAAAATAATGTATACAGTAATGTATACAGGAGAAGGGGTTACTAGCCCCTTGCTCCCGGCATTTTAGTCGCCTCTTATGATACGCATGGCTTATGGAGGAAGAATTTTGTTCCACTTCCCCATGGAGATAAGAGGAAATAAATAAGAACAAGAAATAGTAACAAAATAGAAGGAAACCCAGATGGGTGTATATGTACATGTTTGTACACGCATGTGTAGTGTGACCTAAGTGTAAGTAGAAGTAGTAAGACGTACCTGAAATCTTGCATATTTCTTCTTCTTTCAACACACCGGCCGTATCCTACCGAGGCGGGGTGGCCCAAAAGGAAAAACGAAAGTTTCTCCTTTACATTTAGTAATATATACAGGAGAAGGGGTTACTAGCCCCTTCCTCCTAGCATTTTAGTCGTCTCTTACAACACGCATGGCTTACGGAGGAAGAATTCTGTTACACTTTCCCATGGAGATAAGAGGAAATAAACAAGAACTAGAACTAGAAAGAAAATAGAAGAAAACCCAGAGGGGTGTGTATATATATGCTTGTACATGTAGGGTGTGCAAAAGAAAATTAAAGGTGAATACAGGAAAGAGTAAGGTTATGAGGATAACAAAAAGATTAGGTGATGAAAGATTGGATATCAGATTGGAGGGAGAGAGTATGGAGGAGGTGAATGTATTCAGATATTTGGGAGTGGACGTGTCAGCGCATGGGTCTATGAAAGATGAGGTGAATCATAGAGTTGATGAGGGGAAAAGGGCGAGTGGTGCCCTTAGGAGTCTGTGGAGACAGAGAACTTTGTCCTTGGAGGCAAAGAGGGGAATGTATGAGAGTATAGTTTTACCAACGCTCTTATATGGGTGTGAAGCATGGGTGATGAATGTTGCAGCGAGGAGAAGGCTGGAGGCAGTGGAGATGTCATGTCTGAGGGCAATGTGTGGTGTGAATATAATGCAGAGAATTCGTAGTTTGGAAGTTAGGAGGAGGTGCGGGATTACCAAAACTGTTGTCCAGAGGGCTGAGGAAGGGTTGTTGAGGTGGTTCGGACATGTAGAGAGAATGGAGCGAAAGAGAATGACTTCAAGAGTGTATCAGTCTGTAGTGGAAGGAAGGCGGGGTAGGGGTCGGCCTAGGAAAGGTTGGAGGGAGGGGGTAAAGGAGGTTTTGTGTGCGAGGGGCTTGGACTTCCAGCAGGCATGCGTGAGCATGTTTGATAGGAGTGAATGGAGACAAATGGTTTTTAATACTTGACGTGCTGTTGGAGTGTGAGCAAAGTAACATTTATGAAGGGGTTCAGGGAAACCGGCAGGCCGGACTTGAGTCCTGGAGATGGGAAGTACAGTGCCTGCACTCTGAAGGAGGGGTGTTAATGTTGCAGTTTAAAAACTGTAGTGTAAAGCACCCTTCTGGCAAGACAGTGATGGAGTGAATGATGGTGAAAGTTTTTCTTTTTCGGGCCACCCTGCCTTGGTGGGAATCGGCCAGTGTGATAATAAAAAAAAAATAAAAAAAATAATGCATGTGTAGTGTGACCTAAGTGTAAGTAGAAGTAGCAAGACATACCTGAAATCATACATGTTCATGAGACAGAAAAAAGGACACCAGCAATCCTACTATCATGTACAACAATTACAGGCTTTCGTTTTACACTCACTTGGCAGGACAGTAGTACCTCCCTGGGCGGTTGCTGTCTACCAACCTACTACCTAGAATCTTGCATATTTATGAGGCAAAAAAGACCCCAGCAATCCTACCATCATGTAAACCAATTACAGGCTTTCGTTTTACTCACTTGGAAGGACAGTAGTACCTCCCTGGGTGGTTGCTGTCTACCAACCTACTACCTAGAAGTTTTCTTTATGTATTTTTTTTTTTTTTACCATGTGCCCACACGCTCTCACACTCATACACTCACACCAAGGCAGGGTGACCCAAAAATCAGGAAAACTTCCATAAAGTTTTTCTTTTTACATTTAGTAATTTATGCAGGAGAATGGGTTACTAGCCCCTTCCAGCATTTTAGTTGCCTCTTATGACATGCATGGCTTACAAAGGAAGGATTCTTCTCCATTTTCCCATTTAGAAGCTTTCAAAAAATCATATATTTATTATTGTCACACACTATTATGTTATATAGATGCATGCTTCACCATCAACAAAGTAACATGGAGTATAATGGTATTTAATGCTGCAATACAGAACTGTGTTTGACCATAGAGTATTTTAAAGTATTACCTCCAACAGGAACATGGCAGTAGACCCAACCTACCAGGGTACCATCATAGCAGGGAGTGCTGGCCAACAATTTGTAGACAATGTTTTCTACAACTTAGACAATGCATACGAACTTGTTGCTGTAAATGAGTCTGTGTAAGTTTCTAAAAAAAGCTGATCTTTTATAGATTCTAATTATCTTTATATTTTTATGTTTTTTAAAATTTAAAAACTCTAAACATTAGTACTTAGTAAAGAAGAGTATGGTTAATAATATTTTGTATTTGAATATATTTTTCATTTAATTACAGTATTGTTTAAAAATCATTTAAGCACTATAATATAGGTTCAACATGTTCATATAATTCTGTGCATTTTGTAGTTTTCCTTCATTATAGCAAATGCTGTACCTCATGACACACTATTATAAGAGGTTATTTAGAAAACTGCACTAGGAGAAATTTAAAGATAAAAATGACTGCTGTGCTTTCTGTTCATGATTAACCTGTAAACGGTCCAAATGTATATATATGTTTTTTCAACATTTGAAAGTATGTAAAAAAAGTAGATCTTCTTTTTGCTTTTTTACATTTGAAAATGTGTAAAAAAAACTGTGATCTACTTTTTTTTTTGTTATATTTGAAAATATGTAAAAAAAACGTAGATCTACTTTTGTAGCACTACACATGTGAATGTAGATCTGCTTGGACCGTTTATGGGTTGAACTCCACGCAAAAGCCAAGCTGCCATTTTATCCTAAATCATCCTAAAAATATAAATATATTTGTAAATGTTTTCCAAGTACAACTCTTATAGTAAAAAAAAAAAACCAGCATGCAGTATATTATATACTGCATATCTAATTATTCAACTTTATGCACATGGCACGCCCACTTGACTGCCCCTGCACAGGTCTGGACTCCGTAGGTAAGGTCATGTCATCCCAAAAAAGGAAGCGTAGCATTGCATGCTCAGTCATTATTATTCTGCTTGTGGATGTTGCTGTATGGTTAAAGGTCAAAAAGTAGTTTAATTATTTTCTAGGTCATTGTTTATTGGATGCTGAAAAGCAGTGAGTGACTATGTACAGTAAACCCTTAATAAAATGGACTAATGGGGGGAATTGTCTGAGTGTCCATTGAATCAGAATAATAATTGTGACTTATCAACATATATGTTTTGAAATAGAAAAAAACAAAAAAAACTCTTAATTACGCTTCCTGATATTGTACACACAGTTTACAGATATACTGCAATAAACATGGAAAATATAAGGGTTAAAGTACAGTTTAACCAGTGGATTTTGCCCATAATTTTAAAAGTCCAATATATTAAGGGTTTACTGTACCTGAAATACAGATACTGTCTATGTACAATACAAGAGGTTATGACAAAAAATATTTTTTTTATAAAAATATTCTATATATTGAATAAATATAATAAGCCCACAATTTGGAATGTAAAACTTAATTTCATTTCAATCTTTTGTTGATTATTATTATTTCATTATGCGATTTGTTCCAGTTACTTTTGTGAATTTTATTTTAAAAGTACACTTTGTGTGTGCCTAAGTAATCAAATCTAACTAGTTTGATGAATTAGTTTCAAGAAGACTCATTTTCCTATTTAGTCTAGTAATTTCAAAGGTACTGGCATTTGACATACTCAGCATAAAAATTTTATCAAATATTATTTATATAATTTAATGTCAAGAAATAAATGAATTTAGAAACAAAAATCAGAATCAAAACATGTCATGTGGAACCTCTAGGAAATTTAATGCTTTTCTAAAATATTGTTTATCCATATAAAAATTAGGGTGTCCAGTTACATTAATAGTGAAGTATTTCTACAACTCTAGGATTACAAAGTAATACCTGGTATTAATATACTTTTTGATCTCTATATACAGTAATGTACTTCAGTATCTCTTAGTTTTCCCCATAGCTTTTGATATCTTATTAGCTTTGTACCAGTGCAGTTGTTTAACCATATAATTGCATAACTGTATTGTATAAGTGGTAGATCCAGACTATTTCTGTAAGGGGAGGGCATATACTGTATTAACAAAAGGGGAAATTTAAATTCCTTATCCTGTTTGAAATACGAGTATATACTATATAATCTGTCTCACTGTTAAGCTTTGAATTCTTTTTCCTAGATTCTACCCAAAAGTTATGTACACCACCATTCCATCATCATTGACTAATTAAGTGCATTTTAAAAACAGACATTGAGTACCATACATTGCCACCTCTATAGTTTCAGTACTAGCACCTGACTCTTCTCTAAATCATCACTGAACATCGTCTCTGCAAATCCAAGCACTGTTGAACAGTGTTAAAACTTTGTCACTTCCTTGAGGCTTATATAACATGGTTGTACTGTTCCTTGAAAACATTTGTCAGGAAAATATTTGAGCCTTTCACATTTCATATTAGTAACCCCACTTTTGACTAAACTACAAATGCTCCTTAAAAAATTCTCTTGGTTTGTAAATGATTCTGTTATTTGTTTTTGTTTAGTTTTCTGCCATATCATTGCTTCAGTAATAGAATTCAACCTCTGTTTTCTCTTTTGTTTAGTATTCATTAATTATGCTGGATTATGAGTAATGTATATAGTAAACAGAAAACCTTAATTTTTTTTTTTTTTTTTCAACAAGTCGGCCGTCTCCCACTGTAGTTCAGATATCTTTTCATCAGTCATTATTCTATACAATACAGTATTGAGAACCCACCACAATGAAAAATAAAAGATAAAAAAGCCTCTTTACCTCTTTCATGTGATCATGCAAGAATTGCTGATATATGGGAGTGAGGTGGGAGTGTTTGAATGAATGTCATGTTTATATTCATCTTGTGAGATGAAGTTTAGGCCAGTGGGGGCTTACTACAATATTTCTTGCATTCCAGAAAAGTAAGAATTATCCTTTGGGCCAATTGCAGTGTTTATATGTTTATATATCAAATCAAAATTGATTTCAATCCATTTAATTGGAATGCCCTTTTGTAAATGCAACACCATAGACATATACCAACTAGAGAACAATTGTAAAACTCCAATTGCAATGAATTATCCTCATTAGGGAAAATTAATTATAATACTGTTGTTATCTTTTTACTATAGTGTTTATATGTGAGGTCATCAAACCAGAAGTCACCCACATTGGAGATATTGATCTATGTTTCTGGGTAGTAGATAGTTAATAAATGAAAGTTTTATCAGGGTCAGCTGGATCAGTGCAATACATGTTTTTCATTTGTGAAACGGGTTGTCTTCCTGTAGTAAATCGTTATGTAATTTGAATTTGGGTTTCCTGTATGCAATTTTGCTTTTTTCCCCCTTTTGGGGTTTTTGTGATGCTAATGAGTCTTGACCAGGAAATTTATTAATCTCCCTTCCTTGTATCAGCCTGTTTCCCCATTTTTCCAGTCCTTTATAAGTTTAAAGGGGACTGTTATTTTGTTTGAGATAATTATACGTACAGTTTTGTTTTTTTTTTGTACATGTTTTATTATTGTTTTAAATTTCACATCAGAGGGTTATACATTCATCAGGAACTTTCAAAAATTAGATAAAATTCGTTTTTTATACCTTTGTGAGTCCTTAATTTTTTTTTTAACTGGTCCGGGAATGAATTTTTTTTAAAAAAAAGGAATTTTATGATGATGAGTGTTGGGCTCCAGGTTTAAAATAAATTTTTGAAAAAATCTGAAAGTCCCTTCTGTTGGATCTGTTTAAATGTATGATTTTGTGTCCTGCTTAAGCTTTTTATTTCTTCAGTTTTCTGCATGTAAAATATAGAAAAAAATTTATTTAGTAGAAGATAGATATTTCAACAAGTTCTAAGCAGGGGAAGGTGTAATTAAATTACAGCTGTTTACTTTTATTATTTTCAGTATGAGGTGGGAAAAACAATTAATGTTCAATAGAGAGTTACAAAACATTTATCTACTGCTATTGACAAATACGTACACCCTTCTTGCTTTGACAAATTATTTGTATTGTATTGCATCCTTGTCTTTTTTTTATGAATCCAGCCCTACAAATCTTTGAGCCCCTTTTAAAAACCTTTGATGTAATGAACTCGATGAAAAAATTTAAAAAGGGTCCAAGTGTGCTAAATCATGTACAATGTTTGTATGACCATCTTATATTTTATAACTTTCCTTCATATTTCACATTTCCCGCTTTGGTATTTAAACTGCTACACTGAATTTTTTTGGGGGCTTTAATTGATTTTTCAAATTTAAAACAGTAGTTAACAATAATCTGAGTAAAAAGTGGGTTTTTAAAGGTTTTTCTCTCTAAATACCCCGTATGGCCACTCACTCATCCATGTTACATTATGTGGAAATACACTATTTCCTAGGGCTAGCAGTTCCTTGCCTAAATCCTGGGCTGGATGTAGTGCTATTGTGATTGTTACAAATAATTTTCTACTCTATTACAATTTCAATAAAAGAAAGCATTTGAATCTATATTTTTAATTTACTAAGTCCATAAAGAGATGAAATTGCCTCAGTCACCCCTTTTCTTACCTGAATCTACCACTGTACTGTATCTAATGTATTTTCCATGTATGGTATTACTACATAGCATTCAGTAATATTGCTTTACTACAGCCTTTTATAGGCATAGCACATTTAGTTTGGCATGGAGTAGTAGGGATTCATAGTATTCTTGAGCTTACAGAATTGCATGTCTATTGATGAACACACAATTGCATGCTTGCTTATGGATTACAGACGCTGCAACATTTCTACGGAATGCTCGCAAGTGGATATCTACGATGTCTTGGTTGATGAGAGGTTAGTAGGTGCTTCTGGGTGAGCAATTTATCAGGGTAAAGGTTTTACAAATATTTAAGTGTACACGTTTAATTAATGTTATGGAGTAAATGTTAACCGAACTCAAAGCTGTAGCAAGAATTAAATTTAAACTGAACTAATATGGAAGAAAGAGCACATTTATGTTATATCTATATGATGAAATGATAGATAAATTTGTAGGGAAGTGAAAACAATCATTAGCATTGTATAACATACATTTTTTTTTTCTCAACAAGTCGGCCGTCTCCCACCGAGGCAGGGTGACCCAAAAAGAAAGAAAATCCCCAAAAAGAAAATACTTTCGTCATCATTCAACACTTTCACCTAACTCACACATAATCACTGTTATGTTGGATAAAAATTGATTCAGGTGCCAGAATGAATATACAGTGGTCCCCTGCTTTTCGTAGTTCCCGGCAATCGTAAAATTCGCCAATCATAGGGGTATTTTCGTATGACCATGGACTCGCTTTTCATAGGTTGACTCGCGAGTCGTAGTTCGTCCAGGACGCGTACCCACGGCGTGAGCCGGGGCGGCAGCCAGTCTGGCATTGTTTACCAGTGAGCAAAGGTCCCCTCACGTGCTCCAGCGAAATATTTCATAATATTCCATTTATTTTAGTGCTTGCAAGTACTATATAATCTAACATGCTCCAAAGAAGCTCCTAGTGCCAAGGCTCTTATGGTAAAGAAGGTGTGAAATACGTCTGAATTTAAGTGGAAAACCATCATTGAACAATATAGAAGTGGTACAAGTATGGTCCGAAACTGTCCAGGATGTATAAGAAACCCTACAAACCTTATGTTCCGTAGTGGCAAGAAAAAGGAAATAAAGGTGCTGTTGTTGCAAAGGGAGTAACTATGTGACAAAAAATGAGTTCACCATACTGGAAGAGTTGAGAAGTTATTATTGTGTGGACAAATGGAAACAATTAGCAGGAGATACTCTTATGACTTCGATTATTTGTGAAAAAGGTAGGCAGTTGCAGAAGATTTGGTAAAGAAATTGCCTGCAAATAGTGGTGAAAGTGAGTGAATTTAAGGCCAGCATAAGGCTGGTTTGATGAGATTTAAGAACCGTACTGGCATACACAGTGTGGTAAGGCATGATGAGGCTAAACATGTTCGGACCACAAGGGGCTGAAAAATATGTGCATGGAATTCCAGGAGTACATAGAGGCTGAAGGACTGAAACATGAACAAGTGTTCAGTTGTGTCGAAAACAGGCCTCTTTTGGAGAAAATGCCAAAGAGGGACCTTTCCATTACCAAGAGGAAAAGGAATGCCACTGGACACAAGTCTATGAAAGGACAGGCTGACGCTAATGTTCTGTGCTAATGCTAGTGGGGATTTTCATTAAAAAGTGAAGCAATTACTAGTGTTACATCTGAAAATCCAGGTTTCAGGAAAAAACAATGTTATGAAGAGTAAATTGGTGTGTGTTTTGGAAATCTTATTAGTAAGGCATGGTCACGAGGGAAATTTTCGTCCAAGTGGTTCAGTGAAGGTTGTGGCCCTAGTGTGAAGGGAGTATCTCCTGGAAAAGAATTGGATCTCAAGTGCATGCTTTTAATGGACAATGCACTGCTCTTCTCCAAATTGGTGACCTATTTTTCGAGAGTTTGGGTTCATCATCAGTAAGTTCTTGCCCCGAATACCACTCCTCTCCTCCAATCCCATGGCCAGCAGGTTAATTGGCAAACTTTAAAAAAACTCTACACAAAAGCAATGTTTCACAGGGTGCTTGACTCTCTTGATAGACAACAGAACACTCACTTGACTAGGGAATTGTGGAGAGAAACACATCAGCATCCTCACTGCATATCCCTTATAGGTATGGCTTGGGAGGGAGTGACTACCAGACTTTGAACTCTGCCTGGGGAGAAAATTGTGGCCAAATTGTGTCCACAAGAGGGATTTTGAGGATTTGGGACTGACCCTAATGAGCCTATGTCCCAGTGTAAATCAATTGTGGCACTGGGGAGTTTCCATGGGGTTGGTGTGAGTTTGGAGGATGTGGAAGGGAATTGGTGGAAGCACAATGAAAAGCTCACCACTGTGGAGCTGCAAGAGCTTCAGCAGGAAGGAAAAAAAAATGGGGCAACACATCGCAGCTCAGACTCTTGCTGCAGAGGAGGGAAAGAGAGATGTAGAAGAGGTGCCTCTTCAGAAATTAAGAGAATTTTACTATGTGAGAGGTAAGATGGAAAGCTTTATGGAGAAACAGCACCCTTAAAGGTTGTTGCAGCCAGGTTGGCAACCTGTAACAGTGACAAGTTTGAGGCCATTTAGGGAAAGTGTTAATAGAGGATGCCAGATACAGCTCTCTCCAAGTTATTTTTGTGAGACAGGACTCCAGTGACTCTCCAAGGTGGTCCTAGTGGCATTAGAAACAGAGGAAGAGAAGGAACCCCAGAAAAGCAAATGGAAACCTGAGGTGTGGATGGAAGGGGGATTCCCCTAGTCCAAAAAACTATAAACAATCCACTCTTATCCTCCTTCCAGTCTACCATACACTAAAGAAGGAATCTCCAATAAAGGTAAGTGTTATGCTGTTAATGTTTTCATTCATCACTTTCCCTTGTATTGTTTAGTACTACATGTATATTTCATGTTAAAATTTTTCTCTTTGTTTTAATATATTATGGGTGTCAGGGACGGTTTTTTATTGTATTTATACATTACAGTGGACCCCGGTTAATGATTTTAATCCGTGCAAGAGGGGTATTTGTTATGCGTAATAATCGTTATGTGAATGGATTTTCCCCATAAGAAATATGAGAAATAATATGAATAAGTTGATATGACACCACTTATAGTTATGAAATTTTTTTTTGGGTTGTAACTATTTGGAGTGAATACTGGATAGGCGGAATTATTGGGTGTTCGGGGGGGCGGTTTGTTTGTTTATGTATAAGTCACATAGGCTCCCCGGAGCTATGGCTTAGGGGAAAAGGGATTCACACACTTGTTGGGGGGGGTTAATTGATACGGTTAGGTTCATTTCAGGGTAGTTTGTGTGCGGGACACAGGATTAGGTGGAGCTTATCTACGACTATAAGGGGGGCCCCCCCCCCCCCCCCCCCCCCCCCTGGAGGGGGGTCAGGATCGGCGTCCTAGGCGTACGTCGATGGAGGAATGCAGTGGGCCGTGGGAGAGGGGGTTGGTGTGGGGGTGATTGGCGGTGGGCATGGTTGACACACTGGGCTGGGGGGAGGGGGTTGTGCGTTGTGGGGGAATAGCGGGGGTTGCGTCGGGCGGGGGGTAGGGGAGCCGGGCAGGTTTGATGGTAGGGCTGGCTGCTGGCTTGGGTAGGCAGCTAGTTTGGTGGGGGGCCACCTAGGATGTGGTCCAAGGTGCGGGGCGTGAACGGGGGTCATTTTAGTGTCTTTGGAAAGAGCAGGGAGGGTATATTGAGGTTTATAGTGGTCGGGGGGAGGTAATTTTACGTGGACGCCGGGCTCGGTTAGCCGGCAGGTGGGGCCAATGGGGGCGGGGGTTTTAGTGTGTGCGTTAAAAGAGGGGTTGTGGAATCACGTTACAGTGCGTAAGCTGGTATGTAGGGGGGTTTCGGTGATTTGAAGTTTATGTGGGCAAGAGCGGGTTGTGGGCCTGGTGCGTCACTAAATTTTCCTGGATCGGCTGGTTGGGTTGGGGGGGACCGTTTGTGGCCGTGGGAGGTTTTGCGGGCGATCGAGGGAGCTCACACACAAGGCTTGGGCCGGCTTGGGCAAGGGACAGTTTCTTGGATTAGACGCCCTGGGTGTCAGATGTTATTGGGTGGGATTAGGATTTGTTTTTCTTAATGACTGCATCAAAAGCTCATATGAATATATTGATTGCATTTAGATAGTATGTATCTGCCTGTTTTGCAACTAAATCTCTTTCCATGTTTCCACATTTTATTGACCTCGTTTGTCTATCATACTTTCTGTAATTTGAAATGTTAATTTAATACACACAACTGAAAAGGCATGCACACTTACATGACACTTACTTTTAGGAAGATCTGGTGATGTTGATGGGATGGAGGGGGGGAGAGCATTATCTTCCTTACATGTTTAGATGGGGAATCCCTTCCATTAGGACTTGAGGTAGCAAGTCTTTTGGGGTTACTTCCCTTCTTCTTTTAATGCCCTAGGCCAAGCTTCAGAGTCACTGGATTCTTTCGCACAAGATATCTGTCCATAGTGGATGTACCTCTAGTTCCTATATGACTTGTAAGTGTTCTCAACATTGTCATTGTAAATAATCACAGGGACGGCTTGCAATAGCTGTAGGAGGGTGGATTTTCATCCATGATGGTTTGCACTTCAAGCCATTTGCACAGATTTCTTAATCTTTGGTAGGCAAACTTCTTCAATTTCTCTATCCCCTTCCTACTGAACCGATTTCCTAGGTCTGGCCTCTTGATCTTGAAGTTGATCTATAGCTCAGAGTGTGTGTTCTTCATTGTCCTTCCTCCACCAACTCTTCCACATTCCTCCCCATAACCTCCTACCCCAAGGACTTTCCCAATTGCCTCAATGGATTCCTCAACTGGCATAATCATCTCAGGGTTAGCCTCAATCCCAGTCCAAAATCCCTTTTGTCTACACATTTGGCACAGTTTCTTCCATGCTGAGTTCAGGTCCTTAGTAACTTCCTCCCAAAAGCCTTACTATAAAGGTTTACACAATTGAGGATATTAAGTGATCTCTCAAAGACTCTCTTAGAGTCAGTTGAGTTTCTGAGCGTCCTACAAAGCACATTCAAACAGAGCTTTTGTGTACAGTTTCTTGAAGTTGGAAATACCTGCTGCGTCATGGGCATGCGGGAGATGGAGTGGTATTAGGAGGCAAAAACTTCACCTTAATGAAGCTCATGTCCCCATAAAGTCGCTCTGCCAGCTGTAGGTGACAGGGCATTGTCTAAACACCAGGTAGGCACTTACTGTTCTAATTTCTTTTCCGTTAGGTATATTCTTTCACATTGGGGCAAATGCATGGTGTAACAGTTTTATAGAAAAATTCCCTAGTGACCCCATTCCTTAGCTGTTTGCCCTCCACACACACAAATTATCCTTGAGGACAGTCTTTTGCCTGAACGCTCTTGGGAGTTTCAGAGTGATACACTAATAAAGTACACTTTGCATCCACCAGTAGCTGCACATATGTGAAGGAGTAGCACTGTCTTCAGAGGCTTATGTCCTGGGAGTGCCTTTTCCTCCCTGAGTAATGTTGGTCCTGGCTTGGCATTTTCTTCCCGAAACAGGCCTGTTTCATAACAATTTAAACAATTGTTCAGGTTTCAGTCCTTCAGTTTCTATGTACTTCCTTGAATTCCTTGCACTTATTTTTCGCGCTTTGTGGTCCGAACTGGCCAGCCTCAACCATGCCTTATCACACTATGGATGCCACTACGCTTCTTAAATCTCTCAAACCAACCTTTGCTGGCTTTAAATTCATAACATCATCACTAGTTGCAGCATTTTTTAATTAATCCTCATGCAACTTCACTAGCCTTTTCACAGATGATCGCTGAGAGACGCTATCCTCTGCTATCTGTTTTTAATTTATCCAGCACCATAAGCGAGTCTATCAACATCTTCATCACTTGCGATCTTTGTTTCCGAAAACACAGTTAAACCTTTAGCAAGAACAGCTACCTGTGATTGTCTTTCTGGTGCCACAATAGTAGCGATGAGTTGATTGGGTTTATTTGTACAGCTTGACTAGGTCGCTTTACGGCACTCCACTTTCATACTTATCAATGATCGCTCTTTCTTCATTTCGTTAGTAATTCTCACCCTTTTGGTGTAGGGTTGCACTTGAAGCTTTCGTGGGGCCCATGGTCACTTATTTTCCAGGATAACAGCACCGAAAACACTGTATAATACGAAATATTCCGAGTGTATGCTTGGGATGTTACTGCGAGGCAGGTGGTAAAACATTGGCACGGGGCGGCCACTGGTGAGGCTGTATGAGGGCGCACATGAGCGTCTCGGACGAAAATCGGTGAGCGGGTTTTTAATCGGTATGCGCAGCAAAAATTTTGCGATTAAAGTAAGCGGTATGCGAAATAATCGCTATGTGATGCCATCGTTATGCGGGGGTCCACTGTATTTCTTATGGGGAAAATTGATTCGTAAATCGTAAATTTTGTTTATAGTAACGGCTCCAGGAACGGATTAATTACAAAAAACGAGGGACCACTGTATCTTGGTGGTCAGTCCCTGAAAGTACCAATCTTTTATTTTTTTTAAAGATTGTGCTGAATGTTAGAGAATATTGTAGCTACTTATTTTTCAGTATGTTGAAGGAAGACATTATCTCAGTAAGCTTTATGCAAGTTTGGTCCATTAGTAATGTAGATCTAAAATTTAGTTGCTTGGTTAATTAAGTTAACAGTTACTCAAGTTAGAGGTAATATATTCTGGGTTAAGCTCTTTCTCTTGTAATTTATTACTCCATTTTTTTAATTTGTATAACAGTAAAAAACTTTTATTTGTGTGCTTTGACTAACATCACTTTTGGCTTCCAACTTTCTATGACTATAGAAACATTTTAATTTTGAAATATAAATTATATATTGTGTAAAAATAAAAGTTTCTTGATAATATTAATATAAATACTATGGAAATTCAATAGGTTTATTGCAGTATAAAATAATGTAGAAATTCAATCTGTTTATTACAGTAAAGTACTTAATATTTTGTTAACAAACATCTTAGTAAAGCTAATAGATAATGATATTTATAACAAATCAGTTTATTAATGTAATGAATGGCAGGAATAATATTTTGGCTCATTGTATGATGATTAAATTTAATATTAAACTTGCCAACTAATTACTTTCTGTGATGTAGTAGTTTTTTCTTGACATAGACAAAGAAAATGTACTATAATTCTTAGCTAAAATCCTGCAGCGGTGAACATGGAATTATCTAGTAGGTTATCTTAACCCTTTGACTGTCGCGGCCGTATATATACGTCTTACGAGGAACGGTGTTTTGACGTATATATTACTATTAAAATTCTAGCGGTTTCAAATTCTAGCGGAGAAAGCTGGTAGGCCCATGTGAGTAGAATGGGTCTGTGTGATCAGTGTGCACATATAAAAAAATCTGCGCCGCCCCGAGCATAATGAGAGAAAAAAAACTCCGACCGATTTTTTTAATTAAAATGCCGACTTTGTGGTCTATTTTCGTATAGTATTTATGATTGTATTCTCGGTTTTCTTGGTCTCATTGATAGAATGGAAAACATATTATAGAAATTTAGAGGTGATTTAGATTGATTTTACTATAAAAAAAGAACCTAGAATGGGAGCTCTAAGTAAGGGGAAATGTTTGATTTTGCCAATGTTCAAAAGTAAACAAATGATGCCATGGTCCATAAATGTCCAAATAGCCATTTTTAATATGCAGTCATGAATGGGTTGATGTTATTTATACAATTATTACAGTATTGCAGTAGTCTGATAATAGTAAGTCTTCTATTTTTTGTTATGAATAAAACAATCAAAATAGAAAGCAAGAGTAATATCAGAGGGGCCTGGGGACATGATGATGAAACAAAGAAAATGTTATTTTAGAACCAGGAATGTCTGCATGTTCATTCTGGACTTTATTTTGAAATTGTCATATTTTTTAGATTTTCGTGAAATTGGCCAAATTGCAAATTTAGATCATGTTATTGGGTATTTGAAATCGGTAAATGGTCAGTTTCTTGTTACTCACATCAATGAAAAAATGGAGTTCTAAGAAATAGCTAATGAGTTTTGGGCGACTGGAACAATGGAATTAGCCGAAAGTAGGGCTCAAAGAGGCCCCCCCCGTCAAATCGCCGTTGTAAAACAGTGCCGAGGGTCGCTAACTTCGCGCAGAGCATATTCGTCAGTTTTGATCAAATCTCGTTTTTGTGTGTCATTACAATCGGTGAAAAGATTCTCTATTACATTCTCAATAAGAACATAATTTTTTTTTTTTTTTAAATTTTGCGACCCAGGAGATACCTCAGATTGGGGTTGCGACAGTAAGGGTTTTTATTTTTTGTCAACTGAAATTAATGGTGGTTTCATTCTCCATATATTTTCACTTGCAGCAAGTACACACACCATTGTCAAGATTGAATTGGGAAAATTAATATAATTTTGTTTTATAAAATTAAGTGTTGCATCTATATATACTGCTTGGTTTTACAGATCAGATGTTTGGAAGACCCCTATTGATGCCAGAAATAACTGGTGGGGCTTTAATACATCAGTTGCTGTGTCTGGACGCATACATGATAGAACAGATGATGAGACACTTCTTCGTGTTGACTATAGGTATAAAATTATACTTGTAACTATATATGTTTATGCATTTTAGTATTCATGGGAGCATGTATGAAGGATATAGTGTGCTGCTTGCAATATATCTACTTATTACACAAAGTTTTCATGCAGTAAAACATTTTTTTTTTCTTTTTTTAAACAAGTCGGCAGTCTCCCACCGAGGCAGGGTGACCCAAAAAGAAAGAAAATCCCCAAAAAGAAAATACTTTTATCATCATTCAACACTTTCACCACACTCACACATAATCACTGTTTTTGCAGAGGTGCTCAGAACACAACAGTTTAGAAGCATATACGTATAAAGATACACAACAAATCCCTCCAAAGTGCCAATATCCCGAACCCCTCCTTTAAAGTGCAGGCATTGTACTTCCCATTTCCAGGACTCAAGTCCAGCTATATAAAAAGAACTGTTTTCCCTGAATCCCTTCATAATATTACCTGCTCACATTCCAACAAGTTGATCAGGTCCCAAATACCATTCGTTCCATTCACTCCTACGAAACACGCTCATGCACACCTGCTGGAAGTCCAGTCCCTCGCCCACAAAAACCTCCCTTACCCCTTCCAAACCTTTTTGAGGACGACCCTACCTGCCTTTCCTTCCCCTTAGATTTATATGGCTCTCCATGTCATCTACTTTGAATCCACTTCTCTTTAAATAACCACCCCCCCCCCCCCCCCCCCCCCCCCCCCCCCCCCCCCCCCCCCCCCCCCCCCCCCCCCCCCCCCCCCCCCCCCCCCCCCCCCTAATCAACCTCAACAACCCACTCTTGAGCCTCAGACTAATTACTTTTATTAACTCCACACCTTTCCTAATTTCCACACTCCAAATTTTCTGATAATATTTACACCACACAATGCCCTTAGGACAGGAATTTCCACTGCCTCTAGCCGCCTCCTCACTGCTGCATTTCACAACCTAGCTTCACAACCCGTATAAGATTGTTGGTATCCTCTGTACTTTCATACATTCCCTTCTTTGCCTCCATGGATAATTTTTTTGTTCCCCATATACCTCCAATGCACCATCCCCCTTTTTTCCTTCATCAATTCTATGATTAACCTCATCCTTCATAAATCCATCCCCCGACAGTCAATCCAAGTATCTGAAAACTTTCCTTTTTTCCAACTCCCCCTCCCCAATTTGATAAAATTTTTTTTTATTAAATCATTTGCCCCTCATCACCTTCTTTTTTCTATGTTCCTTTAAACTTTCTCCCTTTACACACACCCCCAAACTCACCCACTAAATTTTGCAATTTTTCTTTAGAATCCCCCATTAGCACAGTATCACAGCAAAAAAGAATTTTGTAAATTTCCCCATTTGATTTGTTTCCCCCAAAATTTACCCCACCCCTCTATCAAAACCCCTACTTTTTACTTCTTTTCCCCCCCATCTATAAATATATTAAACAACCATGGTGACATTACACATCCTGTCAAAGATATTTTTCCGGGAAAGTATTTCCCCCCTTTTTTTTACACCCCCAAAATAAGCCTCATCCCCTATAAAACTCTTTTTCCCATTTAGAATTCCACCTTTTCCCATATATTTGCAACATCTCCCACATTGCTCCCCTATCCCTCTATCATATCCCTTTTTCTATATCAAAATGAATAAAAACTTCCTACCTTTATCTAAATACTTTTTCACATATATGTTTTAAATGTAAACACTTGATCTAAAACCCCCTACCCACTTTAAAACCTCCTTACTCACCCCAAAACCCTACTTTCGTCTTCCCTTAATTTTTCAATTTAAACCCTACCGACTTTTTTTCCTGGCATACTCAGTAAGCTTATTCCCTAAAATTTTTACAATCTCTTTTCCCCCCCTTCCCCTTTTTATAAAGAGATATATACATGCTTCTGCCAATCCCAATTATTAAGGAATTTTTAAAGAAAATAGAAAAAATTTTTGGGGTAGTTTAAACAAATTAAGAAAGCTAGGACGAATGGATTTGTCAGTTAAAAACAGATTTGGGGGTTAGTGGGGAGATGGAGGTATTGGGTAGATGGCGGAATATTATGAGGAACTTTTAAATGTCGAGAAGAAAGGAGGCGGTAATTTCATGCATGGCCAGGGAGGTTTACCCTCTTTAAGGAGTGAAGGGGCAGGATGTGAGTGGGGAGAGGTGCTGAGGTTATGTAGAATGAAAAGGGGGTTTAAAACGCTGGAACGACGGATCTGACGAAATGTTAAAAACAGGGGGGAATGTAGTGTTGGAGTGGTTGGGATTTTTTTTTTAATAAATGTACGAAGAGGGGAAGGTACCTAGGGATTGGCGGAGAGCGGTATAGTCCCTTTTATAAGGGGAAGGGGGACAAAAAGATTGTAAAAATTTTGAGGAATTAAATTTACTAAGTATACCCGGAAAAGGTAAAAGGTAGGGTTATTATTGAAAGAATTGAGGTAAGAAGAATGTAGAATTGCAGATGAGTAAGGAGGTTTTAGAGTGGGTAGGGGGTGGTAGGCAAAATGTTTACATTAAGTATATTTTGAACAGTACTTTAGTAAAGATGGGAAGTTTTTTTTTGCATTTATGGATTTAGAGAAGGCATTGTGGGTAGGGGAGCAATGTGGCGATGTTGCTTATATGGAATAGGGGGTAAGTTACTAAATGCTGTAAAGAGTTTTTATGGGAAGTGGGGCTCAGGTTAGGGTGTGTGAAGAGAGGGAGACTACTTCCGGGGTAAAAGTAGGTCTTAGACAGGGATGTGTAATGTCCCTGGTTGTTTAATTAAAGGGACCCCCGCGTAACGTTACCTCCGAATGTGACCAATTATTAAGTTTTTTTATGTATCGTTTGTCTGTATTTTTGGGGTCTGAAATGGACTAATTATTTCCCAAAATATTTCTTATGGGAAAAAATTCGGTCGTACTGGCCCCTGAAATACTTCTAAGTAAAAAAAATATTTTAAGGGGGGGTCCACGTAATTTATTGATGGGGTTTTAAAAGAAGTAAATGTTAGGGTGTTGGGAGAGGGTGGGATTAAATTAGGAGAATAAATCAAAAATTAATTGCATTTACTTTTTGCTGATGATATGATTATGGGGAATTTTTTTTAAAAAAAAATTGCAAAGTTTAGTTTACGAGTTTGAAATGTGTGTTTTAAAGGTAGAAAGTTTAAAAATGAACATGAAAAAGTAATGATAGGGGGTGTCAATGTTTAGATAAAGAAAAATTGGATATCAAATTGGGAGGAGGAGTAGGGAAAAGTGAATGTTTAAAATATTGGGGTTGCTGTGGCGGAGGTTTTTATGAAGGATGGGGTTTAATCATAGAATTGATGAGGGAAAAAAGGGAGGGTGCTTGGGATATGTGGAGTCAAAAAACGTTATCTAGGAGGCAAAAAAGGGAATGTATAAAAGTATAGTAGAAACCAACACTTTTATATGGGTGGAATTGGGTGGTAAATGCAGTAGCGGGGAGACGGTTTTGAGGCAGGGGAGATGTCCTTTTTAAAGGGCAATGTGTGGTGTAAATTTATGCAAAAAATTTCGAGTGGGGAAAAATTAAAAAAGGTGTGGAGTTAATAAAAAGTATTAGTCGAGGGCAGAAAGGGGTTGTTGAGGTGGTTTGGTCATTTAGAGGAAGGATAAAAAGTAGAAGACAGGGAAAAAACAAAAAATTTTGGGGGAAAGGGAAGGCGGGTAGGGGTCGTACTCAAAAGGGTTGGAGAAGGGGTAAAGGGGGTTTTGGGGAAGGGGGCTTGGACTTCCGCAAGCGGCTGGGTGTTAGATAGGGGGAAGGGAGACGAATGGTACTTGGACTGACTCTTTTGGGGTGTGCGCAGGGGAAATTTAGTGAAGGGGTTCAGGGAAACCCCTTTTTTTATATTCGGGCTTGAGTCCTGGGAAAAAGGGAAGTACAATGCCTGCACTTTAAAGGAGGGGTTTGGGGTATTGGCAGTTTGGAGGGGTAGTTGTGTATCTTTATATGTGTATGCTTCTAGATTTTTTCTGAGCACCTCTGCAAAAACAGTGATAATGTGCGAGTGGGTGAAAGTGTTTAATAAAGATGAAAGTATTTTTTTTTTTGGGGATTTTCTTTCTTTTTTTGGGTTTCCCCGCCCGGGGGGAAAACGGCCCCCACTTGTTGAAAAAAAAAAAAAAAAAAAAAATTTATATTATATTAATATTATAACTGTATAGGGAGTGGTTTTAGACACAACCCCCCGGGGGTACTACCGTCCTCCCAAACGAGTGTAAAACAAACCCGTAATTGTTTTTTCATGATGTAGGATTGCTGGGGTCTTTTGTCTGTCTCAAAATATGCAAGATTACAGGACGTCTTGCCCTTTTTTTACTTACAATTTGGTCCACTACACATCATTACACGTTTATTTACCCCTCATTTTGATTTTTTTTTGATTTTATCTTAATAGTTCTTGGGCTTATTACTTTTCCTTTTTACCAGGGGAAGTGGAATAAGAATCTTTCCTCCCAAGCCAGCTGTTGTAAAATAACTAAAATGCCGGGAACAAGGGCAGTAACCCCTTTTCCGTAAAGATTACAAAAAAGAATAAGAAGAAGAAAATTGTCAAATGGGAAGTCTGAATGTGCGTGGTGTTGTGCAAATGATAAGAAAGAGAGATTGGGATGTTATAATGAGAAGAAACTGGATGTCCGGCTTTAAGTAAAACAAGCTGAAGGGGGTGGGGATTTTCAATGGAGAGGAATAAAGGGATTGGTCAGGGGTTTCAAAGAGTTAGAGCTAAAGAAGGGGTAGCAATAATGTTGAAGGATAAGCTTGGCAGGAAAAAAGGGGCTACAAATGAAAAAATTCAAGGATTATGTGGATAAAATAAAGATTGGATGGGGGAAAAATGGGGTTTGTAACGGAAGCACCGGAGAAGAGAGAAGGGAGAGGAGAGGAGAGAGATTTGGGAAAAAGTTGAGTAATGCGTGGGGAGTTTTTAATCAAATTGAGGTAATGGTGGTTGGGGGTTTCAATGCTAAAGTGGGTAAAAAGTTATGGAGGGAGTGTAGGGAAAATTTTTTGGGGGCCCGGGGTAAATGTAAAGGGGGCCTTTTAATTGAGCTATGTGTAGAAAGAAATTTGGAAAAAAAATAATACAATTTTATGAAAAAGAGGATAAATAAATTACAAGGTATATGTAGCCGTAATGAAATAGTTTGTTAATTATGTATTGGTGGATAAAAGGTTGATGGGTAGGGGCCCCGGTTTTACATGTTTATAGAGGGGAATGATATATCGGATCATTATTTAGTTGGAAATTCGTTGGGGTAAGGTTGATGGGAAAAAGGGAAAGGGGGAACAAAAAGTAAGGGGAGGTGGGAAAATGGAAAAAAACTAAAGGAGGAAAAAAAATTGGGGCGGGTAAAAAGGACTATTGGGCCCGAAAGGTTTGGGGTAGTGGGAAAGATGAGGGGGGGGGGTGGGTTTTAAGAGGGGGTTTGGAAAAAAATTTTCAAAAAGAGTTTTTAGAATGTGGGGAGAAGTTTGTGGTTTTTAGGAGGGTGGGGGCCAGGGGGAAAGAGGAGTGATTTGGGGGAAAGATGGGAAATTAAGGGTGTGTTTAAAAAAGAAAAAGGTTGTTATGAGGGGTTTTTTTCAAAGGGGAAGTGTTATAAGAAAGGGGCCCCCGAGATATGGAGAGTAAAAAGAAAGGTAAAGAGGGGGGGTGGAAAAATAAAGCAAAAGGAGAGCATGATTTGAGTGGGGGAGGCACCTTGTCAAAAAATTTTAATGAAAATAAAAAAAAATTTTGGAGTGAGTTAAACAATTTAAAAAAAGCCTAGGGAAAGTAGGATTTGTCAGTTAAAAACAGATGGGGAGTTATAGAGGGGGAAAAAGGGGGAGGTTTGGGTAGAGGGCGAGAATTTTTTTGAGGAACTTTTAAATTTTAAAAGGAAAAGGGAGGCGGAAATTTCGTGCCTGGCCGGGAGGTATCCCTCTTTTAGGAGTGAAAAAAGGCAGACTGTAAGTGTGGTGGGGTTTTAAGTGAGGCTTTAGTAGAATAAAGGGGGTAAAGAGCGGATGATGGGATATGACAGAAATGTTAAAAGCAGGGGGGGATTGGGTTTTGGAGGGGTTTTGGTATTTTGTTTAATAAATTTTTGAAAGGGGGGAAAGACCTAGGGATTGGCGGGAGATGTATAGTCCTTTATATAAAGGGAAAAGGGGGAAAAAAAGATTGTAAAAATTTAGGGGAATAAGTTTACTGAGATCCAGGAAAAGTATACGGAGGGTTAAATTTAAAGAATTAGAAGTAAGACAGAATTAAATTTCGGCGAACAAGGAGGTTTTGAGTGGGTTTGGGGGGTGTGAATCAAGTGTTTAATTGAAAATATATGTGAACGTATTTAGTAAAAGGGAGGGAATTTTTATTGCATTTATGGATTTAGAAAAGGGGATATGATGAGTGGTAGAGGGGCAATGTGGCAGATGTTGCAAGTTTTTGGTTGGTGGAAGTCTAAATGCTGTAAAGAAACTTTTATGAGGGGAAATGAGGGTCGGTTAGGGGTGTAGAAAAAGAGGGAGAAAACTTCCCCCGGTTTTTAAAAATAGGTCTTTGACAGGGATTTTAATGTCACCCTGGTTGTTTATATATTTAAATGGGGGTTTTAAAAAAGTAAAAGCTAGGGGGTTCGGGAGAGGGGGGGGGATTAAATTATGGGGAATCAAATTTAAAATGGGAAAGACACAGTTACTTTTTGCGTGATACGTGCTTATGGGGGATTCTAAGAAAAATTGCAAAGGGTTTGTGGGTAGTTTGGGAATGTGTGTAAAGGTAAAAGTTGAAAGTGAACATAGAAAAGAGTAAGGTGATGAGGTGGTCAAATTGGATATTAGATAAAGAAAAATTGGATTCAAATTGGGGAGGAGGAGTAATGAAGAAGTGGAATGTTTTCAGATACTTGGAGTTGCCGTGTCGGCGGATGGATTTATGAGGATAGTTAATCATAGAATTGATGAGGGAAAAAAGTGAGTGGTGCGTTTGAGGTAATAATGTGGAGTCAAAAAACGTTATCTATGGAGGCAAAGAAGGGAATGTTATGAAAGTATAGTAGTACCAACACTCTTATATGGGTGTGAAAGCTTGGGTGGTAAAATGCCTGCAGCTAGAGACGGTGGAGGCAGCGGAGATGTCCTGATTATATGGGCAAAGTGTGGTGTAAATATTATGCAGAAAATTCGGAGTGTGAAATTTAGAGAAGGTGAGGAGTTTAATAAAATTATTCAGTCAAGGGCAGAAGAGGGGTTAAGTTGAGGTGGTTTGGTCATTTAGAGAGAAGGATCACAGTAGAAAGACATGGGAAAGCATATAAAGCTATAGGGGAAGGAAGCGGGGTAGGGGTCGACCTCGAAAGGGATTGGAAAGAGGTGGTAAAGGAGGTTATTGTGTGTAAGGGGTTGGACTTCCAGCAAGCGTGCGTGAGCGTGTTAGATAGGAGTGAATGGAGACGAATGTACTTGGACCATGACGATCTTTTGAGTGTGAGCAGGGTAATATTTAGTGAAGGGATTCAGGAAACCGTTATTTTTCATATATTCGGACTTGATTCCTGGAAATGGGAAGTACAATGCCTGCACTTTAAAGGAGGGGTTTTGGGGATATTGGCATTTTTGGAGGATATGTTGTGTATCCATTATATGTTTAGCTCTAAGACTGTTGTATTCTGAGCACCTCTGCAAAAAACAGTGATAATGAGCGAGTGGGTGAAAGTGTTGACTGATGATGGAAAGTATTTTCTTTTTGGGGATTTTTCTTTCTTTAATGGGTCCCCCTGCCTCGGTGGAGACGGCCGACCTTGTTGAAAAAAAAAAAACAAAAAAAAAAAAAATCAATGTATATCGTTGCTAACGTTATACTTTTCATAAAACTTGAAATTTGTCTTACTATCTGTAAATTAGAGCTGAAAAGATACTAAATTTTTTAATAAATATTTTTTTCAACATCAGTGGAAGCTAAACTACTACTCGCTACTCCATGGTGTGAACCAGCTACACAACGAGTTGGTGATGCTTGTATCTTTATGTAGGTGCACCTCCACACACGAAGAAGCTAAAGCATTCTGCAAGAAGGACAATGCCTCCTTGCCGTTCCTACAGAAGTGGTACTGGGACGTCCAGGTACTGTAACTTTCTAACTCGTTTTTTATATTTGAAAGAATAGCAGATAATAACATAATATTTAAAATGGAAATGAGTTTACAGATACATTAAAAAAATAATATTTCTGTACCTCCATAGTATTGTAAACACAATAAAGTAGTCATTTCATTAAGTAGCTTGAAGATCATTGTATAGGTTCATGGTATTTGACTCCAACATTTGGGTTAGCACCCTTTCATAATGCAGTAACCGTTTTACGACATGTGTATGGAGCACCAGTATGGAGCCTGTACTTCAAAGAGCATGTTAAGAAACTGGAGAAAGTGCAGAGGTATGCAACAAGGCTGTCCTGAACAAAGTCACAAACTACAAGAAGAAGCTGATGGAATTGCACCTAGCAGAACTGGAAGATAAAAGAACCAGGGGGACATGATAACAGCATACAAAATACTTAGAGGATTTGATAAGATAGACAGGGACAGGTTGTTTGAAAGGCAAGAAACAGGAACTTGGAGGCACCTCTAGAAGTTATTCACAGATGAGCCATGGAGATATTAGGAAGTATTTTTTTTAGTTTCAGAGTGGTTGGGAAGTGGAATGATCTTGGTGAGGAAGTGCTGGTGGCAGGCTCCATACATAGATTTAAGAGCAGGTATGATAGGGCCCACAAGGCTAAGAGGGAATGAATCTGAAGACTGGCAAGTTAAGTGGAAAGGCCAGGATCTGAGAATTGACTCCTGGAACCACAGATAGGTGAGTATAGCTAGTGAATGTGTTTCCATCCTTTGGATCACCCTACCCTGGTGGGCAATGACCAGTGTGTAAAAAACCACAGAAATAAATCTGTTGTATTATACAGTGGACCCCCGCATAACGATGGCATCACATAGCGATTTTTCCGCAAAATTTTTGCCGCGCATACCGATTAAAAACCCGCTTACCGATTTTCGTCTGAGACGCGTCCAATGTGCCCTCAGCCAGCCTCACATGTGCCGCCCCGTCCCATTGTTTACCAGCCAGCCTCCGCGGTAACATCCAAGCATACACTCGGAATATTTCGTATTATTACAGTATTTTCGGTGCTGTTTCTGGAAAATAAGTGACCATGGGCCCCAAGAAAGCTTCTAGTGCCAACCCTACACCTCAAAGGGTAAGAATTACTATAGAGATGAAGAAAGAGATAATTGATAAGTATGAAAGTGGAGTGCGTATAGCCGACCTAGTCAACTGTACAAGAAACCCCAATCAACCATCGCTACTATTGTGGGCACCAGAAAGACAATCAAGGAAGCTTTTTCTTGCCAAAGGTTCAACTGTGTTTCGAAACAAAGATCGCAAGTGATGGAAGAATGTTGAGAGACTCCTTTTTGGGTTGGGGAAATAAATGAAAAACAGATAGCAGGAGATAGCGCCCTCTCAAGCGATCATATGTGAAAAGGCTAGGAAGTTGCATGAGGATTTAATTTAAAAAAAAATGCTGCAACTAGTGATATGTGAGTGAATTTAAAGGGCCCAGCAAAGGTTGGTTTGGAGTTTTTAAGAAGCGTAGTGGCATCCATGTGTGATAAGGCATGGTGAGGCTGCCAGTTCGGACCAAAAAAGCGGCTGAAAAAATTTTGTGCAGGAATTCAAGGAGTACATAGAAACTGAAGGACTGAAACCTGAACAAGTGTTTAATTGTGATGAAACAGGCCTGTTCTGGAAGAAAATGCCAAGCAGGACCTACATTACTCAGGAGGAAAAGGCACTCCCGGGACATAAGCCTATGAAAGACGGGCCCTTACTTTGTTGATGTTGCCAATGCTACTGGTGATTGCAAAGTGAAGCCTTTATTAGTTTTATCACTCTGAAACTCCCAGAGCGTTCAGGCAAAAGAATGTCCTCAAGGATAATTTGGTGTGTGTTTGTGGAGGGCAAACAGTAAGCATGGGTCACTAGGGAATTTTTCTATAACTGGTTACACCAGGGCATTTGCCCCCAATGTGAAAAATTACCTAACTGAAAAAAAATTTTGAACTTAAGTGCCTCCTGGTGTTAGACAATGCCCCTGGTCATCCTACAGCGTGGCAGAGCGACTTTATGGACATGAGTTTCTTAAGGTGAAGTTTTTGCCTCCTAATACACTCCTCTCCTGCAGCCCATGGACCAGCAGGTTATTTCCAACTTCAAGAAACTGTACACAAAAGCTCTGTTTTAAAGGTGCTTTGTAATGACCTCAGAAACTCAACTGAAATCTAAGAGAGTTTTGGAGAGATCACTTTAATATCCTCAATTGTGTAAACCCTTTTAGGTAAGGCTTGGGAGGAAGGACAAAGAGGACCTTGAACTCTGCTTGGAAGAAACTGTGGCCAGAATGTGTAGACCCAAAAAGGGATTTGAAGGGTTTGAGGCTAACCCTGAGAACCTGTGCCAGTTGAGGAATCCATTGTGGCATTGGGAAAGTCCTTGGGTTGGAGGTTAGTGGGGAGGATGTGGAAGAGTTGGTGGAGGAGGACAATGAAGAACTAACCACTGATGACTGATAGATCAACTTCAAGAGCAAGAGGCCAGACCTGAGGAAACTGGTTCAGAGGAGGGGGAAAAGAAATTGAAGAAGTTGCCTACTACAAAGATAAAGGAAATCTGTGCTAAGTGGCTTGAAGTGCAAACCTTCATGGATGAAAAAACACCCTCACACAGCTATTGCAAGCCGTGCTGGTGATTATTACACTGACAATGTTGTGAAACACTTTAGGCAAGTCATAAAGGAACGAGAGGTACAGGCCACTATGGACAGATATCTTGTGCGAAAGAAGTCCAGTGACTCTGAGCTGGCCCTAGTGGCATTAAAAGAAAAAGGGAAGTAACCCCAGAAAAGGACTTACTACCTCAAGTCCTAATGGAAGGGGATTCCCCTTCTAAACATAACACACGTCTCTCCCCTCCTCCCATCCCATCAATCATCACCAGATCTTCAATAAAAGTAAGTGTCATTTATTGTGCATGCCTTTTTCAGTTTGTGTGTATTAAAATTAACATTTCATGTGGTAAAAAAAAATTTTTTTCATACTTTTTGGGGGTCTTGCACCGGATTAATTTTATTTCCATTATTTCTTATGGGGAAAATTCATTCGCATAACGATTATTTCGCATAACGATGAGCCCTCTTGCAAAGGATTAAAATCGTTAACCGGGGTCCACTGTATTTAAAAATTGGTACAGTAAAATATTTGGGAGTTTGGAGGGATTTTGTTGTGTATCTTTATACGTATATGTTTCTAAGCTTTGTATTCTGGGCACCTCTGCAAAAACAGTGATTATATGTGAGTGAGGTGAAAATGTTGAATAATGATGAAAGTATTTTCTTTTTGGGTCACCCTGCCTCAGTGGAGATGGCCAACTTGTTGAAAAAAACAAAAAAAAAAAAACAGAAAATTCTTTGTTTTGTTTTTCTTTTAAAAAATTTTTAAAAATATATTATTTTAAAATTGAGTCCTAAGGGGGGAAAAGAACAATCCTGCACTTAAAGGAGGGGTTTGGGGGATATTGGCTTTTTTGGAGTGCCCACCCTTGAACTGAAATTTTAATTCCTGTGAAAAAGACAGTGATTTTTCCGTGAATGATGGTGAAATGTTTTGTTTTTTTTTTGGGTCCCCCTTTGGGCCTTGGGGGGCGATGGTCAACGTGTTAAAAAAAAAAAAAAAATTTTGAAAAGTGAATGGAAAAAATACTTTTTAATAGATGTGAGGAGTGTGAGCACAGTAACTTTTAAATGAAATATTCGGGGAAAACCTTTAAACCCCCATGGAAAATGAAATTTATGGAGTTAAAAAATGACACAAACCCATCTGGTACTACATTTTAGTTTAAAAAAATTTTTATTAAAAAAAGAAAGAGGGCCTACACATTGCCTGACAACAGTTATTTTTAATATTTTTGAAATACCATATTTTTAAAATTAAGCTTTTTTTTTTTAATTACACACTGGCCGATTCCCACCAAGGCGGGGTGGCCCAAAAAAAAAAAACTTCACCATAATTACTCCCAATCACTGTTTTTGCCAGAAGGGGTGTTTTAAAACACTACATTTTTTTAAAAACCCCTCCCAACATTAACACCCCCCCTTCAGAGGGGCGGGCACTGTACTTTCCCTCCCGGGACTCAAGCCCGGCCTCCCGGGGGTTTTTCCCTGAACCCCTTCATAAATGTTACTTTGTTTCACACCCCAAACCAGCACGTAAAGGGTATTAAAAACCTTTTTGTCTCCATTCCCCTCCTATCAAACACGCTCACACCATCCTGCGGGAAGTCCAAGCCCCTCGCACACAAAACCTCCTTTATTTCCTCCCCCCAAACCCCCTTTCCTGGGGCCGACCCCTACCCCCCCTTTCCTTTCCACTACAGACGATACACTCTTAATTTATTCTGTTTCGCTCCATTCTCCCCCCAACAGGGTCTGAACCACCTTAACAACCCTTCCTCAGCCCTCTGGACAACAGTTTTGGTAATCCCCACCTCCTTTCCCAACTTCCCCAAAATACAAATTCCTCCTTATATTCACCCACACATTGCTCTCAGACATGACAAACTCCATGCCTCCAGCCTTCTCCCCTGCAACATTCATCCCCCATCTTCACACCCATATAGAGCGTTGGGAAAACTATACTCTCATACATTCCCCTCTTTGGCCCCCAAGGGCAAAATTCTTTGTCCCCACAGGGCCCCCTAAGGGGGCACCACTCACCCCTTTCCCCCATCAATTCTTAAAGAATTTACCTCATCTTTTTTATAGACCATCCGCTGACACGTCCACATTTCCCCAATATCTGAATTTCATTCACCTCCTCCCTACCTCTTTCCCTCCATCTGATATCCAATCTTTCCCCTCACCTAATCTTTTTTTTTATCCCATAACCTTTTCCCCTTTCCTGTATTCACTTTCAATTTTTTTTCCTTTTTTCACACCCTACCAAATTCCCTCCACCAACTCGCAAAATTCTTTTTCAAAAATTTTCCCAAGAACCCCAGTTCACAGCAAAGAGGCAACTGTGACAACTCCCACTTATGTGTGGGTTCTTTATCTTTTAAAATCCACGCCTCTTGCCAAAAACCCTCGCATTATAAATAAAATTAAAAAAAAAATATATAAATATTTTATATTTTTCTCTTGGTATTTTATGTTAAAACATTTAAAACTGTTCTTTGTTTTTACTGCAGTATTGGATATTTGATCAGCAACCCGAGTACTTATGGGAATATGATATGGTGTGGGTTCAACACTTAGATGTCATTAGTGGATGTGCTGCCTTTGTATATAGACAAGTCCGTTCTGTTGACTGCAATCTGAATCTCCCCTTTATTTGTGAATCTGGTAAGATGAATTATAATACTTCAGCATTGTTCAGTGCATATGTTTTTTAATATACATACTTATATTTGTACGTGTGTAATGCATGTATATCACGTTCTCATATATTTAGACAGTGATGTCATACATATAATATATATAAGTGTATAGTATACTGACTTTTTTATAAAAGTAGACAAAATGAAATACTATACAAACTTTATGCATATTATAATATAATTTACACTACTACTTTTTTATTTTTTTTACCCACAGACCCAGATAAAACAATTGATAAATTTGCTTGGACTTCTGACCCATTGGCTGTAGCAGCCATAACTGTGACTTTCGGTTGCTTGATTCTTGTAGCTGCATGCGTTTCATGTTGGGTATGTAAATCGCGGGAACGACGCAAGGAGCGCATAATGCGAAGGAATTCCATTCGTGCATCCATCCGTTCTAATAGATCTGCCATATCAACTACCAGTGGTGGCTTCAGTGATATGGGGCACACAAGGATCATTGAGGTTGGTTTATTTTTGTTGTTGCACTGATCTACAGTAAAATAATAATAATTGGGCTATCATTTCATAATTTGTTTTGAAGGTAGTAAGTTATGTTGAAAAATAATAATTTGGATAAGGGCTTTTAAACAGCAAAGATTATTTGATCCTTTCCCAGAAATGAACACAATACCATTTTAACTCATACGTAACTGAAGAACTAAAATGTAGTCTCAAATAAACACAACAAACTTTATTTCTATAAAGTGGTGTGCTTGTACTGTATACAATTATGGTAATTGACGTGTATAAACTACTATTAGTTTATTAGTTTACTATTAGATTATGTATTGGTGGATAAAAGGTTGATGGGTAGGCTCCAGGATGTACATGTTCATAGAGGGGCAACTGATATATCGGATCATTATTTAGTTGTAGCTACAGTTAGAGTAAGAGGTAGATGGGAAAAGAGGAAGGTGGCAACAACAAGTAAGAGGGAGGTGAAAGTGTATAAACTAAGGGAGGAGGAAGTTCGGGTGAGATATTAGCGACTATTGGCAGAAAGGTGGGCTAGTGCAAAGATGAGTAGTGGGGGGGTTGAAGAGGGTTGGAATAGTTTTAAAAATGCAGTATTAGAATGTGGGGCAGAAGTTTGTGGTTATAGGAGGGTGGGGGCAGGAGGAAAGAGGAGTGATTGGTGGAATGATGAAGTTAAGGGTGTGATAAAAGAGAAAAAGGTAGCTTATGAGAGGTTTTTACAAAGCAGAAGTGTTATAAGAAGAGCAGAGTATATGGAGAGTAAAAGAAAGGTAAAGAGAGAGGTGAGAGAATGCAAAAGGAGAGCAGATGATAGAGTGGGAGAGGCACTGTCAAGAAATTTTAATGAAAATAAGAAAAAATTTTGGAGCGAGTTAAACAAGTTAAGAAAGCCTAGGGAAAGTATGGATTTGTCAGTTAAAAACAGAGTAGGGGAGTTAGTAGATGGGGAGATGGAGGTATTAGGTAGATGGCGAGAATATTTTGAGGAACTTTTAAATGTTAAGGAAGAAAGAGAGGCGGTAATTTCATGCACTGGTCAGGAAGGTATACCATCTTTTAGGAGTGAAGAAGAGCAGAATGTAAGTGTGGGGGAGGTATGTAAGGCATTACATAGAATGAAAGGGGGTAAAGCAGCTGGAACTGATGGGATCATGACAGAAATGTTAAAAGCAGGGGGATATATAGTGTTGGAGTGGTTGGTACTTTTGTTTAATAAATGTATGAAAGAGGGGAAGGTACCTAGGGATTGGCGGAGAGCATGTATAGTCCCTTTATATAAAGGGAAAGGGGACAAAAGAGATTGTAAAAATTATAGAGGAATAAGTTTACTGAGTATACCAGGAAAAGTATACGGTAGGGTTATAATTGAAAGAATTAGAAGTAAGACAGAATGTAGAATTGCGGACGAACAAGGAGGTTTCAGAGTGGGTAGGGATGTGTAGATCAAGTGTTTACATTGAAACATATATGTGAACAGTATTTAGATAAAGGTAGGGAAGTTTTTATTGCATTTATGGATTTAGAAAAGGCATATGATAGAGTGGATAGAGGAGCAATGTGGCAGATGTTGCAAGTATATGGAATAGGTGGTAAGTTATTAAATGCTGTAAAGAGTTTTTTATGAGGATAGTGAGGCTCAGGTTAGGGTGTGTAGAAGAGAGGGAGACTACTTCCTGGTAAAAGTAGGTCTTAGACAGGATGTGTAATGTCACCATGGTTGTTTAATATATTATAGATGGAGTTGTAAAGGAAGTAAATGCTAGGGTGTTCGGAGAGGGTGAGATTAATATTTTGGGGAATCAAATTCAAAATGGGAATTGACACAGTTACTTTTTGCTGATGATACTGTGCTTATGGGAGATTCTAAAGAAAAATTGCAAAGGTTAGTGGATGAGTTTGGGAATGTGTGTAAAGGTAGAAAGTTGAAAGTGAACATAGAAAAGAGTAAGGTAATGAGGGTATCAAATGATTTAGATAAAGAAAAATTGGATATCAAATTGGGGAGGAGGAGTATGGAAGAAGTGAATGTTTTCAGATACTTGGGAGTTGACGTGTCGGCGGATGGATTTATGAAGGATGAGGTTAATCATAGAATTGATGAGGGAAAAAAGGTGAGTGGTGTGTTGAGGTATATGTGGAGTCAAAAAACGTTATCTATGGAGGCAAAGAAGGGAATGTATGAAAGTATAGTAGTACCAACACTCTTATATGGATGTGAAGCTTGGGTGGTAAATGCAGCAGCGAGGAGACGGTTGGAGGCAGTGGAGATGTCCTGTTTAAGGGCAATGTGTGGTGTAAATATTATGCAGAAAATTCGGAGTGTGGAAATTAGGAAAAGGTGTGGAGTTAATAAAAGTATTAGTCAGAGGGCAGAAGAGGGGTTGTTGAGGTGGTTTGGTCATTTAGAGAGAATGGATCAAAGTAGAATGACATGGAAAGCATATAAATCTATAGGGGAAGGAAGGAGGGGTAGGGGTCGTCCTCGAAAGGGTTGGAGAGAGGGGGTAAAGGAAGTTTTGTGGGCAAGGAGCTTGGACTTCCAGCAAGCGTGCGTGAGCGTGTTAGATAGGAGTGAATGGAGACGAATGGTACTTGGGACCTGACGATCTGTTGGAGTGTGAGCAGGATAATATTTAGTGAAGGGATTCAGGGAAACCGGTTATTTTCATATAGTCGGACTTGAGTCCTGGAAATGGGAAGTACAATGCCTGCACTTTAAAGGAGGGGTTTGGGATATTGGCAGTTTGGAGGGATATGTTGTGTATCTTTATATGTGTATGCTTCTAAACTGTTGTATTATGAGCACCTCTGCAAAAACAGTGATAATGTGTGAGTGTGGTGAAAGTGTTGAATGATAATGAAAGTATTTTTCTTTTTGGGGATTTTCTTTCTTTTTTGGGTCACCCTGCCTCGGTGGGAGACGGCCGACTTGTTGAAAAAAAAAAAAAATCTACTTTCTAGAAACCCACTTGTTATGCAAGGCATTTCAGGCAGCCTTGAAACTAACTTTTAATTACTACACGGTGAGATATGTATGGTACATGAAAATAAGAAATTTGGTTTGAAACATTGAGGATATATTAATAATGTAATAAATTATAATTGCTTTTCAGATTAAATTATGCTTTATATTTTATCATTTACATAGTGATGAAGAGGTTATGCTGTACATCACCATATACAATTTTAAAAAATCTATTTAATTTACATATAATACCTGGATAAAACCAGGTTTTTATATATATGATTAATACTTTTCACAATTATCTCAATACTTTATAAGTTTAATAAATATATTTTTGCTTTTCAAACTCCACAGGATCCACAGAGAGCAATACCCATGAAGGGTGGAGGTTCTCTTGGAGGAGCAGCACGGATGAATGGTCTTCATGGATCTTTTGATTCCATCTCCAAATCTAACTTTAATTCCTCAATGGAGGAGGACCCAAGCTTTGTTGTTTATGAGGAAACACCTCAGTCACCCCCAGGTTACACATCAGAACTTGATAATAGGTAAGTGGTGCATTGATATTACATTTGTAGAGAAACACTGAATTTGTAAGGATTGTATAGTGCCTGGAAAATGGGAGTAATAAAGGTTGATTTAATAAAGGGTATGGTAGCTCCAATTCCTTGTATCAAGAACTTTCCACCAGCATCAAGGACTCTTCGACATCAGGGCACTTCGTGTGTACATTTATCATCTTTAGTAGAAAATTTAATAATGATGAACAACACACATGTGCAGCACCTGGATATCTTTAATTGAGTGAGGTAGAAGTAGTAAATTAGTTAAGTAGTACTAGTGGTCACATCATCATCAGTTTGGGTTTGCTAGTGAAGATGTAATTAGAAAACTTTCTGTCCCTTCCATCCCCACTAGCAAGACACACTGATGAGACTACTACTGCTTGATTGCTCTGCCACTTCCACATCACTGGATTTGGAATTGTTTTCAAGCCAGGCCTGTGATCTCAAATATTACCCTGTTCACACTCCAACAGCTCATTGGGTCCCAAAAACCATTCATCTCTACTCACTCTTAACACGCTTGCACATGCCTGCTGCATGTCCAAGCCCCTAGCACACAAAACTTCTTTTACCCCCTCCCTCCATCCTTTTCTAGGACGACCCCTACCCCTCCTCTGCATATTTATGCATGTGAAACAAGAGATACTTTAGAAAGTTTAGATAAATGAATTATTAGGGGAAAATGTAAAGGTGGGAAATATTAAATGTTAGAAGCATCATTACAATGTTTGAAAGTTAAAAATGGGTTACAGCATGTTCAGTAAATCACCAAGCAGTGCTGTAGTGTAAATGACCCGAGAGCAGAAGTATGTGAATAATCTCTACTGTACACTCAGCAACTGTCTTGATGCAGTTATTATATAGAATAAAGTAGCAGCACACTGCTGATGTTAAATAGAAAAAAAGATGTCTTTATGCAAGTCAGTATTCTGGCCAAATGTGGCACACACTGTCAATCCTACATGCTGAAAAACCACAGCAACTTTGCAGTGATACATTTTGTTTTTTCCTGTCATGTTAGGAACCATAGTTATCCCATAAACTGGCCCTCTTCCAAAATTATCCTTCTTTGAGTCTTCACAGGACACTATCGTGTTAGGTGTTACATAACATCCTTAATATGACTGTATATGTTTTCCTTTTGTAGTAAGGTCATCTCTACACATTTGCAGGGGTATGGTTACATTCCAAGTTTCGTCAGAACTAAAAATTGTGAATAAATGCACAATTATATTTGCACTGGGGTGTGCCAAAGTATGGATATTGGCCAATTTTGCTAGTATTGGTACTCGCACCAGTATCAGAAGTTGAAAATGTAAGAAGTTGAAAATGAACATAGATGGTAAGGTGATGAAGGTATCAAATGATTTAGATAAAGAAAAATTGGATATCACATTGGAGGGAGGAAGTATAGAAGAAGTGAATGTTTTTAGATAGTGGTACCCCGGGTTTTGAACTGCTCCTAACTGGACCAATTATGTAAGTGTATTATTGTAAGTGCTTTTGTAAGTGTATTTTTGAGGGTCTGAAATGGACTAATCTAATTTGCATTATTCCTTATGGGAACAAATTCATTCGGTAACGGCACTTTAACAGCCTTCTGGAACGAAGGTTAACCATACAATTGATGAAGGAAAAACGGCAAATAGTGCGTTGAGGTATCTGGAGACAAAAATCATTATCCATGGAGGTAAAGAAGGGAATATATAAGAGTATAGTGGTACCAACACTCTTATATGGGTGTGAAGCTTGGGTTGTAAATGCCGCAGCGAGGAGGTGGCTGGAGTCTGTGGAGATGTCGTGTCAAAGGGCAATGCGTGGTGTAAATATTATGCAGAGAATTCGTAGTGTGGAAGTTAGGAGGTGTGGAGTTACTAAAAGTATTAGTCAGAGGGCTGAAGAGGGGCTGTTGAGATGGTATGGTCATTTAGAGAGAATGGAACAAAGTAGAATGACTTGGAGAGCATATAAATCTGTAGGGGAAGGAAGGTGGGGTAGGGGTCGTCCCCGAAAATATTGGAGGGAGGGGGTAAAGGAGGTTTTGTGGGTGAGGGGCTTGGACTTCCAACAAGCGTGCGTGAGCATGTTAGATAGGAGTGAATGGAGACAAATGTTTTTTGGGACCTGACGAGCTGTTGGAGTGTGAGCAGCGTAATATTTTGTGAGGGGATTCAGGAAAACTGGTTTGCCGGACTTGAGTCTTGGAAATGGGAAGTACAATGTCTGCACTTTAAAGGAGGGGTTTGGGAAATTGGCAGTTTAGAGGGACGTCTAAGCTGTCGTATCTGAGCGCCTTTGCAAAGACAGTGATTATGTATGAGTGATGGTGAAAGTGTTGAGTGATGAAAGTTTTTTCTTTCTTTTTGGGTTTTTCTTTCTTTATTGGATCACCCTGCCTTGGTGGGAAACAGCCAACCTGTTAAAAAAAAAAATCTGCAAAAAATTTGGTATCATCCCATTCCTAGTTTGCATGTTAAATTTTTTTTTTTTCAAATTTGGATTTGTTTCAGAGAGCATATATTATAAATTACTAATTTAGTTAATACTGACAATCATAAAAAAGAATGTCTAAAATAAAAGGAGATTTGCACATGGGAAATCCATTGAGCACAATTTGAACGAAACCTTATGATTATCTTTAAATTTTGGGGCCATGCAATAAGCCTGAAAAACTCAAATAGTGCCAGAAAACCTGTAGGTAGATGAATCTATTACAGTAATGGGTTGTTTATCAGTAAAAGTGTTGGATAATTGAAACCCACAAAAAAGAAAACCCAGAGGTTTGTAGGAATAAAATACAATACAGTTATTATATCTCAATAAAGTACAAGTACTGTAGTTTTATGTGTATTAAAACATTAGTAGACACAAAAGAAAGCCACTAATTATAATGCAATGCATTTCAGGCAAACTAATCATAGGGATTAAATGCTACTTAAGAACTAGACATAGACCATTAAGTAGGACTTGTTATGCAGGTAACTACAATCATAAATACAATAAGAAAGGAAGCTAATGACAAATGGTCAAATACAAAAGAATTACACATTTCAAACTGACTTGGTGATCTTCAGTTTTGTGGAGTGATTGAATAGAGATGGTGAAGGTACAGCAAGTTACTTAGTTAAAACAGAAATACAAATGCTTTAATCCTCAAAAAACATGACTCAACCTGAACTTGGCCATCTTGTCACCCTCCTGTTATGCTTTGACCTGACTTTCGACTTCCTCTCCTTGTCTTTTTCACTCATGATTTAATGGTGGTTGAGGATGTAGCAACATATCATCTAGTTTTCATTTCTTATCTGTGGTTTAGTTGTAAATTGTTCCAGCCATGATATTGTATCATGTAGTATTTTATTATACACAGCTTTATTCTCAGAAATTAGAAAATGGAATTAAAACACTTTTACATATTAGGTGTCACTTTAAGAATTTATTAGATTGCAATAAATTTTGGTCAAAGACTGCTGACATGATAATGGTTTCAGTACATTTGCTGTCATTCAAGATAATATATTACTTTACTCTCCCAACAAGCCTTCCTATGCATCTCTAATGACCACTGTTGTTTATAGAATTAAGGGTTTTCCATTAATTTAATAATTGTATACCTGGAGAGTGTTTTGGGGGTCAATGCCCCCATGGCCCAGTCCATGACCAGACCTATGATATCAGCCAGAGAATACAATTTTATTAGCTCAGTTTCATAAGAAAATGAGCCAATTTCTTCTCATCTAATAAACTGCTTGATTTTTTTGGGATGTAATGCATGCATACTGCTCTAAGGTTTCAACATTAACAGACTAATGTCAGTATTTTGCTTCTTTACTCCTTACCGTACGTTGAAAATTATCATTAAAATGACTTAATGTTGTGAAGGATCAGAGTCTAAAATTTGATTATTTTAAGTTATCCAAAAATTTTATTTCAGATTCTCTGCTGACCCTAATCTGGAAAATGCAAATGTGAATGAACTAGTGCACCCTAGCTTTAATATGACTTTTCAAAATCATGGATATAGGGACAACTCCACCTTTACCTCCCGAGAAAACAGTACCTTCATTGCTGAAGCACCCTCACAACAGTGGAATGGTTCAAACAATAACATTCCGCCCTCCAGGTACGATAACTACTGTGGTAAGAAGTCTAATGTGGGAGTATAGCTTATCTATATAAAAATAGTGTAGGTTAGGGGGGACTTGTTACAACACATATCAATAAAATACCTTCCTTCGAGGAAGGTGACTATATACTGATGGACACCTGATCTTAAGAATTGGAGCTACTTTCACCTTCAAATCAACTCTGATTACTACCTCCTATACCCCCAGTGCTGTATGAATATTATAATAATAGAGATTTTCCAGAAGGCCTGGTAAAGTGGCACTGTGATGAATGATTGGTAATGAGTAGTGATAGTCTAAATGATGAGCACCATAAATAAATACAAGGAATACTGCAGTGTATGGTGGTAGAGTGACTGAAAGAGTATAAAAAATTAAACTAACTGGAAGATAGTGTTAAAATTTAATATGAACTCAGGGTCCATTCAAGTCTGACACAACATTACTCTTTTGTGTGTGGTGTAAGCCTGAGAGGAAGATTTGAAGATTTTTTTTAACCCATCGACCGTTTCCCACTGAAGCAAAGCGACGCAAAAAGAAAGAAAAACCCAGTAAGACAGAAAAAGCTTTTATCACCGTTCAACACATTCACCATCATTCATACATAATCTCTATCTTTGCAGAGGCACTTAGATACGACAGTTTAGATGTCACTCCAAACAGCCAATATCCCAAACTCCTCCTTTAAAGTGCAGGCATTGTACTTCCCACCTCCAGGACTCAAGTCCAGCTAACCGGATTTCCTGAATCCCTTCATAAAATATTACCCTGCTCACACTCTAACACCTCGTCAGGTCCCAAAAACAATTTGTCTCCATTCACTCATGTCTAACACATTCACGCACACTTGCTGGAAGTCCAAGCCCCTCACCCAGAAAACCTCCTTTACCCCCTCCCTTTCCTAGAACCACCACCTACCCAACCCTCTTCACCTGCAGATTTATACATTCTCCAAGTCATTCTACTTTGTTCCATTCTTTCTAAATGACCAAACCACCTCAACATCCCTTTTTCAGCCCTCTGACTAATACTTTTAGAAACTCCACACCTCCTCCTAATTTCCACACTACGAATTCTCTGCATAATATTTACACCACACATCGCTATTAGACATGACATCTCCACAGCCTCCAACCTCCTCCTTGCTTCAGCAGTTACAACCTATGCTTCACACCCATATAAGAGTGTTAGTACCACTATACTCTTGTACATTCCCATCTTTTCCTCCATGGATAAATTTTTTTTTTTTGTCTCCACAGATATCTCAAAGGATCACTCACCTTTTTTCCTTCATCTGTTCTATGGTTAACCTCATCCTTCATAAACCTGTCTGCTGACAAGTCAACTCTCAAATATCTGAACACATTCACTTCTTCCATACTCCCTCCCTCCAATGTGATATCTAATTTTTTCTTTATCTAAATCATTTGATACCCTCATCACCTTGCTCTTAGCTATGTTCACTTTAAACTTTCTACCTTTACATACCCTCCCAAACTCATCCACTAACTTTTGCAACTTTTCTTTAGAATCTCTCAAAAGCACAGTATCATCAGCAAAAAGTAATTGTGTCAACTCCCATTTTGTATTTGATTCCCCATAATTTAATCCCACCCCTCTCCCAAACACCCTAGCATTTACTTCTTTACAACCACATCTATAAATATGTTAAACAACCATAGTGGACAACCACATCTATAAATATGTTAACCCTTTCAGGGTCCGTCCCGTAGATCTACGGCTTTACGTTCAGGGTCCAAACCGTAGATCTACGTCATGAGCTCAGCTCACTCTGATAAACTGTGAGTGGTACACTTGGGCCTAGATATGAGAGAATACATCTATGTGGTATGTGTGCACCACATAAAACAAATCCTGCAGCACACTGTGTATAATGAGAGAAAAAAAACTGAAACCACGATTTTCGATTAAAACAGCAACTTTGCAGTGTTTTTTCGTATGTTTTTTATAGTTGTATTTGCAATTTCTTGGTCTCATTTGATAGAATGGAAGACATATTACAGAAATAGAGATGATTTTGATTGGTTTTAGCACTGGAAATGGCTTGAAACTGAGCTCAAAGTAGCGGAAATGTTAAATTTTTGCCGATGTTCAAGAGTAAACAAACTACCTCACACATCAAATGCACGCCAGCTGGTGGGTCTAATATACATTCACAAATGTGGTGATGATATTTATACAATTATTACAATATTGCATAACAGTAAATCTTCTATTTTTTGGTGTGAATAAAAATTCATTATGTGAATAAAAAATCAAAATGGGATTTATTTGTAAAGCCTCAAAATGTAACTAATGAACCGAGGAAATGTTAGTTTAGTGCCAGGAATGCCTACATTGTTTATTCTGGATGCTATTTTGAAATTGGAATATTTTGAACTTTGTGTTAAATTGGCCAAATTACCAATTTCCGGTCACTTTATTTTGTAGTTGAAACAGTTGACTTGGCGATTTCTTGTGCTCAATCGATAGAATAGAAGTAATACTAGTGAAATAGCTAAGAATTTGGTCAACTGGAATGATGTAATTGACCTAAAATGGGAGTCAAAGTCGGCAAAATAGCCGATTCGTAAATATCGCTGACACATCAAAATTAGCGAGAGCATAATTTCGTCAATTTTCCATCAAATTTCATACCTTTTGTTTTATTACCTTCACAAAAAGATTCTCTACCATTTCATAAGAAAAAATAACAAATTTTGGGGGGGAAAATTCTTGGACACTGGGGCACCACTTCAGATTTTGGCCTTGGACCCTGAAGGGGTTAAACAACCATGGTGAACAACCACATCTATAAATATGTTAAACAACCATGGTGGCATTACACATCCCTATCTAAAACCTACTATTACTGGGAAGTAATCTCCCTCTCTCCTATACACCCTAGCCTGAGCCTATCCTCATAAATACTCTTTACAGCATTTAGTAACTTACTACCTATTCCATATACTTGCAACATCTGCCACATTGCTCCCCTATCCACCCTATCATATGTTTTTTTCTAAATCCATAAATGCAATGAAAACTTCCCTACCTTTATCTAAATACTTTTCACATATATGCTTCAATGTAAACACTTGATCTACACATACCCTACCCATTCTAAAGCCTCCTTGCTCATCTGCAATCCTGCTCTGTCTTACCTCTAATTCTTTCAATAACAACCCTACCATACACTTTACATCATTCTGAGTGGGGATTTGTATTGGGAATAAAGCCATGAATACTGTCCATTATCTTAAGTCCATCATGGTTCAATTGATATGGTACTGAGCTGGTAACGTTGATGACAAAACTGGTAAAATTGTAAGTAGAGGTTCAGATCCTTATTATGCAATGAGGAGTTAAAAATTAATTATTTTAACTGAAGGGATTCACAGAAAACAATTAGTCTGGCTTAAGTGTTGGAAGGGATAAGAAGTACAAGGCATGTACTATTGAAAAAAAAAAAAAACTTCTTATTTTGAATTTTAGTAATAATACCATTAGAGCAATATTTAACCCTTTCAGGGTCGCCAGGCCCTCTCCGAGACTTGTTCTCAGGGTCACCCAAATTTCAAAAAAAAAAAAAATTATTTTTTCTTATGAAAAGATAGAGAATCTTTCCCCGATCGTAATGACACCAAAAGTATGAAATCTGATGGAAAACTTACGGAATTATGCTCTCGTGAAGTTAGCGGTCTCGGTGATGTTTACGCATCGGCGATTTTGCCCACTTTGAGCCCTATTTTCGGCCAAATCCAGTGTACTAGTCGACAAAAATCATAACTATTTCGCTAGAACTCCATTTTTTCTATCGAATGAGTACAAGAAACCACCCATTTACCGATTTCAACTATCCAATAAAGTGGTCAGAATTTAGCAATTTTGCCAATTTCACACAAATTTAAAAAAATGCCAATTTCCGAATAGGGTCCAGAATAAACAAGAAAGACATTCCTGGCACTAAAATAACAAGTTCTCTGTTCGTTAGTCACATCCTTAGGCCCCTCTTATATTTCTTTGGCTTTCCACTTTGAATTTTTATTCTTACAAAAAATAGAAGATTTACTGTTATGCAGACTACTGCATTAGTGTAGAAATGGTATAAATAATATCAACGCACGTGTGAAAGAATATTAGACTCACCAGTTGACGTGTATTGGACGCTTGGCACGATTTGTTTACTTTTGAACTTGGGTAAAAATCGAACATTTCTGCTACTTTGAGCTCAATTTCAAGGTACTTTTCATTGTAAAACCAGTCAAAATCATCTCAATTTCTGTAATATGTCTTCCATTCTATAAAATGAGACCAGGAAAACTAGAATACAACAATAAATACCATACGAAAATACAGTGCAAAGTCGCTGTTTTAATCAAAAAACACGGTCAGTTTTTTTTTTTTCATTACGCACTGTGTGCTGCAGGATTTTTTTTTATACTGCACACACTGACCACATAGACCCATTCTTTCATGTGTAGGCCTACCAGCTTTCTCTCACTAGATTTGAGGGTGCTAGATTTTAGGCGTACTAGTACGTCAAAAACCCTGGGGCGCAAGCCGTACTAGTACGGCCGAAACCCTGAAAGGGTTAAAAAAATACAGACTCCTGAATGCTTGGTATTGTAAATGTGGATTTATTTAAAAATTCAAAGAAGCCATGGAATTTTTCTATAAATGGTATTGATGGCTTTTCCAAATCCTAAGTATTTTTTTTTTTAGTACAGTAATATACACTTTTTTTTCCTATTGATCTTTACTTTAATGCCATTAATGTTTCATTTTCACTGAGGATTTGCTAACATTCTAAAGAATCTGGTACAGAATGTGAGAACAGTTGAAGAATCATCATGTTATTGATTCAGAGAGATCCATCTTTAATGATACCTAAGTAAATTTTGTCAACTTATCTTGGATAATGATAAGAGTAGACAGCAGTTGTTGAAAATGTGTGCCTTGAGTAGGAGACTGGTTTAATCCACCTTTTGCTCAT